TCGTTCTTCAAAGCCTTGAACAATAGGTTGAGGTATAGCGACTGCTTCGAGGAAGTGGCTACTCGTGGGTCGAGAAGTGATTCATAAAGGGTTCGGTAGAAGCGATCAGCACCCACTTGATGAGATGCTGTGAGTTGTTGAATAAGCATCAGAGCTTGGATGCTAGTGTTGAAGTTGGAAGAGTGCGTGATACGGAAAAGGGTATCGATGTGTTTGGAAAGTCTGTGGACAGATTAGCTCAGCATCAAGTTACAGTAGACGATAGACATACCTGTCAGTATCCGAGCTCGTGAAAGGATAAGCTCGGTTAACACCCGTCAAGACTGCAGAAACAAGCTTCTCACGCATTTCCTCTTCCTGTGCTTGACTCTTTGCCGGATCATCCTTTCCTTTGACTTTCTTACCCTTACCAAAATTGCCTTGATTCTTGCCTTTACCATCCTTGACAGGCTTCAGGAGAGCAACAAAGAGCGCAAAGTATGTATCCAAGAGCTGAAGGGCAACACTCTCCTCCTTCAAACTAAGAACGGTCTGGTTCAAGGTGATGATAGCGTAGTACTTGGCGTGCTGGCTCTGGCCCGGCCGGAAGAGGATCTCTTCAACCGCCTTGATGATGGTGGGTTTCATCAAAGGGTGAGCCTGTTCAAGTTGCAAGAGCAGATAAGAAGCTCTCGAGGCGATTTTCTTGGCCTTGTCGCCGAGTTTGTTGACCAGCAACCGCAACAGGTTTGCTTCCTGCTCTGGCCTTTCCTTCAGCAGCTCATAGACATAACTCACGGCTCTAGAGCGCGAGAACTCAATCTCGTCATTGCACCACACTTCCAAGATCTTCAGAACCTCAAAGTATTGGTCCTTCAGGAAGTGTTCATATGCCCACATGATGAGATGGCTGTTTTGCAAACCTCCAGGAAGAGGGTCGCCTTCCGACCATTTGCTTCCAGCTCCTTGGAATGCCGCCATGAGGGCCGGCTGGTTTCCAAAAGTCTTCAATCTCCGATCACTGGGAAGCAATGTACCCTGAGCAAACATATCCTTCAGCGATCTCAGAACTTCCACGGCCTGAGCGCGACTGCGCTTCTTGCCCAGACCAATCAAATTCTCAAGTTGCTTGGTGTTGTGCACTGGCGACTCTTGCACAGCAAGCGTCAAAGCTGAAATCTTGTCGCTGAGGGTACCGGTTGACATGATGGTTGTGTAGAATTTGTGAGAGGAAGAGGCCGAGGCCTGTTGCGCCTCCGTGTACATCTTAGTCTCCTTCTCAAGAAGTGAGATGGCATAATTGTGAACGCGTTCCACCACGTGGCGAGGCAAAGCCTTCGCTTGTTTCGTGTTTGACGGAGTTGGAGGGAGAGCCGTCGCATACCAGTCAGATCTGGGAGGGATAGTCTACCCGCTCGTTTTAGTACGTTTTTTGAGGAGCAAGACTTGGATATACTCACTAGTTTCGAGAACTCTTTGGGAAAGATATTCTCGGGGGCTGGCTCTTTGGCCTTCTCCTTCTTGGGAGGCTCGGCTTTCCTGGCAACGGGCGCCGAAGAGGCTTCGTCCTCTTCTTCTGACTGATCGCCGTCCTCGCTCTGCTGAACGTCGTCCTCCTCCTCTTGTTCCTCCTCATCGTCCTCCCCTTCAGAGCCAGATGCGGCAGCCACATCGTCCTCGTCTTCGATATCATCGGGAATGACTTGACCAGCAGCAGCTAGCATTGCGGATAATTCCTTTCTCAGCGAATCCTCATCAGACTTGTTCTTCGACTTCTTCTGTGTCTCTGATGCGACTTCCACTTCAGACTCGGATTCCACGCCCGCCAGCAGATCAAAGTCTTCTTCGGTACCACCAAGTGCCAAAATTTCCTGGCGCAAAGTGTCATCCTGGTTACCACCGCCCTTCTTCTCTTCCCTGGCAATCACTTCTCCGTTGCGGTCACGTTTCTTGCCTTTGTTGGTCTTATCGCTCTTGGCTTCACGCTTCGGTTCGGACTTCGGTGCAGATTCCTTCTCCTTCTTCGGCGTAGCTTTGTCCGCATTCTGATTCTTCTTGTTCTTCGACTTGTTTTGTTTGGCAGCCTGCTCGTCCTTCAATTTTTGCTCGATTTTCTGTCGCAGACCAGCAAATGCACCCTCCTCAAGCTGGGGAAGAGATTCCCCAGTAGACTTGGAATCAGCCACTGGGACTGCATTTGCTCCGGAGGAGCTCTTTCCTTTGCCCTTGGCCATTGAAGCGTTGTGAAATGGCCAGACAGACAAAACGCTCGTGGTGGACTTCTATCATCAACTTTTTTTTTCTGCCGCCCGAAGACGAAACTTGCGGAGGAGATGCTGTTGGCCGCCGGAGAATAGTTTTGCGATCCCCGAGATGCTGGACGCTTGGACCATGTCTATGGAGTATTGTGTTCAGTATCAGCTGCAAATATGGAAGAATTATATGATAATGTGATTGTATGATGTTGCATTGACTCTTGCTGTTTGCACTCATATACTTGACTTATTGACATTAATTCTTTGTCAATTCATGATTTCCGGGGTTCGCCCGATCACGGGCCGCTTTTCGAGGACATGTCGAGCGACGATTCGATTAATTAGAGCTCAGAAATGCGCGTTTCACGTATTATTCCCAGGAACTGATCTGTTGTTGCTCAAGTGCTGAAATATCATAGACGGATGGTAGAAATCGTGTCACCAATTTCTGGATTCCGACAGGAGGCATCTCGAAAAAACCTTCCCAAGGCGAAAAAGGTATAGTAGTCTTATACTGGCCTTCCCGCGAACAAAGGTCATTGACTTGGATCAGAGGATGCAAACGAACTCCTGATCCGAGGAGGCTTCCTCCGACAGGTAAGCTGCTGCCCTATGTCGGGATGCTTAAGCCCGCTATCTGACTGCTACGATAGGCCTACTCGGGGATATTTCATATGTTACCGCTTGGATTGCGGGTGCAAGAAAAGCTAGAGCGGCTTATTGATAAACATATGCGGTCTGTTGGTGTGTATAGAACGATTGCTCTGCGGAAAGACCCTCTCACTGACTTGGTTCTTAGGTGCCTCGAAGGTCTCTCTGTCGTCTATATCTTCTCAAGAGCTCTGGGAGCAGTCAGGTCGTCTGAAAGAAGGTTCAGAGGTGAATTCTGTCCGCCTCTACTCGGTAGTTTGTGCTAACAATTACCCAGGTCTTTAGATTTCTGGACAGGAAAGAGTCACGTTTCCTTCTTGCCCCTACTCATGAAGAGGAGATTACTACTTTGGTGGGAAGCCTCACCAAGTCTTATAGAGACCTCCCTTTGCGCGTCTATCAAGTCTGTAGGTAAAATGGTGATCTCTTGATAAACCGCGTGACTGATGCAGTTGCCATGTAGCGAGAAAGTATAGAGATGAACCACGACCAAGACAAGGCCTGCTTCGCGGGCGAGAGTTCCTTATGAAGGATCTCTACACATTCGATTACAGTGTTGAAGAAGCTTTGAAGACGTACAACTTGGTGAAAGCGGCGTACAAAAACCTTTTTGATGAGTTGAAGATACCTTACCTAGTGGCTGCTGCAGACTCAGGAAATATGGGCGGGAGCCTGAGCCACGAATTCCATTTTCCCAGCTCAAAAGGCGAAGACACTGTCATCAGCTGCTCGAACTGCGACCATGTCTACAATGACGAACTCGCAGATGGAAAGGCTCATAACATCGAGGAGGCTCAAAATGCCGGTGCTGAGCAAGCATCAGGCTTCGACACCGGGGCAACTACAACTGGAAACAATCCAACTGTCTCAGTTGACTTATGGATGGCAATATCAAGAGACAGAAAGACTCTCTTGCGGGGGTGGCACCCGAAGTTCTCCATGCACGAAGCAAACCAAGAACCCGTGGAACGCGAAGTCAACTCCCATGCAGTCAAATCTATAGCCACCGCAGCGGGGGTCGACATCGACCTTAGCGTAGAGAATCCGCTTGAACAGTGGGTCTCACAGGTCAAGTCTGACAAGGACTCTGGTACCTCCGGCTCCTCTGAGCGTCCACAGGTGCTGGATCTGTATGACGCACAGGTAAGGGTATACAAGCGCCCACCTCTAAGTGACCTTCTGGAGAAGGCCAACCGCACCGCAGACGAGATCGATTACTCTATGCTTGATCGCTTCCCTGGCACGAACCAAGCTCTGAACCTCGTCAAAGTACAAGATGGCGACAAATGTACCAAATGCGCAAAGGGTTCCTTGAAGACTCACACCGCTGTCGAACTCGGTCACACCTTCCACCTGGGCACCCGGTACAGTGAAGTCCTCCAGGCATCCGTCATGGTCGATCGATCGCTATCCGGGGGCTCTCAATCCAAAGATCAGCAGGTGCCCATGCAGATGGGCTGTCATGGGATTGGCGTCTCGCGCATGATCAGCGCCGTGGCTGACAGTCTCGCGGATTCAAAGGGCCTCAATTGGCCCCGAGCTATGGCACCTTACGAAGTAGTAGTCGTTCCAGGGAAGGGATTGGAGACGGAGGCAGAGAAAGTGTACGATTCTCTCGTCTCAGATCACACCTCTTCCATCGACGCTATCCTGGATGACCGCGACAAACCGATGGGATGGAAACTCGGGGACGCGGACCTGATTGGATATCCAGTTATCGTCGTGGTTGGCAAGGGGTGGAAGAAGGCACAGACCCTTGAGGTACAATGTCGTCGCTTGGACAATCTACGCGAAGATGTGCCATTGGATCAGCTGCCGTCCTTCGTGCAGACCCTACTAGAGCGACTATGAGCACGGCTGGCCAATATGGCCCATCTAGTCTGCAAGTCCTCAGGCTGAATCATGTACTTATATTTGTAGAATGAATGTACACTAGCATCTCAATCTATACCCTAAATCTCAATGGTCTGCAATTATAGCTGGTCCGATAAAACAGTGGTGCGTGGCGATACCCATCTACTACTAAAACCGCCCATGGGAGCCACTATCTCCACGCCCCGCAATCAACCGTCCGAAAAAAGCACCCAACTGGCTCCCTCAATCAAGCAATCGATCGAAGCAGGCTTCTCCAACTCGGTCACCTCAAACAAGCCTGCACAGTGCATCAGGCCACCTCCCGCTTTCGATCAGGAGCCCACGGCTTCCTCCCTCTTCTACAACAAAAGACCCCTTAAATCAACCGTCACCACCAACCGAAATGCCACCTGCAAATATCCCCGCATCCGACACTTCAAGCTCAGGCGGAGCTCCCCCCGGCGCCGGTAAGCTCTCTCCTCCCTCGCATGTGACCATAATTTGATGCATTCCGTACTGCACGTTCCAATCGAAGAGCCGCAATCTAACGGAGCGTCCGCAGTGAACATCGCATCTCTCTCCGTGCCTCAACTCCGCGCCCTCCAAACCCGCCTCACCTCGGAGCTTGAGCACCTAACCACCTCGCATCAGAAACTGCGCGCCGCGCAATCCAGATTCCGTGATTGTGTGCGGTCCATCAATGATGGGGTCGTGGGGTCGGAGAAGAAGGGAACAGCTGGGAAGGATGATATACTGGTTCCCTTGACTAGCTCGCTGTATGTGAGGGGTAAGCTCGCGGATCGAGGAAAAGTGCTTGTTGATGTTGGAACGGGCTTTTATGTTGAGAAGGTTTGTGGAGTATTCCTGCAAGATCACCGTGTTTGAGGGCTAAGTTTGTCTTCATCGAACAGACAGCACCGAAGGCCATTGAGTTCTACGAAGATAAGGTCAAGGGTTTGGAAACCAATTGCGTCGAGCTGGAGAAGATTGTACAGACTAAGAGTGCTCAATTGAGACTCTTTGAAGATGGTAAGTACCGAATGCCTTGTACGCAGTCTTGTTCGATAACTAACTGGCTATTGTAGCTCTGAGACAAAAGATGCTAAGCGGTGAAGCTGTCCCATCTTCAACCGCAGCTGCAGGCGCTGGCTAATTCCATCGCACAACCTTTGTGACGAGGGCGCTTATGGTACAGTCTCCAGATTGAAATCAGTTAACATCCTTAGAATTATATGATACCTGTTGCAAGCCCATATGGATAAGAGATAACAGGACCTTGTTTCTACGTAGGCTTAGTACAATCTGGCGCAGTATTGCTCATATTCCCCAGATCACGACTCAGCAAAGAGCGAATCAGATAAGCATCCAGCTTACGCCACAATTGATGTTAGCTTCTTCCAGCTGTTTGAGACGCTCTTACACAAAGACGAAGATTGTATTCGAAACATTCGAACGTCTGTTTCCAGGTGTCATTGTCCTCTTAACTCGTCCAGTCCGCAGGCGCAGTTTCTCCAGTAAACTCTTTGTACGAGACTGCCTAGACCCAGTCTGGTTTAGCTAGAGACCGACTGTGGCAACGGAAAGGGAAGGCTAGCGACTTACGTTCCGCATTCTGAGAACAGAATCTGGCGGACTAAAGAGCTCGGTCAGAACAACGTGCCGAGATCTGCATCCAACAAGACACGCATTTGAGGACCGATGTTGAGCTGCTGGCGATTTTGACGTGCAATAATGACTTCATCAGACTTATCGCTCGAAGGGCTCTTGGGGACTCGCTGCTTCACGTTCTCAGAGGAAGTCTTTGTTGAGCCTAGCAACTCCGCAACCCGTCTCACCAAGGCAATCAACTCCCAGAATCCTTCGGATTTGCGTCCGGTACTCTCTTCTATGGGTGGGAAGAACGTGTTCAGACTGGGACTGTATCTTGCCGTATGTCCAAGCGGTATATTCGCGTGCTGTCCGAGCAAGTTGTCCCAGTTTGGATCGAAGATCGATGCACCCCAAGAACTTGAAGGAACATCGGAGATTGGTCCGGTGATGGCGGCAGAGTTCTGTCCACCGTACCCTGGCGCAGTGGTGCGGCTGTACTCATCGTAGCGGGCGATCTCGAGGATGTACTTGGTGTTCTTCAGTCGGTACCTGATCGCTGTCTTTTCGACAAATCTGGACACTGGGGCAGAAGCTGGGAAGACGACCTTCCTTTGTGGCTTTGCAGAGATGTCGTTGATGTCCGCAGTGCGTCGGAAATTGATAGAATGAGAGAAAGATCTCAGAGCGGCATTGATGGAGGATGTCTCATAGAACTCGAGGGATTTTATTTCAAGCTGCCAGTCGGATCTGTTACACATGAATCAGTTTGAAAATGGATACTGCAAGGTCAAAGTTGGCTTTACCTTTCAAAATCGATGACGCCTATCTGGAGAGGGGGCCGCTGGTCGGCAGAATGGCCGCTCTTACGTGGACTAAGCCAACGTCGTTGAGTGATTTCATACTCATGCGCACCAGGACTTTTGGCAAACTCAGCTTCTAACCGAAGCAGCGCATTGTTAGATCCCAGAAACTCAAAGTTCACTGAGAAAGCCGGTTCGGCATCAGAAAGCTTTCCCGTCACGCTGTCGCACGGTTCGAGAATATCGGTGGCCTTGAAACATCTGGCGAGCAGCTCATCTTTGCCAAGGTTCAGTCTGTACGTTTCACGGGAGTCAGTTATTCTTCTGCATTCAGGTGGTGGTCATACGTACCCTGGGATCAAGCGGCCCTTTGTTTGCTCATGCAGCAACATTTCTCTAAACTCTTCAAATTGATACGAGGGCTTCTCGTCCTTGGGGAGACGGAATTCATCCAGCACAAATGATCCGAGATTGATGCGCATGCGCAAATAACCACGAACAAAAGCAACGCCACGCAAAGACCTTTCGATCGCCTGGAGAAGACGAGCATTGTTCTTTGATTGTATCAAGGCGGCGCGGATCTCCCATTGCTCGAGGTCCTTGGGGCGGAATCCCTGGAGGCGTGCTTTTCCAAACTGCTTGTTGCGCTCCATGATAATTGCCTCTTTCATGGAGGCTGGTGTAGGAGGCACAACAACATAGACCTTGGACTTGACATTGCTATTGGCAATGATTTCACTCCACTTGGTTCTCAAACACTGCACTATTTGCCTCATTGTATCCCAGGATTGTCCAAAGGCGCAAATGTAGGCTGGCATGTCCTTTGGGACAAACAAGTGACAGCCGAACTTCGCTCTGATAACATCAAGGGCTTCTAATTGTGGACCAAGGGAGTCAACGAGAGACGGGCCTTCTCTTGGCCATAAAAACAACATCTATGGGGGCAAGGAGTTAGATTGCAAAACCAGGCTGTACTGTTTCAGGAACTGACCTGCTCGGGAAAAGTCGAAGGGTTCTCGGGGCCATTCTGAGCTGCTGTAATATGTGCTCGCGCCTTTCCTTCAACTCAACATCTGCCTCCTTGTTGACGGAGTGTGCGTTGATCTTCGCCCACTCAAGCTTTTTCTTGGTGGGGATGGAGGAAGTGGTGCAGTTTGCAATGATTTTTTGAAGATGCTCCTTTGCAGAGGCGATCTGAGACGGTTCACCCCAAAGGAATATCGCCTGGCTGCTATGAGCGAATGCATCTTGACCGAGACATTTTCAACTCGCCTCGTTGAGTCGGAGGACTCACCTGGTCGGTATAGGCAGGCGGCTTCACGAAAGCGCCCGTCTTCTTGCTAATTTCTTCGAATACCTCGTGGCGGCCTTGAGAGGCGTGAGAGCTCCGTCCATATATCGTGGTCCTCGCTACTCCGAAGAATCTAAGTTGAGATCCACGTTAATCATCAATCCCAGGAAGAGAAGCCGTGGTGTACCTACTCATATTTCATGGATCCAAATAGAGCTGGTAGATTCACGACACCTGGAGGAAAATGGAATGAGTACTCTGTGCATATAAAATGGATGTTCTACCACTGACCATTGGGCTGCGCTCCATTACGCCATTTGGCCTTCGAGGGCGAGTCTTTGAAGAATTGGTTTGAAGTGTGTCGAGTTGTGGTCTGTCGAACCGCAGGGCTTCCCCACGCTCTCAGCGGCCGATCAATACATCTTACCTGTGCAGTTTGGCTTTTGCGAGTCATCACGCCGCGAGAGGTGAGTCCTTGCTGGGTCTGACCTTGAGGCTGCTGTTTCTGTGGCTCGGTTCTTGAGGACATATTGGATGGAGACGGCCGATGATATTTGGACGACTGCTTCGTTCGACGCGACTTGGATGCCTTCAAGTCGTAGCCTGGCAGCGCCCATTCTGCAGATCGTTGTCAGTTGAAGCTCAATTCTTGCGTTGATGTTGTTGCACGATTTGAGGAACGGATATTTGTTCTTACCAGCTGCTCCTCCAGGCTCGTGACTGCTAGAGTTTAGTGGTTTGGACATAGATGTTGTTAAGCGTTGACTTACTCTCTCGCCATCTCAAAAAGAATCAAAGGAAGTGTTCAACGAGAGGTATAAACAGTCAGGAAGCCAATGGCAGCACGTGATGCTGAATTAGACGAAACTGATGAAGTGACGGATTGAATAGATGTAGTGAACGGGATGAAAGTGAATGATGTTGGGTAGTGAAGTGGTGATAGGGGATCAGTGAATAAGTAGTCAAGGCAAACAGGGACGGTGTGAAGAGCAAACAGAAGAACTTCCATAAGCGGAAACAGTACCTTAGCTCTTTCCTGTCCGAAGTGAAAGAATAGGAGCACTACCAGGTGTTCAACTTGCATTCATGTCTTTAAAGGAGCTGAGTACTAAGGTAGGCTTAATCGCACTACCTGGCGATGAATTGCTTAGATGGCAGAGAGGTAAAGCTATCAAGCTGATTACTTCTCATGCAACCATCAGTTATAACAAATTGAAGCTATATGCCTCCCCTAAGAGTATCACATTACCCGAAACTGCAAATCAGATGTCATTTGAATTCACTTCCAGCGCAAGTATAAGCAGGAAGAGCCAAAAGTGAGGTTTTTTGCTCGAGACTTGAGCGGTCCAAGTATCGGAGAACCATTTCATCAATATGTAGTTCTCCGCAATTGACATATATACAAATGACTCAATGCTTTCAAGACTAATGCAGCCTGTATTCAAACGGATATCAGAAAGGGTAATCTGATTCGAAATAGTGAAAAGTGAGGTAGCATAAAGTAAGTTGTATACAAGAAGCTGTAAAGAAGTGTTAGTACTATGATTTTGATTGGTGGATAGCCTAGCAACCACACTAAACCCAAACAGGGTCAAAGTGGACAACGCGCATTGACGCGTCTTAAACTCTTTCTTTAGTCTCAACGCTGCGAGTAGGCCAGACCTTGCAATCCATTTCCACATACACCCCAATTGAAGGAATGGCCGTGGCCTCTGCTGACGAATTTGAGAGTACTCCTTCTCGGAGGCGCAGTGCTCGACAACGAGCACAATTATGGATGACCAAAGGTGGTCTAGTGCGCGATGATTCCGACGACGAGTTGGGGGATGAAGATCTTCCATGGCATTGGATCTACGGCACTGAAGAGAAAGATGCCGAAAACAAAGAAACGACACCGGCTACCGATGAGGCCGAGACAAAGTCTGCTCGCAGACGCGCAGCTCGCCCTAGCGCGAAGCGCCGACGGAATATCACAGGGGCGCGGATGGGTTCCTTCGAGTGTCGGTTGGGTCAAGTCGTGCTGCTCAAATCTCCGGAACCGAGAAAGGACTGGGTTGGCATCATCACTGAGTTTCTAGAGGAAGAAGATGAGGAGGCAGAGGATGGGGTGGTCAAGTCGGTTAACATCATGTGGTTTGCATCCCCGGACGAGTTCATGTCGACCAAAAACAAGCGAAGGGCGGACGCTTTACCGAACGAACAATACCTGACAGCGGATTTTAATGTCAACCCTATCACGTCAATCAATGGTAAAGCTACCGTGATGTCCAAGGACGCTTTCTTTGCCAAATATCCGAACGGCACGCCCCCGAAGGGCAAGGAGGAATTGGCCGAGTTCAACAAATGCATTATCTGCCGAAGAGGTGTAAACCAGCTTCAAGGCAGATATACCGACGAATTCATTTGGGAGGACGTGTACCGGGAGGATAAGATCCATGACCTCATTACCATGGTCAAGGACGGGTTGAAAGCGGCCAAAAAGCGCAAGCAGGTCGATGACGATGTGAGTCCCCCGGCTCGCGTTAAAATGGCTGCTAACGGAAATGCACTCAGTACGTTGATGCGAAAGAGGATGATGATTTTGCACCCTCTACACCTCGGAAGAGGCAGAAAGTGGCCTCGAATGCTACTCCACAATCGCGACGCAAGAAAGCTCTTACTACGCCATCGCACAAGAGGTATGAAGTCATGTCTGACTTTTCCGGGACAGAAGTTGACAAGCTGCTCAATAGGATCGTCGTTAAGAAGCCGTTAGAGTTTACACCACTTGGAACTCGAGTTTTGCCTCCTTCTCATTTCGATTCACCTTATCGCCAAGCGCGTACCCTACTGCATGTTTCGACTGTACCTACATCACTTCCTTGTCGGAAGACAGAATTCGACACCGTTTATAATCATCTCAGTGCAGCAATCATGGAAGGAACTGGCACCTGCATTTATATCTCGGGAACACCAGGGACCGGCAAGACAGCTACAGTACGTGAGGTGGTTGCGCAGTTGAATGCTGCTGTTCTCGCAGAGGAAATGGACGATTTCATCTTTGTTGAAATCAACGGAATGAAAGTGACTGATCCTCATCAATCTTATTCATTGCTCTGGGAAGCGCTCAAGGGCGATCGCGTTTCTCCTTCTCATGCGCTTGATCTTCTCGAAAGAGAATTCTCGCATCCCTCCCCCAGACGAGTGTCATGCGTCGTCCTCATGGACGAGCTTGATCAGTTGGTCACGAAGAATCAATCGGTCATGTACAATTTCTTCAACTGGCCCGCCCTTCGTCATTCACGACTTATCGTACTTGCTGTGGCAAACACCATGGATCTGCCAGAGAGAACGTTGAGCAACAAGATCTCCAGCCGTCTGGGGTTGACTCGCATTACGTTCCCTGGTTACAAGCACACAGATCTCATGGAGATCATCAGCACTCGATTGGCCAACGTTCCTGGAAACATTGTCGATGCGGATGCCATTCAATTCGCTAGTCGAAAAGTAGCTGCAGTTAGTGGAGATGCCCGGCGTGCATTAGACATCTGTCGACGCGCCGTGGAAATTGCAGAACAGTCCAGCGAGGCTGCAAAGATCGAGGATATGGATGCCGAGCAGAACGGAGACGACACCGATTCCCTGCCCCCTACTCCCAGTAAAACGCCAGCACGACGACAGAAATCTACTAGCAAGCAAACAGTCAAGCTCGAGTCGCCTCAGAAAAACGCGGCACAGAAACAGATCGCGGGCCGAGTCACCATCGCCACCATCAAGCAAGCCATCCAAGAAGCCACCTCCACCCCACTCCAGCAATCACTCCGCTCCCTCCCGCTGTCTGCGAAGCTCTTTCTCGCTGCTTTACTGGCCCGTGTTAAACGAACCGGTATTACAGAGTCAACATTCGGCGATGTGATCGACGAAGCCAAGAAAATCGCCGATGCAGCAGTTGCAGTCGCCAGCACAGGCATCAAGGATTTCTTGCTCGCAGGGAGCAACGGGGCGCGTGTGAGAGCTCTTGGCTTCGCCGCTATGGAACTCATGAACTCTGGAGTTCTTGCCCTGGAAAATGGGGCAGGAGTCAAGGGGCCCCTAGGCGGTTCTGTCATTCCGAGCAGAGGTGATAGAAGCGGGAAGGTGAGGCTTAGAGTTGCACCAGAAGATGTTCGAGCCGCGTTCCGGGAGGACATTGAGGCAAAGAGATTGGGATTGGGTATGGACCCGTAAGGGTTGTCTGGACTTGCATTTGTCGGACGTACCCAGGTATTTATTTGTGACTGTCTGTACAAAGACTGATTTGATAGCAAAGATACCCTTAGCTTGTTTTGGAGTGCTATGATCAAGGTTCAGAACCATTATAATGTGATTGATCCTACGCAGTTCAAGTGCCTATCATACAACCAGAAAATATGTTTTGTAGATTCCCCGTGACCTTGTATCAACGTCACTCTGAAACAAACGCTGAACTCCATATGCGACAAAAGAACAAACAACAGCCCGATTCTGGGTTTGGATCAAGGGTATAAAGATGACATCCACGGCCTAAACTAATATCTCTGTCTGCCAAGAGTCGGTGCCCAAGTGACAGGATGAGACTCCGGCGTCGCCTCATCATCCGGTTTCCAGACCTTGATGGTCTTATCGGCCTCTCCGGTGATCAAACGCAGGCCGGTCCGATCGAATGTAGCAGACATGATACCGGCTTCGGCGTCCAGAGAACCCGGCTGGGCCATGGTGTCGATGGACTGGAACTTGTAGCCTGTCTTCCAGTCCCAGAAGCACATGGAGCCGTTATCACCACCGGAGAACAGAACGTTGTCCTCGTTCACGGCGAGGGAGTTGATGACGGCATTGTGGCCCTCGAAGTTCTGCATGAAGTCGCCCTCGGGACACTTCCATTGCTTGATGCTTCCTGTGCTGGCGCTGGCGAATGTGAATTCTCGCGGGTGGATGGCGAGGTTGCGCACGCCCTTCTTGTGGTGCGTGAGAACACCCATAGCCTTTCCGGCTGCAAGGTCCCACAGGCGCACTGTAGCGTCGAGAGAACCGGTAATAATCTGTGGGTCAGCCTCCTGACATTTCAAGTCGGCGACGGTGCCCTTGTGGCCTGACAGAACGTGGACATTGCTTCTTGTCCGCATATCCCAAACTCGGGCAACACCGTCTCGACCACCGGTCACCAGAAGGTCGAGGCGCGGATGTACAGCGAGGGTATATACTCCGCTCAGATGACCGTGATAGTGGCGGATGACCTTGTTTGTTTCCAGATCCCAGCACTTGACCATCTTGTCTTCACCACAGGAGAAGAGGTACGGATGCCGAGGAGACACGGCCAAACCGCGCACGGTCGAGATATGGCCCGTCAGCGTCAGACGAAGAGCACCTGTCGCAAGGTTCCAGATCTTGATCGTTCTGTCTCCAGCACCGCTAGCAAACCATTCGTTGTTCGGTTCCACTGCCAAACTCCGCACCCATCCCAGATGTCCTGAGATTACTCTCATCAGCTTCCAAGGAGGATGCCAGTCAGGTCTCTGCTGTCGCGTCGCCGAGGGCCTCTGAATCAGACTCTTCGGTTGATCTTCACTACCCACTCCGCCCGCGGCCGGTCCAGCAGCCCTCTTCACCAGAGACATCGAGGCGCCGCTTCCGTCTGCTTGGGGCTTCGTCTGCGGTTGGATCTTTGGGCGCTTCGCGCGGCCTGCTGCTGCTGCTTTCGCTTGCTTCTCGGCGAGAGCTGGAGGTAATTCCTTCACGTCTGAGTATTCCGCCTTTCGTCGGTAGGACAGTCCGATCGATCCATCGGCGACGCTGGGTGTGACCATGAGGTATTCGGAGCCGAAAAGTTCAGCGGCTCGCTTCGCGGACTTGCGGACGGCTTCGTCCGGTGTGGTAGAAGGGAAGACGTCCATGGTATCCGAATGGTAGGAAATGTAGACCAAATTTCAGAAGTCCGAATGCTCGTTCAGGGCGTTGCTGGCGTTAAAAGACTGACGCAGGTCGCCAGAGAGGACGTGCTGTACGCGTCCTGAACCCTGTTTGAAGGGTCTAATCGTTGGTGTAATTTATCCGCGTAAATTCACCGCACCCGTTATGTGTCAGACAAGAGAAGCGACCGTAGCAGAAAGGTGCAAAGGGCGAGAATTGAGAGTCGATGGACAAGTTGGTAATTTGAAGTAGTGACCTCCGATTTGCCTTTCGGCGGCGAGAGCTTTGCTAAGTGCCTGAGGCATTAAAATGGATTTCAGGTGTCAATAGCTCCCCTCCAGAGCTTCTCGCCATGCTCCACACTTGTCAGGACAGCATAGCACAGCATCATGAATCCAGATCAAGAAGCGAAATTTCCTCTGCATGAGGCAGCTAGGGAAGGCAAAAGTACTTCTGCTGCTTTCTGAATATGTGACTTCAGGAGCTAACTTGCGACAGCTCCGACTGCCGAGTCGCTGTTGAATGTAAGTGCGCGGAAAGCTGCCCCGCCGCATATAGATCATCCCCAATGTCTATGACTCGGTCTCAACAACGAAGCGACTGTCCTTTTGCTTGGTCCTTACTGATCTGATCGCAGGCAAACCCGAAACTCGCTACGGTGAAAGATGACGACGAGCGTCTCCCCATCCACTGGGCCGTTGCGTTCAATCATCTTCCCATAGTAGAGCTCTTAGTAGCTCAGAAGAACTTCGATCCGGACGTGGAGGTGAAGTAAACTCTCGCATATGACTTGACGGACTGCTAACACTCTGCTAGGATGGATTGGGATGGACTCCGCTCATGATCGCAGCGAGCCTGAAGAATGCAGAAGGCGACCCCATCATCGACCTGCTACTACGAAAAGGCGCAGACGTCAGTGTCAAGAGCGTCTCCGGCCAGGTATGTGTCGAATGATTACAGATCCAGCTACTACTAGTTTCTCATCCCCGCGCGCTCGCTTTAAACAGAATGCCCTCCATTTCGCAACATCCAAAGGCAACCTCTCCACCGTGCGCACGTTATTAGCCAACAAATGCAGCGCCAGAGTCAAGGACAGAAGAGGGCAATTACCACTTCACCGCGCTGCGGCAATTGGATCCATCCCTATTATCAAACTTCTCTTAGAGGAAGGGAAGAGCCCGGTCAATGCTACCGACATCGATGGCTTAACGGCTCTGCATCATGCCATCTCTGAGGGTCATGGGGATGCGGCAATCACATTGCTCAAGGCTGGTGCGGAGGCCGACAAGAAGGATTCTGAAGGTCGTCTGGCTATTGAGATGGCGCCTGATGCGAAAGTGAGTTGTCCGCGATTTACGTGGCTGATGTATAAACGAGCTGACTTTCGATCTCCTTTAGGTTAAGAAATATATCTTGCAGACTGCCGAGAGAGAGGGTATTGAACTTTGATTTGAACGCAGCCAGAATATTTTTACTGCAGGGCGATATTACCGTGTAATATGTATCGGATACCCAGGGCTACATTCCTCGTCTCCATGAATTAGAATGGGACTTATTCATAAAGCGAACTACCGATTTGAAATGTTGAATATTCTATCAGAGGGTAGTCTGTATACATGAGATCTTCTAGATCTGAAGGAGGAAAAGTTCCCAGGGGAACGAAAATATACACAAGAAAGGAAGAAACGAGAGAAGCATGGTCAACGGCTCTTCCGAAAAGAGACCAGTGGAGGGATAGGCCTTATTTCATGGTGCTATCGACCAATTCCCGATATATCTTTTTGAGATCAGCGATATCAGCCTGGAGCTCTTCGACTTGCTCGCTTTTCTCGCCAAGCAGCTCCAGAGTTGTTTGGTAGCGTTGGTCCAAGTCTTCAAGCCTTGACTCCAGCTCCTTCACGCGAGCATCAGAGGCCTTCTTTTCCTCTGACTCTCGCATGAGGTCGACAACCTGCTTTCGAGCCTCGTCACGCTGCCTGGTGATCCGTGCAAGTTCGTCCTTGGCAGCGGCTCGTTCGCTCTCTAAGCGGCGAACCGTAGCGCTCATACGCTCAACTAGCTGAACAGATGGCCCAGCGCCGACAGTCGACTCCGAAATGATGTCATTGATACCTCGCGAATGATGACTTGGGGCAAATCCATAAGCGGATGGGGTAGCCGGTGTCACGGAGCCACTGAAGAAGTCGTCCGGCTCGAAGGTGATGACTGGAGACTCCATTATCGGAGGGTTTGACAGACCTGTTGACATCGGTGGGGATAGGACGGGAACAGGAAGGGAATTCTGACGTGGGGGAGTGCCCACATCTGACGATGTCGTGAGGAGCGTTGAAGAACGGCGACTCGTGGGCCTGTAGTCAGACAGAGACGCCCCGGATGTGTCAAGGTTGCTCGGTCTACGACTGAACGCAACAGGCGACTGAGTACGCGGTTCTTGGAGTGAATTTTGAATGGACAGTGCGTGTTCCCGCCACTTCATCTTCTCGTCCTCAAGTTTCTGAGCCCATGTCGCATCGCACACCTTCTTCTGTTCAGCGAAGTCTTTCTGCGCAGCAACCAAGTCGTCTTCTGCTTTTCTGAGTTTCTGATCCAGCTTCTGGATTTCTTGAACATGGCTTTCAAGTTTGCTCTCCAGATCGTGTTGGGTCTCCTTTGCATTTTCGAGCTCTTCCTCAAGCTTCTTCGCTTTGAGATTCTATGTTGGTGTTAGCCAGCAACTAAGATTGACAACACAACGAAGGCGTGCTTACCACTTCACGCAGCTTCCGTCGCATTTCCCCTTCTCGCCTTGCGACATCGTCCCGTTCTTTTTCCACATTGGCTAGCCTTGAAAGTAGCGAACCCTCGAGGGTCTGCCAATTCTCACTAGCGACTGCGTACTGCGTTTGCAATGTCTCGATCTGGCGTAAAAGTTTGGCCTGAGTTTCACCGGTAGAACCGGACGAGGCTTCTTCTGCTTTAGAGCGCAGCGCCTCCATTTTGCTCTCCAGGACAGACTGCTCCCCTTGAGCTCGGCCTCAAGTATCCTAGCCTTCTCCTTCTCTTGCTCTATGCCTTCCTTAAGATCTGCAACTTCCCTTCTCAGTTTTTCCTCATTAATCTCGCGCTCAATCTTCACACTCGCAAGTTCCTCTTCCAACTGAGCCGTCCGCTGCTTCTCCTTCTCCAAAGCATCTGATGCGGCTTTGGCCTCTGCTGCTTCCGCACGCACAACCGCTCGGGCAAGTTGCGCCTTCATCTCTTGAACTGTCTGAGACAATGCGTTCCGCTCATTCGTGACGGCTTCGAGATCCCGTGCGACCTTTGTCTGGGAGGATAGTGACTCGCTCGCCCGTTTCTCCGCAGCCTCAGCACGCTTTGCTCTAGCCTCAAAATTCGCCAGGTCCCGTTCGAGCTTCTCTGTTCTCTTCTTGGTCTCCATCTGTATCTTCGAATTATCTGCCAGCTGTTGTCGGAGCTTCTTGATCGCCGTTCGATGGTCCATCTCCGACTTGGAGAGTTTTTGCCCTTCCTCAAACAGTAGCGCGATCTTTTCGTCCTTCTCACGAAGCTGTTTTTCGACACTCCCAGGCTCAGCGGTCGCCGCAGCCTTCCTAGCAGACTCAGCGGCTTCTTTAGCCAGGTACTTTAGCTTAGATTGTAGCGCATCGATTCGTTCAATGTACAAATGCAACTCCTCCTGCCAGCGGGTCTCCGCTGCCTTGTGCTCCGCCTGTAGCTGCGCAATGGCTGGATTATCGCTATTTATATCCGGTGCGGTGTCTTTCGCGGCTTGCTTCAAGTCTTGCGATACTCGCGGGCTCTCGAGATCGCCGGTCTCATGTTGCTCTGCTGTGCCCAGTTCTTGCGAGGGTCGTGGTTCGGCTGTAGACTCTTCCGTAGATATGATCTCGTCAATATGCGGTGCGGTGAGCTCCTTGGAATTTCGCGAAACAGCACCAGAGTCGTGACTCGTCCTAGAGTCTGCCGGTAGTTCCAACGAGCCTGCTTCTCGGACAAGCGGGCTATCCGGACGTTCTTCTGCGGTCCCTGTAGTCGAGATAATACTTGATTCAATATCTAAACTCGATCGCGTGCCGTTACTCGGTAAGGAATTGGCTGGCGAAGAGACTCTGCCCGGAGGGGACTGTGATACACCATTCCCGGCGGCATTTGATTTGGCCATGGCTCGAGCCAAGCGTTCCTGTAGACGATCATTTTTCCGCGCATTGGATGAGCTCCGCGAAACAGCTGGAAAGCAATTAGCCACGCGATCCTGAGACTGCCGCGGGGACCTTCAGAGACTCCATACTGCTTGTAGTCGGGTTGGGGCTTGCCGCCTGTTGTCCTAAGCTCTCGTTCTGCTTTGACTTGACCGATGTGGACCTTGTCAATGGTTTCTGGTCCTCCTCCTCAGCCAATATCATATCCAATCTGGATTCCACGCCGGCGACTGCCTGCTGCAGAAACGAGCCGACTTTCCATTTCGATTTCGATCCTTGTGTATTCTGCGCCATGGTGTCGTAGACAGCGAATGATTTGGGGTTGCCCTTGATCAAGTCAGCTACTCGCTAGTAGCAAATCACCTAGCCGTTGTCATGGGAGGCAGCAGTTCCGGATGACGATGATGCGATCTGATGTTCCTTTGTCGTCACAAGTTCGATGAAACAGATGGATAAATCTAATTGTATGAGGTTAATGAGAGTTTAGAGCAAAGTCCTGAACGAATGACAGGGAGATGAGAAGGAAAGAGAGCTCAAGGCAGAAGAGCTAATGCAAGAACGAGTCAAAATGTCCACGTTAATCAGTACTAAAGCGACTGCCTGCTTGCGTAGACCGAGAGCGGCCTGAGGAGCCAAAACGTGGGCTTGCCCGCCTCTTGGCATCCTTACCCGATGGGACGGGGAACTCCATCTATCTCGAACATCGTCATAACCTCACAGCTCCCTTATCATTGTATTTCCCCATCCCTTTCTTGAAGTGAAGACGTCGGCGTGAGCTTCATTTAGAATAACAGACGGATAGACAGGCATCATGTCGTCGACGTCTCTGGAGCCTCCGACTTATTTGAGCTCCTTGCAGAACAACATTCGAGCTCGCCCAATCCCGTGGGAGGGAGCTGTCCGAGCTGGCAACATCACCGACGACCATCTTAAGAAGATCAAGGCCGTGGACAAGGTCCGCAAAGAGCAACGCCGCCAAACCGTTGAAGGCGATCTTCAGGGCTATGTTGGACTGCTTGCTGGCAATGCCGATAGCAAGAGTGTCTTGGATTCGGCTTCCAAGAGGACCGATATCGTGCAGTACATTCTAGTGCTGGCGGCGGACTTGATTAACGGTAATGATATACTCGCACTCTACATAGACTATATGCGCTGACAATTGTTTCTACAACTTAGATGTCCCCTCGCTTTCTTCCGCATTGATTGCGCATCCTAGTCCATACAAGCCCTTCCTCCCGCTCCTGCGTCATTCCACCAACGCCGAAGATCCTATTCCGCTGCTCACCTCCACATTTTTGACTAGTCTTGTCTCTCACAGCCTTGCTGCTTCAACCAAGGCAGCCGTTCGCGATGAAGAGGCGCTTCCTCAGTTATACACCTATCTTTCCACCCTGACTCAGAACCCAGACAGCGGGCTGCAGGATATCGGAGTTCAGGGGCTGTCCGCGTTGTTACGGAATTCAAGGTCACGGGAAATGTTCTGGAATCAGAGGAAAGAAACCATCGATCCCTTGATCGAGATTCTTCGTGCTGCTGCGGGAACAAAAGACAGTAGTAGTGCGAGCACTCTAGCGGGCAGTTCGAGAGCCATTGAGCCCGGCCTCTCTGGTGGTGTCGGCCTGCAGCTCTTGTACCGCGTTCTCTTGGTACTCTGGCAACTGAGCTTCGAAGGGAGTCTTGTTGGAGAAGGCCTACAGTCGTACGTTCATCTAACATACCGAAGTAGGGAAGTCGTCCGCGGCTAATAATCGATTTTCAGGGATTATGAGTTCGTCCAAATATATACCCAACTTCTGCGTCTATCCCCGAAAGAGAAGACGACTCGTCTGCTTCTCGCAACTCTGAACAACCTCCTTTCCAGCAACCGCACGACTTTACTTCCAGTTGCTGTATTTGTCCGCCTTCCTGCTCTGCTATCCAACCTCTCTGGCCGCCATTTGACCGACCCAGACCTGCTGGAAGATTTGAACGCATTGTCTGAGATGCTAGATGAATACACCAAGACCCAAACGACATTTGATCAGTACGCCGCCGAGTTACAGTCAGGCCACCTTCGCTGGTCGCCGCCGCATCGCAACCCGACATTCTGGGCCGAAAATGCCCGTCGAATTCTGGATGAAGGGAACGGCGCGCTGCCCAAAAAGCTTGCCGAGATTCTGTCCAAGAGCTGGGATAACGACAAGCAGGTCCTTGCAATTGGATGCAACGATGTCGGTCAGCTGGTGAAAGAAATGCCGGAGAGACGTGGTCAGCTGGAGAAGCTCGGACTTAAGACTCGGGTTATGGAGCTAATGGCTGACAAGGACGAGTCTGTGCGGTGGGAGAGCCTGCGAGCCGTCGGAGAATGGCTCCGTTACACTTTCGAGGGCTGATCGTGTATTGGATATGGTTTCATACTACAAAGGATTCCCGACGTTTGAGGTTCGACTTGCCGGCGATGGAGGTATAGTACCGATGACATCTATTTTCTTGTCTCTTCGTTTCTGAGATGAACATACCTTTTCCATTCTGGATGCTTCCGCAGCGCACTTTCTCGTCTTCTGTTCAGCTGTTCAACTGTTCCACTACTCAACTGTTCAATCGTTCAACTGCTCAAACATCTTCCCTTTGTAGCAGTGCGGATTGGTTTGATAGATATATCCTGTTTGCTCGCATTATCCAGGCTCCAATATTATACATAGGCTCAAAAGAAAGTGGTCTTGGATCGTCTTAATTTTGAGGCACCCGTTAGTATCAACTCTAGCCCAGGCAAAGTTTGAAAGTCCCACTTTCATTGTATTTCGCACCCCACATTGATCAGAATATGTTGTGCCCGGGCCATCACACATCAGCGGGAAAGAAGGAAGTATAGATAGGAGAGATGACGCCCAACAAGCTGTTTCAAATCGTATAAGATCAAAGATGCTCAGGTTTTGTGCTCATTAAGTCTGATCGATAATCTCCAGGTGGACCTTGTGTGGATGATCAGCCGCTAAGGGATTCCAATAGAAACCGTACACTGTCGAAGTCAGTGTGTTAGAGTTGAGACTATCTCACCGGGCCCAGCCTTTTCGTTATCACTCGATCGAGTCCCATAAGAGACCCTGACTCCTGACCATTGCTGATATCGTCGTCTTTGCTTTGAATTTCTCTCTGTGTTCTGTTAAAACATCTGTTGAACCCATCTGATCACTTTCTGATACGAAGTATATGTCGATTTACGCATCCACTCCACGCTGATTTACAGAGGAGAACCCCACCGCAGATCGTTCCGAGGCTACCCCGGGGGAACGGCAGAAAACGCAAATTTTGAGAAACACAGTGAAAATCCAGCAGCCTCGTCCAAATCCATGTCCAGGTCATTTAATGGGTGTAAACGGTGCAAAGCCAGACGACAGAAATGTGACGAACAGCGACCTGGCTGCGGTCGTTGTCAAGCGGCCGGGGTGCAGTGTCGATATGCGATGCAGCTACAGTGGGGAGGACGGACTTTTTCGCGGTCGAGGTTAGGGGCCTGTATGAGCAACGGAGGGTTGCAGAAGCTTGGTATGTTTTCAAGAGACTTTGCTTTCCTTTGCCTTTGGTTTCTTTGGCTAATCATTTGTGGCCCTACAGAATATTCCCCTGGCGAATTTATCTACACAACTACATCCCCCTCCGCTACGTCGAGTACAGCGCTCTCTCCACGTGTTGACCCTTTCGTCTCTCTGTCTCCTGATCAAAAGTCGTTGCTTCATCATTTCATCCAGGATGCGTCGCAAATCACGGCATGCCACTCGAGCATGCAAAAGGATATCTGCAAAATGCTCGTCCCGATGGCCCTCCAGACCCCATCGTTATTATATGCAACAATGGCGCTGTCAGCCATCCACCTACAAGCAGTAAACAATCAGTCAGAGAATGTCAAGTCCGCCCCGCATATTGCCCGGTTAATGGCTCTCAGCCTCGAACACTTCCGGAAGGAACTACAAACCCCAAGCACCAAGGGGTCGGATGCGCTGCTCGCAACGGCACGCACGCTCTGTTTAGCGGAGATCCATTCCGGAGCAATCCATCCGAACTCGTGGCGAGCCCATGTTGAGGGCGCAAAGGCTCTTATGCTTGCTACAAATCGCAAGGGGAGTGAATCACCGGGTTCGTCGCAGGGTTTCCGTCGGTACTTGGACCGGTGGTACCAGTCGATTGTGTCCCTGACAGCACTGACGGGGAACGGGCCGCCCATCGAAGAGGCTATGGAACAGTCAGCCTCGGAGACCATCCACCAACAAGACGCGCCGGACTATCTGGACGACTACTGGGGCTTCACAGTAAACCTGTCGGCCATCTTCCGTGCAATCGGGGCGGCAGCCTGGCGGAGTCAGCACGACACACACCGACCAGGGTTGATGTCAGACGGCACCGATGCAGCCAGTGCCCAGGAGGCGGCCGTCCTCGAGTCCTCTGTGCGGACGCTCATGGCCCGGGACGCAAGTTCGCAGCCTACATTCTACCCAGGCGTCGCTGAGGGCCTCTCGGCCGAATGCGTGCGGGAATTCATGCTCTGCAACGAGGCGTTCCAGCACAGTGCGCTCATCCAAATCAACCGACGACTCCGTAGACTGCCCGCCTCCGCGCCCCTCGTACAGCACTCCGTCAAGCGGATTCTGGAGTGCACGGCGCAGATTGGGCCGTCTACGGGGCTGAGTCCGTGGACGATGCTCACAACCCCGCTGTTCATTGCGGGCTGTGAGGCGCAGGGTGAGGATCGCGAGAGGGTCCGGCAGTTGCTTTCGTTGCTGCATGATACCATCCGTGTGCCGAACGTGCTTCAGTCTTTGAAATTCCTGGATCAGTACTGGGCTAACCAGTTGAATGAGGATGAGGGCTGGAGTCAATATCTAGGTAAGTTGCTCCTTTCTTGATATGTGAGTCGAGCTAACAAAGTCCAGATCGAATGAGATTCGATTTCATCCCGTATTGACACGAAATGTGTATAGGCATGCGTTTTATGACAAGCGAGAAGTGAGCGTTTTCAGTGTTTTGTTTTTTGCATTATGTACAGAACGTCTTAGGCGTCTTGCCTCAGACGACAGTCTTTTGAGAAGTTCAGATATCCCGGCGTTGGTGGGTGTGCTTCAGTTATATCTTGTGGATTGAAATGATATGTATTCTACTCATATACCTTCATAACCATTTGATGGATTTTAACAAACTGTGTACCTCTTCAATCATCGACTAAACCCAACCTTTTGTATTTTCCCTACCCACGAGAGGCTGAAAGTCCAGGTTGGAATCCGTGCCCAACAGCATCTCATCGATCTGATTAGTAGCTGATTTCCCTCAGGTCCTAAGAAATGTTGCCCCCAACTGTTACAAGAACGTGGCACAACAGTCTGTACGGAGACATGCACTGGTACATCCTGTCAGGTCAATGAACCACAGTCGGCATGACAACAGGCCTCGTCCTTCAAAACCTGCGACTAACCATCACCATTCTCGCTTTACGGCTTCCCGTCATGCAGGGCCATATCCCATCTTTCCCATTTTCTGTCCGAGCTATATCTCGCAGTAATCCATATCTGCTTGATGCTTGATATTCTGGAGACTGTAGTTGTTCTTGAGGCTTCCTGCAGGGCTTTGGCTCTGTCGAAGAGTGGCACGGTCAGCATGCTCTTTTTATGTCCTCTGTCCTGAACTGTTCTTACCAGGTAGTCTGATAGTTAGCCTCCATTGCTTCTGTGGGTGGATATTCCCAAGATGTAAAGGGTCCCTATCCGGAAATTGGAGTTTATTCTTCCAAGCCTGGAGATGATGCAAGCAGAGGCAGGAGAGATGAAGTCAAACTAGCAGCTAAGTTTAGAAGCCATTATTGCACCAAGCTGATCAGACAACTCCAGATGGCTACATATCAACAAGTGAATAGTGACTCTTGCTTGTATCTAGCTATTCACAAGTTGGGATAAGCTTTGCTAGAATGTACTTGATGAACTGTTCCAGGATAGAAGAATGTGATGTGTCACAGTGTCACATTCTTCCTACAAGGAAGCCTAGGTCATATTGCATAAAGTCCGCATTGGCCGCAGTTTAATTCGATGGCATTTGCATTCTTCAAGACTAGGAGGCCAAGGTTGGTAGAATCATTTGTTGCATTCTATTCTATGGTCTTTATAATCATCCTGAAATCGCAAGTACTGACTGAGTATACCAAGCGCTTTATGTGTCTGAGTCTAATTGAAAGTCCCTTGCAGATTGATTGTCTTCCGTTACTTTATTTAGGACAGTCAAGCACTGACTATCTGATCAATAGTCGTACAATAAATCAAGCCACTGCTGAGCCAATCCAGGATTCCTTGGATATATTTAGCGATGTATCATACCATCAGGCATCATATGAAGTATCAAAAACTTGGAAACTTCTTCGAATAACTCCGTAGTATGAGGACAAAAGGAGCCTGGGAACCCGGATAATTGTGGCGCATGGCAGCAATAGTTCGTAGAATGGCCGTCGACAGTTCTTCCGGCCGCTGTTTCATATTTATTTGTTTTCTATATGCATCTATGTCCAGTGCGAATTGCAAAATGCTTCCCATCACTTGGATATTCAAGGAGACATTTGCTAATGATCATGCCTCGTTAAGGTTATGCACATAAGGATGACTGCCGAGTGGGCGCTTAATGCGGCCCTTGGATGGAGAGATTCTCCTGGACTTGAGATTGTCCAGGCGGCGCTCATGCTTCAATCTGATTGATTCGCAGGTCCCGTGCTTATGTTCATCACTGGTACTGTTTTTCTCAGAGATAACACTGAATGGCAACGATGATAGGGATGATTCTCCCGTTCTCAGGCTGGATTACCCCTGAAAGCGCTGGGGCTCCACAATTGCCTTGGCTTGGTCTGCCGATCGCCCAGTCTAGTCTACTAGAGTCGGTCTTGATGAGCCGTGCGAGGGTGTCTTGGAGACGAGAGGTTACACTCTGTATGCTCACTTGAGATTAACAGTAGATCAGAGCGATCAGCCTGAAGACAGATAGTAATCAAGAATTCAGTTAAAGACCTGTGGTAGAATTGCTGTGTCCAGTGTTCTGGACACCTGACACCTCAAAGAAAACAATCAAAGGGGAAGTCTTTTTAAGCCAATGCAGACATCTCCCATTGAATTGATACAATGGAAGTATCATCATTCGCTGTGCAATTATAGTACGTCGCGTAGTAGTCTTCAAACAGCCGCGAATCGAGATGCTGATATCAAACAGTCCTTAGGAAAAGCTCCACCTCGTCTGTGCAGCGCCAAAAGAACCACGAGAATCAGCCAACCAGATTGCTCCAAGAACATTTCTGATAGAGAATTTGGATTTTTTAGTTTTCTTAGTCTGGCTGCATACCATCTTAATAACCTAGAGTCCTCGAACTAGTTACGACTGTCTAGTGTCTAGAATACTATTATTCTTCTCCTTAATTCTCCCCGCTGCATGTCCCCTTGTCCTCACTTTTCTTTGGACCCCCTTGGTTCTTCACAGCCTTTCTCTGTCTCCTAACCACCCTAACTTCCGTTTCCCCTGGCACTGGCCCCGATTGTTACTATATCCGGTCAATTCTCCTTCATCCAGATATCCACTAGTCGCCGCGTGTCATCCTCAAGCCGCCCCGTGCTCTCTCAATCCCTCCTGAGAATTGCCCGTCATCAACATGAGGGTGCGTCGATCGAGAGAGCTACTAGCCATCTAGTCTAATCTTCATCTTCATTGACCGTCGTTTCCAACCCCCCTTCCCTCGTCCCGTTCCTGCTCTGATCGACTTTCCCTCTTTCTTCTTCCCTCCCCAAGATGCCCGTGGGCTGGCCTTCTCCGCCTGCAGCTGGCACCTTGACCACTTTAGTATCCTCTTCCCCCGGCGCCTATCATTCACACTCCCAAGACAGTCGGAGCGCCAGTAGCTCCAGTTGGCCAAGTCCGCCTCCCTCTGCTTCTTCTTTCCCTACTCCTCCTTCGTCTTCTCATCACCATCATCACCCTTCTATCCCCACCGGTACTGCTTCTCCGGTGCGCAGAAAGCCCCTCCCCCAGCAGCATGCTTCTTCCCCTGTGAACTCTTCCCGCCAATCTCGGCCTTCTTTGACGTCTCCCGTCACGCCAATTGATACCACTGCCACTACTCCTATTACGGCAATTACAGCTGCGGCTACTTCTTCTCCTGCGGCCAAGACATCTACAGAGCCTCCACTGGCGGCCACCAAAGCCCTATCCTCTCCTCCCGTCATCAGAAGCAACCTTGCTGCTTCGCACTCTTACACACTCTCTTCTGGATCATCAGTGTATGAAGAAGACACCCTTTTTGTACCTAAGGACCTAGACAGGTATGACAGTGTTGGATTCACGCTCGCCCTCCCGTGCTGCCTCCGGGGCTCGCCCCTCGCATCCCCCCTTAAATAGTCGCCTGTCTTCGCTTTCTTCCGTTTCTTCCGTTCCTCTCTATCCGAGATCCAAACTCAATGTCAGATGCCCCCCTTCGGACGCTATAGGACTAACCTCGTGCTTCAATTGCTCTTCCCCAGATCTTCTCGAGGCGGCACCTCCGCTCCCCCTCTTCGGATAGATACCTCCGCCGCCTATTGGCACGGCGAGGACGACGAGGAGTCCATCTACACCGCTCAATTCTCGAATGGAACCCCGTTGCACAATCGTCTTGTCAGCGAACCATTCATCCCTGTGCTCAACTCTCCGCCGGGCCACAAGCGTGCCCAAACTATGGCATTGCGTCTATCATCCAGCCGCCCGCCACCGTTGCACATCGAGTCCAGCGGTCGAACCGCATCGGCCAGCTCCTTGGACTCGAAACAGCCCAAGACCCCTGGGAACAAAATCAGCTCCTTCTTCGGCTGGAAAGCCGTCACCACATCGCCCAGCGCGGAGTCCTCGAGCACCGAGATCTCGGATTCGGGCCGGTCCCCTCTCCCGTCTCCGATGCCTCCTTCAATGCCCACCGCGTCCTTCTCCATCACCCCCTCGACCACAGTACCATTCGATCCCACCCGGGTACCGGCCCGCAACCCCTCCCTAAGCGGCGCCAGTATCCTCGAGGCCGCGTCAGCCTCGAAGCTCGCGGATCTCGAAAATGAACTCCGCGAGATCAGTTCCGAGCTGGCCGGTTCCATTCGGCGGGAGATGGAACTGGAAGATCTCGTCGAGAGGCTGCAATCCGAGATGCCGCAGGACGCCAACCGGCGCACCAGCGACTATTTTTCCGACTCCGGGACTAGCTCTATACGATATATCTACGACGCCAACGGAAAAATTGACGACTTGGACAAGTATCGGCGAGCAGCCGAGCAGGAACGCGCACAGCTCAAGGTTGAGCTGTCGCAGAAGTGGCAGGAAGAAAGAGCCCGTCGGGCCGCAACCGAATCACACGTTCAGATACTAGAATCCCAAGTGAACCAAGTATGTTTTTCTGCTCTGTCGGCTTTGGCTCAGCTAATGTGGTCAGTTACGACGAGAGAGAGTGGAGTCCTCCGATCTGTCCTCTAAGGCTCGGGAACTCGAGATTGCTCTGGAAGATACCCGCAGAAAACTGGCAGAGGAACGCCAGATCAAGGACAACTTTGAAGACCTCTTGACGGCGATGAGAGTGGAGCTGGAGCAGCTGCGGAACGAGCGCGACCATCTTCGGGATAATGTGATTCCTCAATTACAGCAGCAGCAGCAGCAGCAGCAGCAGCAGCCACCACAGAGCACACCCGCCCCGAGTCCTCGGATATTCAGCGATTACTCGGCGAGATTGAGGCTCTGAAAATCGAGAATGCCTCGCTGGCTCAACTACAGGGCAGTCGATTTGCGTCGATCGCCGAAGAAGGCGGTATGGCCCCACGGAGACCCGCGGGACTGGGTCTATCGCGGTCAAATTCGCTGGCGCGGCACTCGAAGTCGAGCGGTGCAGGTGGGTTGTCGCGGTCAAACTCGTTGTCTCGGTCGAATTCCGTGTCGACCAAGGATCGCCCGGATCGCGAAGCGTTGGCGGACCGTATGGAAGATGTGGAAGCGCAGCGGGATGCGCTGCACCAAGCCTTGCGGTATCTGCTTATGAGACAAGAACACCAGGCTCGAGAGTACGAAAAGCGCTTAAAGATCATGGAGTTGGAGCTGGCTCGTGCCCAAGAACTGGGCTCCCCACGTAGAATGGGGTACGAACGCGAGGTGCGGAATCTCCGGGAGGAGGTGAACCATCTCCGCCAGCGGGCAGAGGACGCGTTGGAACAGAAGTGGCAATGCGAAAAGGGACTGGCCGGTTTGAAGATGGATTTGGACCGTGCCGAGCAGGAGACCACTTCGTTGCGTGTTCTGCTGCAGGAGCATGATATCGCGGTCCCGGATGGGCTTGAATCCGAACGTGACGGCTTCGCCGAGGTCATCGCGACCTCTTCGTCTCTGGAGATGGCATACAAGCAGTTGCAGGCGGAACGGGAAGTCATCGAAGCCAGTGCGGCTCACTCTCCGCTGGTGGAGAGTGACGCGTTCGCGGCGTCCATCAGTCGTACAGAAGCACTGGCCAACCATGTGCAGCAACAGCTACAGCGGAACAACTCTCTGCGCAACCGCCTGGCCGAGGCGATCGGCAAGGGCGAAAAGGATCAGCAGCTGTCGGCGGCCCGGATCAACGAGCTGCAGGCCAGACTCAAAGAGCTGGAAGAGACACTACTGATGGCGCAGCAGCATTCCGAGGAGGAAATGGCGCGGCACGAGGAGGAGATTCGCAACCTCGAGGTCAGCCACAACGCGCAGCTGATGCGCGTGAAGAACGGCTCTCGCAGCCCGGCGGCACTGTCGCCCAAGCCGCCCAGCTCACCGTTTGGTGTGCGCTCGCCCCGTCTGGACAAGACGACCAGCGGCGAGGGGATCCCGCTGAACGAGGCGATCCAGGCGCAGACACTCGAGAAGCGGGTGAAGCAGCTGGAGAAGCTCCTGAGGGATGCAGATACGGAGATGGAGGAGGTGGTCAGTCGGATGAACCGGGCCCAAATCGAGGTGGCCGAACTGCAATCTGACCGGTATGTACCATTGGCAATTGGGGTGAATACGAGATAGCTAACTGTTTGCAGCGACGAAGCACTCCGCCAGACTCGGAAACTCCAGGCAGAGATCCAAGCCGAGCGAGACGCGTTCAAGGCCTTGATGGCCCAATAATTTAATCTTTAATGTATACACCATGGTGTTCTTCTGCTATATTTCGCGACGATGTCAGCGTGGTAAGGACACGAGGATGATGGATCTTCATGTATATAACTAGAGGAATACTAAACTATTAATGAGTAGTTGATTCATACGTGTAGCGTAGCTGCCCACTGCGGTATTACTCCCCAATGTTTGCTTTGTTTGTTTCACATGCTTTATCTATCAGCTTCCACGCGATTTGTCCATTCTCTGGAGGACAACAAGACAACCAGCATCATCATCTGCATTTCTTCTATCAGCGTCACTGACATATTTACCTCTACTTCTGCCTAACCTCGTCCAAACCCCCGGGGCAGACCGGTGATCCCAAAAAATGGAATACTACCTCCCAGGTCCGCCACCCCATCCAACACATCCAATCTATACCCCTAGTAGAAGACTAGGAAGACGAAACCCAACTAACAGAAAATAAACAGACTACCTAACGCCCCTCCTCACAAACCCACCCTCCAACACCTCCGCAGCCACGCCACGAACTGGTCGTCATCGTTGTCATTCAGCAGCATCCGCACCACCTACCTAGAGCCCTACCTCATAACCCCCTTCTCGCGGCTCCTCGCCTCCTCAACCCCCGATCTGGTATCTGTCCTACTTCTCCTCGTTATACTTGTGGTCTCGCTCAAGGTACTCGATTATGTGCGCCGGGTGGTCATGTTCTGGGTGATGCTTGCGGTGAGGGTTGTGTTTTACGGGTCGGTCGTTGCGCTGGGGTGCTATATTTATCGTGTTGGGGTGGAGAAGGCGGGGAGGGATCTGGGGTGGCTGCTGGGTGTGCTTTGGGGTTTTGCGGAGGAGGTTTTTGCGGGCGTTGAGAGTGGGAGGTCTCCTTCTGGCCATCCCGGGGCCGGTGGGTATGGATATGGATATGGGTATAGGCGTGAGGTTCCCGGGTATGGAGGGAGGGGCAGGAAGGGGAGGTGATTCTTCTTTTTTTTTTTTTTGACTTGGTTGTTGGCAATTGGGCATTCTTATTTTGGATTGGAGTGATACAGTACGGCTAGGCTGGCCTGAAGCTACAGTTACGACGTTATGCATAATGTTCATTTCATGTCGTTCCATGTCATGTCATTTCATTTTTGGTTGTAGCTATTGTGTATGCGCTGGCGCGACGCGGTATGTACCGTCTCTGGTCTGGTTCCTGAGCTGTGCTCTGTTCTCGCTGCCTTGGCTTAATGTGGCGGAGGCTTTGCCTGATGCGATGCCTGATACGATTCGACGGTGATACGCACATGGCCTGACGAAGTGAAGACGTCTATACGTCGGTGGTTTTTCCGTGTCGTATGGTAAAGGTCGTATGGTTTATGTCTTGAGTGGACGAGAGAAGATCAGATATCGGCATCCTCGTAGTTCACATCCTGCTCGTCGTTTGGCTCCCGCGGCTCCTGCGCCTCATGATACTGGATGGCGTCGTCGATATGGCTCAACACCGCGGCCACGCTGTCCTCATCCTGAACGTCTAGCTTCAGAAAAGACACCATGCTGAAATCGTCAATCAACTGCCCCACGGCCCGGTTCAACCGTTTGAATGATCCCCCGCTCAGCAGAGTATCCTTGGAACTGGGGTCTCCCTCGGCTGTCTCTTCTGCATCCCCGACCTCGTCTTGTAATAGATTCACATCGACGTTGACGAATCGCTTGAGCTCCTTCCGCGACACCATATCCCGCACCTGATCCATTTTGCTCAGAATATTCACATGCGGCATCTCCAGCATCAGCATCGCAGACATGGCGCTCAGCGTGCCCGCGAAAAACTTGGCCTTGTCTATGACAAACGTACTCTCGAGTAGATACGCCGCACACAGATTGATATTCAGCGGCCCCTGTCGCGAAAGGTACTGCACAAGCGACGGCAGCAGTGGGATATGCGTGTAGAGCTCGATCTGACCCGGCATGTCAAAGATGATCAGGTACTCTTCGCTCAGCGGGTCCAGCGCCTGTGACAAAAAGTCCAGGTTCTGCAGGAGGAATTCAAAACAATAGATGAGCCCGCCATTGGGACCCAGCTCCATCTCCTCCATCACATCTTCCAATGTGATCAGCTCGCGGATGTCCAGATCGGGCTCGTAGTTGAAGCTTTCGGCGGCCGGGTCGAGATTCACATAGAAGCAACTTCGGCGCGTGGTCTGCAGATGCTGGATGAGGGCACTGCAAAAGGTCGACTTGCCGGCGCCTGCCGGGCCCATGACCAGGACTCCGAATTTGGACATTTTGTGTCGGTCGCTGTATATGAAAGGTTATACGCGGTGGAAAATGGATGCGCTCGGCGGGTTATTCGGTTAGTACGTCGTCTTGCGGGACACCATCCGTAATCTGCAACAGACCTATGCACGCTAACTGCGCACTAACTAGAAAGTATTATTGGACAGTGAGCTAAAGACTGCTGTCAGCACTGTCAAGGTACCCCAATTAAGACTGATGCTCAGCCACCAGCATCAGCGCCGATTGGATGCGTTCGGCCTCCGGATGAAAAGTGGGAGACCCGTTCCTCCTTTTCTGCTTCTGCTCACCGCCGGAGCAAGATGGCGCCATCGGGGCCTCATTAATACGGCCAAAATCCCCTCCTCCTTTTTCCCTCTCCCCTCCATCCATTTTTCATATCCATCCACTTTCCCCCTCCTGTCCTTGTACTTTATCTCTCCAGTCTATCTACCTTTCTCATATCCTTCTCATATCCTCATCTCTCCTCTCCTTTTTCTTCCTTCTTCTTTTTCCCTCTTTTTTTTCATTCAGAATCTCAATTCACAATGGGCAGCGTCGCAAAGTCTAACACTTTCCTCTTCACCTCCGAGTCGGTCGGTGAGGGTCACCCCGATAAGATTGCGTGAGTTCTACCCCCTCTCTTATGACATATGTGTCCTATACGAGTCTCCTCAAATTCTCATTGCCTTCAATTCATTCAATCATCTGACAATTGAACAGTGATCAGGTCTCTGATGCCGTCCTCGATGCCTGCCTTGCTGAGGACCCTCTCTCCAAGGTACATTCCCCCCCCTTTCAAAAAATTTTCTCCGCTTTGATTGGACCGGGCACATTTCCGCCAACTTTTGCCGTGCGACTCGATCAATGGATGTTGACTTGTCCCCGTATAGGTCGCTTGTGAGACTGCTACCAAGACTGGTATGTTAATTCTTTCGTGTCCCTCAATGGACGTCTTATGCTAATCATTGCTCAGGTATGATTATGGTCTTTGGTGAAATCACTACCAATGCCAAGCTGGACTACCAGAAGATCATCCGTGGTGCCATCAAGGACATCGGTTATGATGACTCCGAGAAGGGTTTCGACTACAAGACCTGCAACGTCCTTGTCGCCATTGAGCAGCAGTCCCCCGACATTGCTCAGGGTCTTCACTACGATGAGGCTCTTGAGAAGCTCGGTGCCGGTGACCAGGGTATCATGTTCGGTTATGCCACCGACGAGACTCCTGAGCTCCTTCCTCTCACCCTCCTGCTCTCTCACAAGCTCAACGCTGCTATGAAGCAGGCTCGTAACGATGGTTCCATCCCCTGGCTCCGTCCCGACACCAAGACCCAGGTCACCGTTGAGTACGCTCACGACGGCGGTGCCGTCAAGCCCCTGCGTGTGGACACTGTCGTCGTCTCTGCCCAGCACAGCGATGATGTGTCCACTGAGGAGCTCCGTACTGTCATCAAGGAGAAGATCGTCAAGAAGGTCATCCCCGCTGAGCTCCTGGACGATCGCACCGTTTACCACATCCAGCCCTCTGGCCGCTTCGTCATCGGTGGTCCTCAGGGTGATGCCGGTCTCACCGGCCGTAAGATCATCGTCGACACCTACGGTGGCTGGGGTGCCCACGGTGGTGGTGCTTTCTCCGGAAAGGACTACTCCAAGGTCGACCGTTCCGCTGCCTACGTCGGTCGTTGGATCGCCAAGTCCCTTGTTCACGCCGGCCTTGCCCGCCGTGTCCTTGTCCAGCTCTCCTACGCCATTGGTGTCGCTGAGCCCCTCTCCATCTTCGTCGAGACCTACGGTACCTCTGACAAGTCCTCGGATGAGCTCGTCGAGATCATCCGCAAGAACTTCGATCTCCGCCCTGGTGTCATTGTCAAGGAGCTCGACCTTGCCAAGCCCATCTACTTCCAGACCGCCAAGAACGGTCACTTCACCAACCAGAGCTTCCCCTGGGAGAAGCCCAAGACTCTCAAGTTCTAAATGCGTCCTGAGTGACCGCGTAGAACTTGTTGTCTTTTGTTTTTTGACGAATGTGATGAATTTGCTTTGTTTTCAACAACTCAAAGCATGAGAGCATAGACATATTTCGAAAAAGCCTTTTTCTTCTTTTCTTCGGACCTTTTTCTTTATTGATATATTTGCATGGTCTCCTGCAAAAAGGAGACTGGTTTGGGCGAGGATAAATTCAACATGATACCACTTTCATCTATTGGGCAGGGATGTTTTCGGCGTTTCAGGGAGCGGAAGTCTTCAACACATGCCTCCTCCGAGGCCATCTACTAGACTACGAGCGCTATCTGGCTAGATCAGCCTGTGGCACATGGATCCATGTGCTCCGGATGATGTCTCCTCGAAGGAGAGATGTCGGTGGCCAGTTGAAAGGAGCTTGGTCTTCTTTAACCGTCGTCTCGAGCTAATCTAAACATTAGCTATATAGAATAATCCACGACACATTTATTCATGTCTTTGTAATTGATCTTTTAAAAAAGTTGTCGTGTAGAGAGGTAGAAGGTCTGTCATTTTACCCAAAGGGGAAATCGGGACGCGTGAAGTAGTCGCACTTCGATGTCGATAACTCGCATTTAAAATAGCAAGACCAGGAGACAGCATAAGACAGTCAAGGTTTGCTTTAAAGTCCATTATCCTGTCCTCGACAGGCAATCAAGCAGATTCGACATTCTGGTTGTTGTGGATGCAACGAGACGCGTGACGGACGCCTAGCTCGTCCTCGCGAATCGCGACAACTGTGAAGGAGCTTCCCCACCAGGCAAAAGTAGACCCATTTCTATCATTCTTCACCGGACAGCAAATCGACGATTGTTCCATTTGCACTGTTGAATTCATTGACTGCTCATATCTGCTCATATTTACCCTAACAAGACCTTCCTCCTCTAATGTCAAGAACATAATGCATGATTCCCGATAGACGCGTCCATGGCCTCGCGTCGCTCCTCCGGCGTGCTCGAAACCCTCAGCTCTTTCTCGCTGAACAGACTCCATGATCCCTCTACGACTCATCCTCCCTTGAAGAAGCGAAAGACATATCACGCAGCTACAGGGGAACTCTCGCGCCAGACCATCAGTATCAGGGTGAGTTTCACCATTCCAACAGCAGCTACAACGTTTGTTAACTTGCTCCGATGTAGGCCCACGCCGCAGCTTTATCAGACGAACCCTACGTCCTCGAGCCCATCGCAGTCGTCCCACGATCCCGTCTACCTTTCACATGGCTTGATTCGCCGGCCGCATTGTCGCAGATCCAGAGTGGAAGTTTGTTCGTCGCCAACATTCCTCTTTTGGAGGAGGGTTTGCAGACTCGGGCTGAGCCGTGCGTTCTGGCTGTGCGGTTGGTTCCTGATGGGGACTTGTACGCTGTTGAGCGGGTGAAGAGGGGTATCTATGCTCTGTCGAAGCTGGCTCGTGGTGTGGAGGAGGGAGATATCTTTGTTGCGGTCAAGGGATGGAACCCTTCTACCGGGTGTGGCGAGGGGATCCAGCCCGACCCCCGTTGGAAGCAGAGAGTGGAGAGGAGTGGTGGCAGCAGGCCAAAATCGAGGCTCCAACATCCGTTACTCCGCCGTCTGCCAAGCGCGCAAAGTTCGATGTCTCGCTTGTCTTTCATAAGGCGGCAGTGGATGCTCGCGTTGACGGGACACTGAAAGAGATATCGCCAGTGGATTCGCTTGAGCAAAGGCCCTCGATGGCTCCTCCTGCGCTGCCAATCGAGCGGGGTTCGAGCTCAGACATGCAGATGCCGTTTGTGCTGCACGATTCTCGGGATGCTGATGGTGCTGTGTTCGGGGACGTTGCTGCTAATGGGGACACTCGGCCTGCTGATCCCTCACAATCTCCGCAAGAGCTGCTGGATGCTATGAGAGAGCACTACCTGCAAGCTCTCTACATCTCCAAGGTTTGTAGCTCTGTTGTGTTTGTGGTCTATGCGCTAATTTTACCCAGACTTCTGTTGCATATTTTGCCAAAGGACCTCTGGCGCGATGCCGCGCCGCCTTCCAGGCGTCCGGGTCGGATTCTACAAATACAGCTAGACATCTTGCAGACTTCTACCGAGAGACTATTCTGGCCGCAAAGAAGATGGATTTGAAATATCGTGAAACTCTGCCTTTGACCGTCCGAGATGTGCTTTTGAGTACGTCGGATGATGACGCGCGGAAGAAACGCAAGAGCAGGAAACGAAAGTTGGGCAAGAACGGACTCTACCCAGAAGAGGAGGGGTTCATCCGCAAGTGGTGGAGAGATCGGGCTCTGGCGGACAATGGGGTTCCTGCAGAGTTGTCCCGCGACGCAGAGCTCAAGAAGCACATCGCGGATTTGCGACTACGAGAGACACAGTTGCAAATCCTACTCATTTTGGAGACGTTGGCCCTCGAGATGAATGGGCCTGGTGAGACATCGAAGACGGACGGTTCTCCCGGAAAGCCGTCGGACGATACCAGGACCAAATCGAAGAAAAAGCCACAGGATTTGGATGTGCTGCTCGAACTGCACCTTGACCGGCTGTGCATTTGGCATGCCGTCAGTACCGATGACACAGCCTTAGCGGAGTCCACGAAATCCTTTGACAGTCAAACGGGTAAGAAGATCGAGAGCGACGCCGTCCGGGACTTTTGCACCGAGGTCATTGTTCCATTTTACGCTTCGCGTCTGCCGGACAGATGCAAGCTGATCACCCGCAAGCTCGGTGTCTCTGGCGCGATATCGGCTTTGGCCAAACAACCCAGCGGCACAAAGAAGACGTCTCGCACCGAGCCTGGGAAGCCCACTGAGCGGCACTCTTCTCAGAGGCATCCGCGTCGATCCTTGCAACGGGTGCTCACCGACCAGCAAACGACCTCTCAAGGACGACCCCCGTCTCTGGGACGCTCCAACACTGTGCCATCGCAATCAGAGGCCAAGCGCGAGTCGATGGAGCCGCTGCTGCCGGTGCTCAGCGTCAGCACGAGAGGAGGCATCCAGAAGCCGAAACGGGCGGAAAATCGCGAAGTGGACCTCAACGCGGTGGCTCGTCAGCACGAAGCCAAGCTGAAGAAGGTGCAGATGCTGATGGAGCAGAAGAAGGAGCTCGACGCGGCGATCAATGCGCTCCGCAAGCCAAATCGCGAACTGGTCGCAAAGGATATCGCAGAGGATGCAGTCAAGCGGGCATCGGGCGGCAGCTCAAGGAAACCAAAGAACCCCGTCCGCAACCCGTTCGGGCAAGGCGTGCAGGTCATGGCCACCCCAAAGGGAAACCGCAAGAAGGACGCCGTTACGAGCTTGCCTCCGCCATTCAAGAATATCGTGCGGTCGTCGGCAAGTAAGAACGGATCCTCGCCGTTTGCGAGTGAGCCACAGGTGGTTCCAGCGTCTACACTCCGACCCAGCTTCATCTCCAATAGTTCGGCGTCTGAGTCTATATCTGCTCCTGGTTTGAGCTTGGGGGATATGGGTGCCATCCAGGAAACGCCATCTCGACGGCCGGCGCAGTCTTTGGGGCTGATGGACACCGCGACAGACGACACCTCCCCGGCCATAGCGAAGAACTTATTCCGGGTCCCCCGACGCCCGATCCCTAAATCCACCGACGTCGCGCCATCCACGCCGATTGCACCGGGATCCGCCGCTCAGGTCATCGGCGTCAAATCATCTACGGTGATGGAGACACCGCCGAGGCCAGCCCCTGTCGTCCAAGAGAGCATCCCTGCCGCCTCCCCCGCAGCCGTGCTCACCACACCAGTGAAGAGTAGCGCCAGACTGGCTGTGCCGGTCGTCTCGGCGGTGCCTGTGACACCGGAGAAATCCATCTATGAGCAATTGGGATGGGACGATGATCTTGCTTGATTTTTTTCGGTGATTCGTTTGCAGGCGGCGTTTTCGTCCTTCGGTGCATTCGGCATTTTCCTCATACTTCGGTGCATGTTAGGCTGCATGGTATGGTGTTATATATGCTAGTCACTTACATTTTTTATTCAAGTACAAAGCAGAAGTACAGTGAAAGAATGCCAATTCATGCATGTACATCAGTGTCAAGTTGCAACTACTGTATAATTCTACACAAGTACAGTACTTAACCCGCAATTCTGAAATTCATCATTGAAATGAATCAATAAAAACCTCACTTAGTTCCAGAGCACGCACTGATAGGCTCCAAGTCCTAACTAACGACTCGATAAGAGTGAGGAACGATTAACGGAGAAATCCTACCTCCCTTCAGGTCTAAGGTCTCAGGATTCATGACCCCACATGGGACGAAACAGTCCGCAATCCGGAGTGGAGGCCGGAGACGGGAGACGAAGACTTGGAGAACGATGGTGAGGCGATGTTGATCTGTGGAGTAGTGGACTTTTGACTTCGTTCGGAACTTGATGGGCGACGACTGAGAGATCAGGAGATTAATCTGACTTTGGAGGTGACGACTAGGTTCTTGGCTGGATGGAGCCGGGTATTCGGATGAGTACCTACGAGTATGACTCGCAGGGTTGGGTGATTTTTCGGCTTGACAGAGTGAGAAAAGTACGAAGTAGAGAAAAGAGAGTCTGTTGGTTTATGATTTTTATATTATTATATACCCTGTAAGACAGATGCCAGTAATGCATGGTTAATAGATACAGAACCCGGTCCAACTCCGCCAGATCCTCGTCAAGAGGTATGCTGCGCCTAATGCTTGCCTGCTTCCCCGTTTTTGTAACTGAAAAGAGTGTCGTAACGTCGTAACTTCGTGATTATAGTGTTGTAGTGTATTAAGATGGGAGAGTGACAGAAAACTTTTGTTTCCCGTTCGTCGGTGTCGAAAGAGTAGAGTGTATATAGAAGAGTGATGATGATGAGAACCGGTTACCCGGCGATGCGAACAGGTAGACAGGGCCCATGGGCAGGCCAGAAATGTTTCATCTGGACTGTCTTTTCCAGACAACTGCGGCCTTTTTCTAGGAGGCTTTCTTTTTCTTGTTCTGTTGTTGTTGTTGTCGTTGTTGTCGTTGTTGTTGTTGGTGTCGAGGGAGTAGGAGCAGAGGCTGGGACGCTTGATACGACTTCAAAGCTCACATGGAGCGTCGTCTCCTCTTTAGCGGCGGGTTCAGCGACGGTAACAGTGCTGGCCTTCTCGACAAGACGCTCCACCACCTCTGGAGCAGGCACCTCTGGAACCTCATCGTCATGTATCTCCTCCTCGTCTTCCGAGTCGGAATCGAGATCAAAGGAGTTGATGCGAGAGGTCATATCCCGCTGAGCCCATTCCATGGACGTGCAGTGGAGGCGAAAGTGGCCGAGGCATCGTCTGATATTCGGGTCGGGCGCGGTGGCCTCGCGGGCGAGTTTTTGCTTGGAGAGGGTGGTGAGCCTGTAGGGGAGGGAGGTCTTGTCGGCCAGGGGAGGCCAGCGCTTGTTCATGGAGGGAGTGGTTGATAGTGTGACAGCCATTTGTATTATGGATTTGATTGTTGATTGAAGTGGATGGAGAGAGTAGATGCTCAGGTCAAATATGATAAGGAAGGAAATCGTATGATGATTCCTCGATTCCTTGATTTCCCGGCCGGGATGATGTCGAGTGTATGGCGATACGCGTCAGTGTAACAGATCAGGTGATGTCATGGGAGGAGTGGCGATGGCGATTGTCCTAATTGGGAAGATGATGAATCACGATAGTGACACACTTGAGAGCTTCTTGAGGAGGATGGAGGTGATCTGGAGAGAGACACCGGGGGAAGAGAGAGAGAAAAGAACAGAGAGAGTCGAGGGGGCAGCCGAGGGGCGAGGAGTGCCGGAGGGACAAAGATTTATACACTCGCCCGGGAGACCCAAATCAGTTAAGCCGGAGGTCACTATCGAAGCTGGGTGGACTAACAAAGGGACTAAGGCAGGCAAAATTCTGCGTGTGGTTGATCCTAGAGTCTAGACCACTGATCACCAAGAGTAACAGTCTCCTTCTTGATAATCTAGTGATCATATTAGAATATAACAGTCATTGAAATTAATATGATATGCTAATATTTTGGAACAGTGTTCCACAGTTACCATTTTTCGTGTTGTTCAGCTTGTTCTAGCGAGTCAATCAGAAATTGCGTGACCAGCTCTCAGCGGTTACCCGGGAAAGATTTTCTTCTCGAACACCGGAGATGGAGAGGAGACCCTCTTGGCCTCTTCTCTTCTGTAGGCGCTGTCTTCTCCACCGCAAAATCAAGTTTGGCAGCTGACCAACCGGTGGGTCTGCAAGGGCTCGGCCATCCATGGAACCTTTTACTCTCTCGCCCAGCAACCAGTCAGATAACAAGGATGCAGCAGGTCTGGGCATCTGGACTCTGGCCCCCTGCAACTGCAAGAAGAGCAAACCTGTTCTGCAGTCGGGATTGGCGTCGTGAAATGCGGAGTACTGATCTTCATTCGTAATATCATAATATGTTGTACGGACTATATCAAGGTAGTTGGTTTTGATGTATTTACCAAATATGAAATGATTGTTAAATGGTCTATTTGGTTAATTGTTCTATTTGTGTCTGTTTAGAAATCGACTGTGGACTGTGTGGGTTTTTCCAGTGGACCCCTAAAGTAAGGTACGTACACCAGTGGGGTAGCGAGAACCACATGATATGATGATCATTGGCTGTACTTTGTGGGGTTATTCTCTTCCATCTGCGCATAGACCGAATTGCCTATTATAGCATCATCTAAGCAACATAATTTCTGCATAAGGCAAGTATCTTATCACAGTTACTCTAGGTTATTTTCTTCAGAAAATGAAAATGAAAAATGAAACCCCCAATTCTGTCAAGGAGTGTATATCAAATTTTGGCACTCTTGAGGGTTGTCGAGTCCAAAACCCTAAGACTGCGTAGTTAGGATTTCTGCGGAAAGATCGTAGTCATTAGTCATTGACTCGAGAATGAGGCCTGGTGAACTCTGGAGACTGAGGTACGTACTCCAGACTCCAACTGTTATCTACCTTAGTAATTCGCATTCAGGTCGATCGATCGAATCATATGGTCATACATTCTGGCAAGAGCAACGGCAGATAATTGATGGTTTCTCACCTAAAAAGCCCTTGCCCCATCTGTCATGAATCATCATAACATGAAATCCCATCAATGGCTCCCAATCAAAACTCTGGTTACTTGCTTTCGGACCGACTCAACCAGAGGCTGCCTATCGAGACAAGAGAGAGAGGCTATCAGTATGGAGATGTATACGCGAAATAAAGTTTGGGCCGCAGCTTGGCCGTGAGTTTATTTTCGAATACAACCCTGAACGCCACTGTCCCAGACACATTGATATTATGGATGAACTGTGGTTGGTTCGAGGTAAGGTTGGCCACAAACTGAAATATAGTTGGTGTTATATTGCATTTGAGGCAGGTTGTTATCGCAGAGTCATTGGTCTCAATTGAATCCTGCTTTTGAGTCGTCTACGAATGACATTCTTAACCGAGTACCAGGCTTCGTACAGACCGTGAAGTTCTCATAGTGAGAAGCACATGGAATGCCACTCAACGGATAACTTCTTAAGTTATGTTGGATATCTGCTGCACCATCATTTCTACTAGCTAGAAATGGCTTGTCTTGACACCCTTTTACCTCATTGGTTTGAGTGCGCTCAACCAATTTTACCAATGGTTAGATTTCTCAGTCTGCCGCCCATGCCAGGCTTCGCTGTGGGAGGCAACCTCGCCGCGTACTCGGCGGTAGGGTTACTGCTTGACTCGGCTGGCCAATGCGCAAGGCAACAGCTGTGACTGGAATCAAGTAGGTAGGTTACCCCATACTGATTGGTTCCATGAATGATACCAATTGCAGTACGCTGACTTCAATCCTAAAGGGCAGTCATCCACTGTCTTGGCTCCCAGCGAGTTCCTCTTCACTGGCAATAGCATACAACAACGCACTCCTGCAGCCACTGCCGTCAGGTTACTCTGGAATAGTTGCCAGCGCTGTGGGTGGTGTGTACTCCGAGCGAACCTTCTCCTGCTTGATGCAAGGACTTCATTCTATCAAATGGATTGACAAGTCATTGCTGGCGTGGCCCGTTGTTCGTGCTTATGGCAATATCTACTTTTTGATACTCCTACGGGGGTGTCTGTTTTCACCTTCTTGAATGCGAGGCTAGTCGATCAATCTGTGTCTTTATCGGACAAATTGCTCAGATTTGTCGAGAGAGGCAGTTCGGGTCTTGACGCAGATCCGAAGAACATGACTCACCAAACGCTCGAAAGCGGCCCAATGTTAGATCTATTTTCGAATGACATGCATGTCTGCCTCGCAATATCTGGTCAATCTCCTGAGCGATGCCTGAAAGCATCTACGCCACAGAGAATAACACCCACCCGAGTAGGAGCCCTCCTAGAGAATCGACACGCTAATCAAACTCCATCATTTTTCGACTCACAGCGAACTGTCCAAGCTCCATTGCCGGCAAGACTATCGAATGAAGATGAGGACCGTCTATTCAGAGAAAGAGGCAAACGGCAGGTGGCACAGCTGTCATCAAGGTGAGACAAGTTTGGAATGTGAGTATGCGTGCACGGCCCTGATCGACTCTAGTTCCCGCTCAAGTGACCCTCTACAAGACTACGCCAAAGTCTAATGCCGATGATTCCGCAGGTCATCTGCCACTCTAGGATGCCTGAACCGGGGTGGAGTGGGCAGTGCTTGGATACTTGATTTGATAGCCCACGAGGCGAGTCAGGAATGAATCAGGGTTGGGAGCCGAGTGGCTGAGAGGATGGAAGAGATCACCAAAGCTTAGGTAGCACTGGGGATGTGCAGCTATACGCTGCATGTCCGCTAGACGCTGCTACATTGAGTTGCACGTCCTCAACTCTATTTCTTGCTCTTGCACCTCTAGTGCTGGTAGATTTTATGCGCCTATTTTCTCTGGTGGCATTAAGTACGCCATACCTCAAAAAACACCTGGGCCTGATAGCGAGGGAACAGTGAAGGAGATGGAACAGAAATGGATCGGTTCTCAAACCTGGACTGAATGCGCAGCATTGTCTTGTGATTGGGCCTGAAATGGAAAGGCGCGAGATCTTGCGCGAGTACAGAATGACGCCATGAAATACTCCATCCATGCTGACGATCGCTTGTCGGCTAGAATACTATGCTATTGTACTCTTCTTCGGGGTATTATCCGGGCTCATTCGGCTACCACTCCACAGAGGCACTGTCTATTGGTCTTTGACCAGAGAGATCTGGAACTATTGACAATGCTTCCGCCCATCAGATAAGAACAATAGCACTGCCGACATTCTTGAGCTGATTTGTCAACATACTTTGACGACACCGACAGCATCTGGTACCATGGCACTAGTGACCGAGACCTTCAGGCAGATTTCAAGATGCCCACTCAAGAGGCTATCTCCATTCCTCCTATCCAGCGTAGGGACTGGACTTGCTCGCTGTTTCTGAAGGGTATGGAGAATAGTAATGTCCGTCGCATAATGTCTCGGCTATTATTAGGCAAATGCGACAGGATCTGAAGATACCAAGATACTACCCTGATATCAGATACCTTGTGACTAGTGAATCATCTTGATCCTGATTCGCTCTTCCGTCCATATCGCTTGATGCTTCGTAATCTTGCTGGCGGCAGACTACTGCACAATACCCTTGACTATGGCTAGAACTGCAGAAGCATTCCAGGGATTTCATTGGTGGGATCTTGCAAGAAAGACCTTGTCTCTTCTACCTGAGTAGTATCCCAAAGGATAGTCAATAGTCATGTTCTGTCTCTTTTGTCTCATGGCTCAAATCTGTCCGCGCTATCCGAGAAATTCTAGCCTGGTTACATTTTTCAGTGTTCGCGTGGGCTCTGCAGGAGAGCCCGTTGACATGGCCCAATGTCGTCATAATCTCCTTCTTCTTCTCGGAGATAGAATTATATCAGGGTTACTTGGTGAATGAACTCCCAAAATCACTGAGATAATTTGCATACCTATTTATTCTTGCAACTTGCATCTTCCTGTTTGCAGCGACCACGGATTCACCCGGTTGGACTGTGATCCGAGGGCCAGCCGCCAATCAGAGGCCTTGTGGCGCCGCCTCCCGCCAGGTGCCCCCTCCACCGTTGGTCAACTGGCCCAATTCGTGTCTGAGATATCGCCATGGACGTAACTTACCCCTCCCCCTTCTCCATACATTGATGCTCCTTACAGTCCATACGCCCAGGCAGAAGTCAGAAATTATTGACTGACTAAAGTAATATACCTAAGGCATATTATTATTCCTTCATCACATCGGCTCCTGCTGGGTAAACTTTCATCTCTGTGCTTACTTTCTTCCCCACTCCACCCGCGAAGGTGTCTCGCTCTGTCTGACTTGTCCTTTTTGAGGTACGTCTTATTTCCACCAGGATAATCTATCGAGCTCGTACCGATCAATCTGTCTATCTGTCCATCACGCGTTTAATCCTCGTCTATCGCATTCGCTGCACATATTCTCGAATAATACACTGGTACAATACACATACCCCATGCTCCCTACCTTACCTGCTTTTCTTTTATGCACCCAGGCAGTTTATCGTCACACTGGCTGTTGCTCCGTGTACCCACTGATTGACTCCATCGGCTGGTGGCGCGCGTTCTTCCCTATCAATCAAACTGTTTACTACCGCTAGCTATTTCTTATTGCATCGGGTTTGTTTTTCCCTTTCCAAGTCAAGCCTAACTCGGATATCCTGGGCCACCTTATCGCGTTTCCCTGGCGCTTGACTGGGTGCCGCCGCTTTCTGCAGGCAAGGAACCTTGGGAGGACCCAGTCAGTTTCCTGCCTGATCAGCCTCAGCCTCCTGTGGCGGTGTCCTCTCCAGCCACAGTTCCGTTTCCGAATCAGTTCACCGCCTTGCCTTTTGCCCTTCTTACCTTACCTTACCTCTATCATACTGCTCTTCTCTCTCACTGTTCTTTCAAACTGCACCATATCAAAGGTACCTGCTATCAGTACCATACCTTACAGTACCTGTATCATCTGAATCTGCAACCTTTTTCCTGCTGATCCCGCTGTCTCTGCCACACCACTGACCACTCACTGCGATCACCAACCACCAACCAAAAACTGAACTAACTGCTTCCCCTCCCCAATCCAGTCCATGATTCCATCATCAACTGCATGCGCGTCGTGATCTCCCACATCCCAGTCAAGGATCAACTTGTGTCGTGGCAGTCTCTCCTTCTTCCTTTCTTTCCATCCCACTGCAGCTGCGCTTGCCAACTCACTTCCGCCCATCCTGTCCCGTCACTGTGGGTTCTCAACACCTCTCGCTCGCGTTTCGCTGACGCGCCCACGGCCCTGCTGACAGCCGTCATCAAACTTTGCCTTCCCCCGTCCTTCCTTGGCCCGCCATGTATGGCACCTCCCACACTTCCGTCCCCGCCCCGATGAATGGCATCGGAGGCGAGCTTGTCGATGGGTCGGGAACCATCAATCCTGCTGCTCTGAATAATTCCGGTATGCTATCCCTTTATTTTTTTATATCTGCCAGCCTCCCTACATGCTAGCTCTTGCATATCAAGATCCCCACTGTCGCTTATCACGGAGGTCGTGGTTTATTTATACTATACTTCGTCCTTTGCGACAGCCTCCAAACTGACGGCCTTTTGCTAGTCGCCGCTGTTCTTCCCTCACCTTCCTTGGGAGACTCAGCGCCAGCAGGTCCAACATCAATAGCTACCCCCGCAGGCCTAAATCCCCCTCGTGGCATCAAGCGCAGTCGCACCCCCGATCAACGCGCAAACTCGCGCGCGGATGGTGACCATGATGACGGTATGTGCGCGTCGCATGTTTCACGGTCAAGGTGCCGTGCGAGACTGTCGAGCGGCTTCGTCGCGTTTTCTCTGTTATACATTCACGCATCTCTTGATGATACTGATGCTAACTATTGATCGTAAATAGATGAACAGGGTCGGCGAAAACGAGGACGTCCTCCCAAGACGCAACGGCCCAACGACAGTCAGAGTCAACAATCGCCTGGGAGTGCGAGCGTGCAGACTCCCCGAATGCAGTCGCAGTCGCTTCCACGGCAGACCAGTGTGAACGTGTCGCCGCCGCAGGCATCTCCCCCGGAAAAGGCGACCCCCACCAAAGCCGCCGTAGTGAAGGCGCTCCCGACGGTCAGAGATCACACCACCGACCAGCTCAACGAAGAAGGCGATGAGTATATCCCCAAGGAGTTTGATGAGGCTGGCGAGAAGAAGGTGGACGCCATGGGTTACCCCCAAGGCGGCCGTGAGTTCAAATGTCGGACATTCCGTGTGCCGCTCCGTGGAAATAAGCTGTTCATGCTGGCGACCGAATGCGCACGGGTGCTTGGGTATCGAGACTCGTACCTGCTGTTCAACAAGAACCGGTCTCTGCACAAGATCATCGCATCGCAAATCGAAAAAGACGACCTCATCCAGCAGGACGTCCTGCCGTACTCGTATCGGTCGCGCCAGATTGCCATTGTCTCGGCCAAGTCGATCTTTCGTCAGTTCGGCAGCAGGGTCATCGTGAATGGACGGCGTGTGCGCGACGATTACTGGGAAAGCAAGGCGCGAAAGCAGGGTTTCACCGAGGATGACCTGGCCGGTGAAAAACGACCGGGGGCCGGCAAGGCTCGAGACGCCGCCGCCGCGGAAGCAGCCAATGCTGCGAATCTGTTGCCGACCCTCACCCATGGCGACGTCATCTACAGCAATGCGCTCGAGGCCATGCCTCATGGCTTGCCGGTCGGGGCCCGTCCTCGAGCTCGCTGGCTTCTCTGCCGATGATCCACATGGCCACCACCACCGACGATCCCCGGCTGAGGGAGTACAACAGCATGCCTCGTGCGCGCCAGGAGATCACGGGCCAGCCGTACCAAGACCGATCGCAGCCCAGCTCGGCTGCCGAAATCCTCAACCACGCCTCGCACACGGCCGACTTCAACAAGATTCTGAGCAACCAGCGCAGTTTCCGTCAGAAGGGCCTGGAGGAGTTTTACTCCAGCCAGCGCGAGGTCCCCGAGACCACGGATCTGTCGCAGCCCGGGCAGTTGGACGCCACCGCGTCGGTCTCCCAGCCCTTGCAATCGCCTCAGATGGCGTCGGCGGGCCTGATCAGCTCGACGCAGCCGCAGGCGATTCTTCCCAACCAGGCGCCGATGATGGCCGGTCAGGCCGCCTTCCAAGCGCCTACAGGACACCAGCAGGGCCCTATTGCGCAGTCTCCCATCCAGCCCATGCCCGCGGTTCGGCCCAACCTGATGCATCAGCGTTCGAACCCTGCTATGTCCGGGGGCACGCCGCAGCCAACCGGACCATATGGGTACCCGGCGCAACAGCAGCAAATGTGGGGTCAGCCGCCTCCGCCGCCGCAACAATCGCCCATGTCCGCCGGTGGCCCGCAAGGGGGTGGAATGCCACAGTATGCAGCCCAAATGCATGCTCCACAGCAATCTCCCTCGCCTATGGGCCACGCTGTTCAGGGTCAGCATCACCCCTCGCAGTCGCCTCGCACGCAACACCGCCCGTCTGTGGGTCAGATGCAGCAGGCGTACCAGATGCATCATCCGCAGGCGCCGCAGCAACAAGCCATGGCGTCCATGGGCTATCCAGGCGGAGCCGCCAGTCCGTACGCTGTCGCAGCCGCCAGAGGCATGTACCCTTCTACCCAAGGCCCCGGAGGTCAACAGTTTATGGCTGGAAACCCTCAGCAGGCAGGAATGGCCATGGGGATGAACCCAGGTGCTATGCCCGGCTGGCCCTCTACTCCCGGTGGGCCGATGCAACCAGGTCACCCACAGCCAGGCCAAGGCGGAACTCCCCTAGGAGGATGGTCGGGTTATTAGTTAAAGAGACGAACATACGCACAATTTCGGGAGAATGCACCCGAGAACGACAGTGCAAGGGGAATATATTCATGGCCGGGCGTTTTGCAGACTTGGCGTTCATGGACACGAGGCGCCGGCGAAGGTATTGATCATTTCTCCCATCCTTTTTTCCGGCCTGAAATCTTATTTAATGATAATCTGCGCATTTCCTTTTTTTATACCCGCCGTTATACCCGATTGCGTTGTGTATCTAGTCTTGTGATTTCTATGCAAATTCTCTGGGTGTTTTATCTAGGGTGAAGAGGTTCGTTTGCATGTGGCATGGATCTGTGCTTCAATGTTCTCATAGATGGACTGGTTGGTTGCACGTATGTCTTCGGTTGCGTTTCTGTCTGCTTCTTTGTCATGCATGAATTTTATGCCATGCCCACTCTACTCTATGCACTGTGCCTATTGACTTGTCGGTGTCATCTCTCCTTCTGGCATACCGGTCCCTGCGATGATTGTTGTGTCTATAGTCGGGGAACCAATTTGATATTACTACCCCCAAAGCGTGTTTGTAGGAAGAGTGTGTAGCAATTACATTGATTAACATATTACATCTCATCCCTTGTAGTCACCGATCATCACTCCTAATTTAGTTGAAACCCCGTGGCCAAAGGCGTGGTGACCGGCGCCGCAGACGACGCACACACACACGCCGTAACCGACGTAACCGGCGGCGCCGTACAATGCGCCGAAGTAGTCCAGGAGACCGTGGTCGGTTCAGGCGCACACTTATTCGAGGACTTCTTCGCCTTGACCAACACAGGGATCACCGCGCCGGTCTTGAGCGAAAACGCCCGATGCCCAAGCACCCGCAGCAGACTGGCAATCTCGCCCGAGTGCGCCGTCACACTCACAAACAAGGCCTTGGGATCCGTCCGCTCAAACATCTCATCCAGCGCACTCTTACTCCGCACATCCTGCGCCGCGCTCGTCTCGCCCGTAACCCCATTCCACAACTCGTCCTCCTCGCTAAACCCCTCCTCAATCTCCCACCCGGGGAACAACCCCGTAATATAAGACCTACTCCGGCGATGATCACACGTATGCAGACTGATCCCCTCGCGCAGCCCCTCCATAACCAGCGGCCGGAACGCCGCAGCCTCCCCCTTGGGTAAGGCTAGGTCCGAGAACGTGATATTCGCCGTCCGCAGAGCGCGCGTCAGCGGACTGACGAAGTACGCGTCGGGCGTATGCATTCCGTCTCTGGCAATCAGGGAAGCCCAGAAGTCGTGGGCGGTTTGGGCTTGCGCGATTCCGGAGGGGGTGAGGTCTGCGTCGGACCAGGTTACGGTGCCGTTGCCGTCTAGGAGGGACCAGTAGCACTTTTTTTTTTTCGTTAGTTTTTTTTCTGTGGTGTATGCGTATTTGGACGGGGGGATAAGGGGAGGAGGGGAAAGGGACGTATACATTCCAAGCAGGAGTACCATAACGACTCTCGGCGGCATTATGATATCCCTCGCCGTGGCGGCCGAAGAAGAAAACCTTGTATTCTGTCTTATGGGGGCGTGCTTGTTCAGCGAGTGGATGTGGTTGTAGAAGCGTTGCCATTGCGTGAGTTTGGTGTTCTCATTGTCCGTGTCGTAGGTGCGGTCGATCAGGCCGAAGTTGTTGGCTGTCTGTCCGTCAATCTTCAGTTAACTAAGTTCGGGTAAGCTTGAAGAGGGGGGGGGACGAGGCATACGTAGTCAAAAGTTGAGGGGTCGGTGCTGGCCTCGTCTTGGAGGAAATACCCCGGTACCGTGGTGTACTCGTAGTAAGCTGCTTGTGCTGTCGCGGCGAGGCCGAGAGCGACGAGACTAATTGCGCACTTCATCTTGTGATGCACGTTTGCAATTCACGAGCTGATGCTGATGTAGATGCGGATGTACAGACGGTCATCGCCATCTTTATACTCTAGCAATGGCCGACCACAAATATCGTAAACTAGATTGATCAATAATATCGCTATATTGCGAGTTGCGCGGCTTCTATGCCTACTACCTACCACTCCGGCACGTGCGTCGCTAGCCTAGTGGATAAAGGTCGGGGGTTTGGGACGCATTCTCATGTGGATAATACCATTGGTGGTTGGCTATCGTTGTGATTCGACGGTCGGAAAGTCGGAGATTAGTCTAGATATGGAAGGCTACTTTACTTGTATGAACTGTGGCTTGATCAGAGTCCACTCCTTGGACAGTACTGAAGTTGATTGAACGTGAGTAACCTCATCATATTATGTATTAGGGTAAAGATGGTAAGGTAGAAGTCATATCCTCCAAGTATGTATAACCAGTCGCTTCAAACAGATGCAATCCAAACGTATCGACAGAAAAGGCGAGCCCTAAGCTCAGCTCGATAGACAAATGAAGTGAAGAGCCCAAGACACCAGCAGTATAATGCAGAAATGCTCCGAGTATAAACAACAGGCCCCAGGTATGTATAAAGCTCCATGTGGATATCAATATTGAAACAGGAAATTCAGAAGATGGTCGCTCAGTTCTGAAAATTGTGTGGCGTAGAATTGGCGGCGAATGTGTAGGCCTTGGGTTTGTGCGATGGAAGCTGCTGAGCAACAAATCGGTGGATCTCTTGCTGTTCAGGGAACTCTTGAATCTGAAACTCAGTGGGCCTCGCATCCTCGGCCGGCGCTCCTGTCGACATGTGCATGTCGATATTTTTGGACGAGAACATGCCCACATCTGCAGTTGCACTAGTCGGATCGACAGCCTGCTCGTAAGTCACAGATGGCATCTCCATCTGGCAGCGGGCGGCGAACGATTGTTCCGACGGAGCCATTGATGTAGTGTCAGCCCAGCTCCGCCCCGTCAAAGGGGCCCCGTCACAAGAGGAATAGTCGGGAAAGGTCGTGTAGTGGGCAGGGGCGGACATTGGCGGAGCGACGCCATGGTAGGAATACGACGACATCATGTCTACTGCCAGAGGAGTAGCCGGAGGAGACGCGATGTTGATCTGCATGGGCTGAGTCGTGGGGAACAGGTGGCTGGTCGGTTGCGCCGACAGGCAGTACCCCCGTCCGACGGAGTGGCTGGAAGCAAGTGGTGAAGATCCTCCGGAGTCAGCGGCGTTGGTGGAGCCAACCCACCGTTTGTGACAGTAGGTTGCAGCATGCCTGACATCTCGGCCTTGCTATTCAAAGTGCCCGCCTCGGCAAAGGTTGCCAGGTTGAAAGGCGACCGCTGAGCGGCCGACGCCTTTCTGACGCCAGCGTACCGCGAGCCGAGACACTGTGCGGATTTGGACTGTCTCACCGCGTGACCAACGCCGTTCGGCAGGCGCATGGTCGGTGACATGGCAGACGACCCGGCCAGCATCGAGCTAGACCGCGATGTGCCAATGGCCGCCGGCCTTGGTCGTTTTCTCCGCGCAGCAAGGTCGAGCTCCTTTCCAGCGTCTTTCCATGAAGACCGGCCAGTCAGCTGCGACAAGCCATGAGGCGAGCCACTAGTGTCGATTCCAATGCCCTGCAAGGTGCTGGCGAGGTCTTCGGACGAGCCTGGCCTTGACAGCTCCGGCTTGACCGTGTAATGGATGGTTCCGTATGACGAGGAACCAACATCCATGGATGCACGGTGGCTGGGCAGCGATTCGGCCGACATCGCCAATTGGCTCGCCCACTCTTCACCTTGACTGACATGCTGCAGCGAACTTTCCGTCTGGGGAAATGAAGGTGTGGCCAAGCCAGTATATCCGAAAGGCTCCTGAGCGTTCTGAGAGGTCCAGGAAGCTGAAGAATCTTTGCCACTCTCCCATGCTGAGAAAGGGGTGTTGATAGCACTGTGTGCGCTTTCCGAGTCATCATGGTCATTGGCCCGAGCGCTCAGGGGGAACGGCGTGGGGGAGACAGATCCTCCAACACTGTTGTCGTCATTTCGATCCTGCTCGCACTCGCTGCCGTAGTGCTCACGAGCCGCCACGGCAGCGTTGAGAGCTCTCTGCAACGAGGCGAAAGTGGCCTCTCGAGCCGACTCACTCCTTGTCTTCTGATGCTTCGATCGAGATGAAGTAGAGGTCTTCTTTTGTTCGCCTGACACGTCCGACTCCGATTTCTTGGTATCGTTAGCTTTATCGGTCTCCTCCTTTGGCGTCTTATCGCTTTGGTTTGAGTCAGACGTGTCGTCCGCGCTGTCGGCCTTATTCCGAACAGCTTCCTCGGCCTCTGCTTTGGCCTTTTGCATTCTCTCAAACTCCTCCTGTCTCTTTTGCTGCTTTGCCTTTGCTCGTCGGTTTTGGAACCAATTCTGTTCGGAGTCAGCGCATGTCACATATTGCATTCTTCTTGAGTGACAACTAACAGCAACTCGAGGCAAGCTCAGATTTGTCTGAGCGGCCAATTGACGCTTCACATTGCTGCTGGGCTTGGGGTGAGCCTGAAATTGAGCCTCGAGCGTCTCCACTTGTTCTTTGGTCAACCTCGGACGGGACAGATTCTCCGCGTATTCTTCGTAGTCCATGATCGGTTGATGGTAGTAGTCAACCATCTCGTATGGTGGGTGAGGGTATAGGTAGCCATCCATGGGGTGCACCATGGCATGGTGTGCCATGGCAGGGTCGTAGGCTATGGATTGATCGAATTGAACTGCACTATGACCGCCGAAGGCGTATGGGTGGTGTAGGTAGTTCATGTCGGAGGTATTGGTGAAAGTTAGGATGCTCGAATAGGGGAGGTGTCAATGGTCTGATAGGGGTCGACGGTAGAGAAGTGATGGCTGCAAGACCGGAGTAAATCTTCAATTCATCGAAGTGGGAACAGATGTCAAGGATTGCTGCATGTACAGGACTGATGCAACCTGGAGAGTGTCGTGGACGAAGAGAGTGACTGATAGCTGGTGGTGGGTGTGGTACTTGTACTAGTATATGTATGGACAGTGGAACTCCACGGATGCGAGAGGGAAGATAAATGAATGACAGTATGTATAGTTGGCAGCCGGAAGGCAGGTGATATAATAGACAATGCACAGAAAAGGAAAAAGAAGGGAACGACAGAGAGCTGAATGAGTGACTGTATTAGCTAAAAGGGAAATAGGAAAAAGAAAACAAAAAGAAGGTCCTGAAATGGAAAGGGGAGAGACTCAGAAAGACAGAGAGGAGACAAAACGGAAAAAGGGACGGCGGAGAAGAAGGATTGACAGCCAAATGAGTATAGACAGATGGACAGATGAGATGAGGTTAACCTCAACTGAGGAACATAAATTATTTTTGGGGGGAAAAAGGGAAAAGGATGCAGAGTGGAGTTGGGACTTGATGGACTGACGCAGAGGAGAGCAGGAGGTGTGGAGGGAAGTGATGTGATTGGATGGTGGCCTGCCCGGAACTGCGAGGTTTCGGCCGCTGGATTGAGTTGGTCTGGTACCAGTGCCGTATTTACCGCCTGCTTGGGTGATCGGGGAACTTTTTACGCCTCCCGCTTGGTCCATCAATACGCAGAGGTAAGGTACTCTCCCTGTCACCTTACTTGGTTATGGTATTGTTAGGAGGTTCGTATCCTCATATTTCAAGATTACTGACACACAATAGGCGTCCTAATCTACAGGCTCCTTTTTCTGACCAAAATCCTATCATCTTTATCTCATTTATCCGAGTCACTGAAGGTCTGACCTATGTAGCGGAGAAGTACACAGATTACCTGATTAGGTACCATGTATTTTTCTGTCCGAACGTAGATTAGCGGGGACCTGTAGATCGTACTGGTACCATGGACGGTATCGTATCAGGTACCGTACAACGTCATAACAGTCGAGCCGCCGAAGTCTACTGATGCTTCCTCCCGTGCGGTTCAAGGGGGTGGCGGCCTGGGCGCAATCAATCCGTACGCAGTACCTATCTTGGGGTTCGGGCAGGAGACTTTCAAAAAGACTACTGTACCTGGCTAAAATGAGTAAGATACAAACAATTCAAGGAAAAGTTAAAACTGAGAAAATCTGGTAGAATCTGGGGACTCTCCATCTTCCGACCAATTCCATATGCACTGTGGATCGTAGTGTGCTAGTTGGGCAGTCCTTCTGTCTTGCTTTTTCTGGTGTGCATTGTGATAAGATGGGATCAGAGAAGGTAGAGCAGATCCAAGTTAGCCTTGAGATCATCACACTGCTTGTTGCCACTGGCCAGTCATGTACATTGTCCATGCTGCAGAAGCACAATCATCCCAGTAGAATGCAAAGTAGCATGAGGTTTCACAGCTCGGCCGTTGGTTAGCAGTTATCCCACAGCGCTCTAACAGCGTGATTTGCATGCTTCCGGCAGAACTGAACCACAGCTTTTCTCCAGTCCTCCCCGAAAGCAACCCATTGTCCATTAGCACTGATCAGCCCCTACTTCAGCAGCACAACTTTATTGCGTAAATCTCTGATAGCATGTTGAAACAATGTGTCGCTTTGAAACCGCCTCAGCGGGGAAGTCTATTTTTGCACACTCTGCGATGACAAATTGTACGTACAATAGTCTGTATCTCGAGGTCGAACGAGAATATGCCATTGTATCCAGCACTCTGAGGGATCCCCATGAGCCAGGGCCCTACGGCTTACCCTGATGATTCCCATTATACTTCGTCAGTTCCTGCATTAGCGCCATTGAAGCCCGATTTAGCTTTTAGGGAGTCCCAGGGGTGTGCTTATCCAGGGAACTAAGCACCTAGGGTAACGCCCATATGGCTCTCAACGAATATTCCTACTTGAAGTCATGACGATCATGCTCGTGGCAAGTTGCAACATTAGCATGACAAATACCGTGTCCAGTACTCTACATAAGCATTTGGAGATGCTATCATATTCATAGATGGGATTTGCGTCCAAGCCTCCACTGATGGGAAACCACCACCGTCACCACGTCTTCAGAATTGCTGTTGCCTGTTTGTCTTAGGTGGGCGTGGTGTCTTGCTGGACTGATGACAACCTCTCATTGGACGATCTGTCCATGTTAGAGAGCCCTGTGATCAAGCTCTGTGGATTCTGATGGGCTCAGTCCTCACACTTGGGATGTACATATTCTGGATCTGGTTAGCACTTGCGGACCGTCGCCCCCACCAGCAGGCCCCATCTTGGGATTGCCCAAAGTTTCATTCTCCTCCGGAGGTATTGTTGTTACTGTATGGTAAGTTATTAGGGCGTCCATCTCCAGGCTGTCCTGGCTCCCGAAACCCTTCGGGACCTGGGTTATCTCACCTTGTTTGGAAAGGCCTTCTTGACTGTATTAAGCATGAGACGAAGCTATGACTCGATTTACTAGTCCTTACCTTACGTCTTTCTCACATGGTTTACGGGCCATGCGGAGGAGATCATCGGACAGCCCAATCTTCCGGCCAAATGGAAGAACAGTCTGTGCCTATTTTTCCAGAAGGGATCTTTGTTACTGTACTTTCTACTTCGTATTTCTTCGACGACAGGTCTTGCACACTCTTGAGCCCAACGCAAGAGTGCTGGCTGTGATTAGTAAGGTAGTGCTGCTGTTCTGAACCTTCTTTTGCAGTACCACCCAAGCAGTCGACGCAGGTTTCGGCGCTCTGAGCTTTTGGCGCTTCTGTCATGCCTTTGCATGTGGTTGCTAATCCTTTCGTAAGCATATTATTCTTATTCTGCCTCAAGTCGAAGAGCGAGCTCCATCCTGCAAGCCGACAACAGACTATGAGCCGCTGAAAGGGCTGAAAGGCGAGTCAGCTAGGACCCACTAATCTGGCTAACATCAATAGTCGACAGATCCCGACGATCAGTGCCCGGGATCTGTACACCAGCTCTCGTCCGCTATTCCCCTTTGCTCCAATGCTCGCATTTGCACATGCAGCGCCCAAGATTGTTGTCTCGTACCTAATGCTGGGCCGATCAGGCTTTCATTTGCTGTTTCCCGGGTTCCTGGTTCTGTGGCTATTGTCAATGCGGTGGTTGTCCATATCTCAACTCCCCGCGACTCATGATGCAGTCTGAAGTGCCCTGCTTGAAGTCACGAGGTAGCTATTCTAAAGAGCTCCCCCCATGCAGCTGTAAGAGTCTAAAAAGGTGAAACCAGATCCTCAAGCCCGAGTCCATGTTAGAGCATGCTAGGGGGCGTGCTTTACGCGATGTATCATATGTATCCTCATTCGTCTACCACGCTTTGTCTGTTGTGCTGGACTGCTGGTTTTCAATGCCAAAAGAGTACTCGGTCCTCTCACCAATAGGTGAGGGTTTGAGCTTCTGACAGCCGTTTCAGTTACGCTGCTGGTGATTATCCGTTGACAGAGTTAGAACATGGAGTGCGTAATTCTGGCACCCATCCCAGAATTTCGAGTCCCTTTCACTGAGACAATCGCCTCGTTCTCGGCTTTTAGTGCCACTTTCGGAGCTTGCATCATGCAGTTAATCCAGAAGTCAGCAATTGCGATAGACAGTCTCAGGTGGGCTTCGAACGAATTACAGCCAACCCAGATGGCGTTCACGTGTACTCTGTGTGAATATGCAGAGGTAGGACATCTTATATCCTTAGTGTAGACTGGAAAGACAGCAGAGGATCCTCGGTAAGAAGAAATACGGCACCTTTTGGGCTAATCAGCAGCGAATTGTTGATCACCACAACCTGTTTTCCAAAAATTAAGTTATGCGCTTGTCGAAAATGGTCAAACGAGGATCACAGGGCAGGCATTGACTCTTGGAGTCCTCGTTTGATCCGCAGGCAGGTCTGATGCAATCGCACAGACTGCGTTCAAGAACATCTCTCAGGCCTTGATTGGACCTGAAGGAAGCCGTTGTCACCCGAGAGAGGGATTTGAAATATTGAGAACTTGACTAGCACCACCGGACAATGGGGGAGAATATTTTCCGAGTCGATCATAAGGTGATCACTGATCAGCGGTTGCTCACGGTCCATCAAGGTGAGGCTTTCCTGAAGTTCACACAGATCCTCTTCGATGGCTAGGACCAAATCGGTAAGAGCAGGGCCTGGGGACGGGGTTCAGGAACTCCAGGTGATCAGCAATCGCATCACAGCACTATCATATCCCTGTCCTGGCATAAGGTTGACTTGGCACTGGGGATCCTCCTGTATCTAAAGGGCGAGTCACGGACTCACAGTTTAGAGACTCCACCCCCCTTAAGCCAGTGACTCGATCACTCACTCCGTACTGTCATGACGATCCCAGGATTCCCATGCATCGGGCTCCATTCTGTAACTCCGTATTACAGCGACCTCGTTTTTCTGTAATTACGGTCATGATGCGCCAGCTGGAGCTTCCTTGGAAGTTAACAATACCAGGGTACATGCGGAGGTACCTGAGGTAAAAGTCCTGTATCACCCACGAAAGTACTCGACTAGTCCTATCCAGTACTCACTTTGCCGATCATTCCTTCTCATTCAGCTCTGACTTGCAGCGCCACAAAAACATTCAACTACTCTGTGGCGGTGACTCCGGTATCAGCCACGCTCGGGATCTTGCTCGGTTCTAGCCCAAGGACCTCATTTATATTGACAGCAATTTGTCATTCAGCACAATAGTACGGCTTGTGATGGCGAAAAAAGGTCCGATACCTTCAGTCAGGGGGACCCGCTACTGGCCTCCGCCTGATGGCGCGTACTTTTTGTTCTCGAGAAGATCAATAGATGCTTCAATGTTGTCGAAACGGCTACCATGCGCCCGTTGAGCATTGGTGCCATACTAGAAGCACGTTTACCAGAACGGACAATGCACCACAATTGTGCTTCTCAGCCGAACACTTCTACCTGCAACTCACATCTCCAGGAGCTGCGGTTTGAAACTCAATCCGTCTTGCTCTTAGCGCAACTGCCACAGCTGCCAGTTGTTCAAACCTCAAGCCGTCTCAGCATGATACATTCATAATCAGAACGAACAAGGAAAGTGGAAGCAAGAGGTATCCACAATCTCAGAGCCTGGAAAGACCTTCCTACCCCTTGCATGCCATATCAGACCCAGTTTCTGAGTTAAAACGCCACTTTTCGATCTCTCGTTGCGGAAGAAACGGGTGAAATGATACATATCAGAATTCTGACACTAGGACGGCCAAGACCGATCGACTCCCCAGTTTCCAGAACTCGATTGCCTCCTTCTATCGACTCCTTTACTGCAGTCCGCTCGTGTGGAAACTATTTCGAACGGCAAAAGAAGCTACAACAAGCCACAGACAAGCCTAGATGCGGGATCTAACTTGGATTTTGATCCATCTGCATGCTGCAACCCCGTTCATGCAATGAGCTGTCGCTCGCAGCCCGTCCTGTCTTCTCCATGAGCTCTTCTTGGGCTTCAGGGTGTCGGTGAGCATGCCGATGAATGCTGTACATACCTGCAGCTGCAAGCTTACTCTGGCAGAGCTCCAGCTTCATGCCTCTGTTATCTAGATAGGCGCTAGCGCTGTCTGTTCTAGTTATCTTATGGAAGTGAGCAGTTTCCATCTGCTCGCTTGAGACATATCAGACCGAGAGCATGATCGTGAAGCGGTGAAGAGTCTGCCATCGCGGTGAGCGTCCTCTCAGCAGAGGTGAATCTAACACTATGAGCAATACTACTGTACTTGGTCCGAGAATCGTCCGACAGACCCCATAACGCAAGGTCTTCACCGCCAGGAGTTGGTGGGTTTATAGTGGATCTCAAGCTGATCAGAGTGTTAGGAAGGGGTTCAGGGCTCTTTTCTACCGGATTTTTGTGTTTGTTTCTCGGCCAACAGCCAATATAGGCTCATACGGTGTAAACCGATCCCAGATCGGTCCGTTCGGCTAGGTACTCGGTGGATGATCTCCGAGAGTAGAGTTTCAAGGTTCAAATGGTTTGGCTTCACTAGAACCGTTCATCAAGGATGATGAATTTGTCATTGGGGCTTCTTTGGCTGATTCACGAATGGCACAGCATCTCTGCTTAGTGCGATGCAAGGCATGGGTTCTGGCACAATAAGTTAGTACCTACCTGTCATATTAGTCAGACACTTAAAGCTGGCGGCAAAGATATTTTCATCCCAAGTGGTGAATATTTGTAAGTACCGTACTATCTTTCTATAGTATTTACTCTCTAAACCATTCTATATACAAAGCAGAAAAAGATTGACAAAAGACTAGACCATTGACCCCTCTATTGGACTCCCTGCGAGGTCTTTGCCCCTCCTGTTCACCCTTTATTGGAACGCATTCCTGATTTCCAACTGGAGCTTCCCGTCCTCGACACCCTTCACTGAAATGCTCCTCAAGTCCTCCACAATCCAATCCGCCCCGGCCTCCCGACACTGCTCGAGAGTGTGCGTCGTCGTCAGCGCAATCACCTTGAATCCGGCGGCCTTGCCCGCCCGGATACCCGAGGGCGCGTCTTCCAGCACCACCAGGGACGAGGAGTGCTCCAGGTCCAGCCGTGACCGGCCAAGCAGGTAGCACCGGGGATCGGGTTTGCCCAGCTCGACGTCCTCCGCGACGACCAGCACCTTGGGATGTGTGAGGTTGAGGACACCCAGCCAGCCGTCGACGAGAGCGCGTGTACCGGACGTCACCACGCCCCAGCGCGCACCCGACTCGTCCAGCGCGTTGAGGAAGGTTCTGGCGCCGGGGATCTCGACGGCGTCGGAGCCGTATTCTTTGGGGATGCGGCCCTCAATGTAGCTGACGTCTGTTGGTCCAGGCTGTCAGCCTGGGTGCCGGGTCGATGGTTGGTAGAAAACCTAGGGCGAGTACTTACATTCCCAGTTGGCCTTGGAGGGGTCATACAGCTTGATGACATCGATACTTCTTCGGCCGTGGGATGTAGCGAGGATGGCCTTGGGGTCTACGCCTAGCTCGGCGCCGATTCTGACCGTACTTAGATACAGGGTCGTAGGTAGTTGTTTATCTGACTTACTTGTGCCAGTGCTTGACGATCGCTGTTCGCGGATATGTCGTTAGAGAGATACCGCAACATAATCTGTGATGAACTAACCATCCGTCGAGTCAACTATTGTTCCATCGAAATCGGACAAGAGTCCATCGAAAGTGTGGACTTGTGGAGGGGCAGAAAATGAGCCTTCGGAATGGGCCATGATGAGCTGGGAGTTGGTAGATAACACTTGAGAGAAAGTGATAATAAATTAGAGGCGCTCGCAATGCGTCAATTGTAAGCAACTGTCCAATCTATAACGAAAGACTATACAACACAACGAAGTCGGGAAGATTCTGTACAAATGATAGCACCTCTATGGAGGAGGATATCTATATCGACTCCAAACCCCGCCAACCCGGTGTTTTCCAGGGCCGCGGACCGGCACAAGAGATAGTCCGGTTATCTTAGCGCGGTGAAATCTTGGCGTCGCCCAAGTTTGCAAAAAAATATCTGAAGAGGATCTGGGCCGCTTATCTGGAGAACTTTTGTCTTCCTCTTTGCTGAGTGTATTTTCAGACGGGCTGTGTCTGTAGTCTGTCAAGATGGTCAAGAATAACTTCGGTATGATTTCAATTCATGAAATTAATGGATATGGTCGCTGACTGCCGAGTACAGGCAAGAATTCGAAGCGGAAGCCCGTCCGCCTACGACACAAGATTGAGAAAGCTGCGGCGGCGAAGCAACGGAAGGCGAGAAAGCTTGCGAAGCAGGTAATTGCTTCTTGTAGTCCGCGACATTGATGAAGGAGACTGACGTCTTTTTGATAGAACCCCGAATGGCGCTCCAAGGTCAAGAAGGATCCCGGTATCCCCAATCTGTTCCCATTCAAGGACAAGATTCTTCATGAGATCGAGGAAAAGAAAAGACTGAAGGCGGAGGAGCAACAGCGTCTCAAGGAGGAAGCACGTGCTCGACGAATGGCCGAGAAAGAGCAGTCACAGGATGGAGAATCTGTCCCCAACGCTATGATCGACGATGATGAGATTGATGAGGACATGGATGAGGATGATCTTGACTCGTCAAATCCCATGGCTGCTCTGCTTGCCTCTGCCCGTGCGCGGGCCGCCGAGTATGAGGACGAACACAGTGATGAGAGTGATGAGGATGACGAAATGGACGAGGACGACGAGGATGATGATGATGTGGAAGGCATGGACGAAGACGAGGAAGAAGGCGGCGCTACGCTGGGCGAGAATATCCCCGAGCTTGTCTCACAACCCATCTCGAAAGAAAATTCACGGCGGGCGTTCGACAAGGTGTTCAAGCAGGTCGTTGAGGCTGCGGATGTGATCTTGTACGTGCTCGATGCTCGTGATCCGGAAGGCACCCGGTCGAAGGAGGTCGAGCGTGAAGTGATGGCTGCAGATGGAGGCTCCAAGAGACTGATCTTGATTCTGAACAAGATCGATCTGGTCCCCCCTCCCGTGCTCAAGGGCTGGCTGCTGCACTTGCGACGATCCTTCCCCACGCTGCCGCTCAAGGCGGCCAATGGCTCGGCCAACGCACACACCTTCGACCACAAGCAGCTGACCGTCAAGGGCACCTCGGAGACGCTCTTCCGCGCCCTCAAGTCCTATGCTGCTAACAAGCAGCTGAAGCGGTCGATCTCGGTCGGCATCATCGGTTACCCCAACGTGGGCAAGTCGTCCGTCATCAATGCCCTGACTGCTCGTCTCAACAAAGGGTCGAGCAACGCATGCCCCACTGGCGCCGAGGCCGGCGTGACCACCAGTCTGAGACAGGTGAAGCTGGACAGCAAGCTCAAGCTCATTGATTCGCCCGGTATTGTCTTCCCCAACTCCAGCGATAAGAAGAAGAGCAAGAACAAGAAGGACGAGCATGCTCGCCTGGTTCTGCTCAATGCCGTCCCTCCCAAGCAGATTGAGGACCCCATCCCCGCCGTCAGTCTGCTTCTCAGACGTTTGTCGTCATCCGAGCAGCTCATGTCCAAGATGCTCCAACTCTACAACATCCCGCCGCTCTTCCCCTCGGGTAATGATCAGACCACCGACTTCTTGATCCAGGTCGCTCGCAAACGCGGTCGTCTCGGCAAGGGCGGTGTCCCAAATCTTGAGAGCGCCGCCATGACCGTGATCAACGACTGGAGAGACGGACGCATCCAAGGTTGGGCCACCGCTCCCGTCCTTCCTTCTGTCGTGACGACTGCCCAGGGTGGCTCGACTGCCCCTGTCGAGTCGGGTGTCGACACGAAACAGATTGTCACCGAGTGGGCCGCGGAGTTCAAGATCGAGGGACTCTGGGGTAATGGCGCGGGTGACGACGAGGAGATGGCGGAGTAGCGGCACGACGAGAACGGTCTTTTCTTTCTTCAGTTTATTCAGTTATTCATGGATACCAAAAAGGCGTTGTCCCGGTTCTTGAGTCTTCCTTTGGACAGTACGTTAGATAGATAACAATATCTGGGATTCTACCACATTCATGATCACTTCCGCATCCTGAGCATCCTGCAGTGGCCATCTGTAGACCAGTCCTCTGCATAAATATCTTCCATGTGAGCATCTAGCTCATCCTCGACATTCAGTACTGTAGCAAACCCGTCGAGGTACAACTTCCTCCCAACTCACATAAACGCCCTCGCTCATGCCGTCTTACTTATAAAGCCTTCTACGGGGAAATGCTTGGTGAATTATTTTGATTCGATTCGGGGCAATTTCACGAGGCAGGTGGTCGAGAACTTCATAGTTATGCAATGGTGGATGAGGATTCCACAAAATATATATACCTGCACACTAGTATTCCCTACCAAGTAGTCTTCCAACGAATTTTATAATCACAATATCCCCCTAAATTGTCCAAACCAGATCAAAGCACGCAAAAAGGTACACGCAGTACCCTAGATAGGTACCTTCGTCGACACTAGCCAGCGGTCAACTCAAGTCAGATAAAGCTCGCCACGCGCCAACCCTTCGCCTCCGCGGACTTTTCGTGTCATCCACCTCAAGCTATCAGCCACAGCTCAAGTTGACAACCCACCATCGTCAATCACCAGCAGCACCTCACAGAACCACTCGATGCACTGGTAAACAGCAAGGAAGCAAGCAAGCAAGCAAAAATGCCGACCCGGAAATCCACCGACGTCCCAACCGACACAGACGGCCCCTCGCCGCAACCGCAGACGCAGACCTCCCCAGTCCAGAACGTCCAAGCAACAGAGCAGCAGCTTAAAGCTCGCGCCGAGGGCGTGAGTATCGAGGTAACTTGTGACCAATCCCCCCATTTGCTAAATCTACAGCATGACTGATGATGAGAATGTATAGGACTACCTCCTCCCGCGGTCTCTCACCCTCCGACTAGCGAAAGCAGTCCTACCCCCCAACACAGCCATCCAGAAAGATGCGGTGCTAGCTATCCAGAAGGCTGCGACGGTGTTTGTGTCGTATCTTGCTTCGCAGTACGTCTTCCTTTTCTTTTCTTTCCTGCTCACTGTGGGTGAAGCGGGGTGTGGGTTGATATTGACGAATGTTAGCGCGAACGAGGCGACGCTCAAACGGACGGTTACACCCGCGGATGTCTTCGCCGCGTTATCTGAAATGGAGTTTGAGGCGTTCCAGCCTAGGCTTGAGAAGGAGTTGGAGGCGTTTACGGAGATGAAGGCTGGGAAGCGGAAGGGGAGGAAGTCTGGGTCGGGGGTGGTGATGAGGCTGGGGCTGTGCAGCAAACGCGGGAAGATGATGAGGAGAGCGCGGTGCGTGAGGCGAAGAGGGTGAAGCGGGTTGAGGGGGTGGGACCGTCTAGTGCTCAGGCTGGGGAGGAGGAGGAAGACGACGATGATACACAGGAGGAACAGGAGCAGGCGTTGGAGAATGAGGAGGAAGTTGATGAAGATGAGGAGGACGAGGACGAGGATGAAGACGAGGAGGAGGATGAAGATGAGACACAAGAAGAGGACATTGATCGGGTGGAAGATCTGGATCGCGATTCGCGACCGAGGCGGACGATGGATCCTGATGCTGCGGATGAGACAGAGAGCGAAGACGAGTCGGGGCCTGGGACGCAGCTGCAGAGTGGGCTGGGTTTGGGATAGATACAGGAAATGCTTTGCTTAAGAGGAGACATCAGACTACGCAATGAATACTGATTTGATGAGCACCACGTGTACAGATGAACTCGTGTCATTTGACACGAATTATTGATTCAGTAGCTCATCGGAGCTGTCAAGTGAATAGGAGCAAATATCACCAACGCCGGTGTTCAACAACCGCATATCGCATGCGTCCAGTAAGTATCATGACCCCGTAGAGTGTACAGCAAGAAATATAGGATAATCCAGCCGCGTGACCATCCATCGACTATTCAGCTTCAATGCAAGACCAGCATTGAATTTAAAGTCATCCCCATACCCAACGCCTAATATGCAACATAGTCTATCAATGGTATCCGCGAATAACAACATGAGGATCGGTCGTCCGGTCGTCCTCAGTTTAGAGAATAATAGTACAGAAATGCCAAATGCGAACCGGAAACATCATGGACTTGGCGGATTCAGTAGATCCTTCATTCCCTTCGGAACCGATTTGGGAGAAATCGTGTCAGGGTTGCTCCAGAGGCCACCGCACGGAGAAGTGTTTCCTTTACCGACCAGGTTAGGGAAGAGAGGCCCGTTATTGCGCGCCGCACCAGGCGGAAGTGGGTGCATCGGTTTCGCATCATCCTTCTCCAGTTTGACGGATTTGCCAGCATCGCCAGTCGCTGCCCTCGCGGTTTTGGTGACTTTGCTAAAGGCGGTGATCTTTGCATTGTGCGCAGGCTCGACTTTCTTGCCACGCTTCTTGGGCGCACTCTTTTTCGGTGCGGCTTTCTTGGGTTCGCCGGCTTTCGCCTTGTGGAGCACGTCTTTGAGACTCCGTCCCCGGCTGGCAGGATTACCGAGAGAGCCACCGTTCGATGGGTGCTTGTGTCGCAGTTCTGCTGACTCCTCGTCGTGGCTAGAGGAAGGCGTAAGAATTCCTGTTTGCGTCTTCTGCTTCTTCTTCGGCGTTCGGATGACAATGGATACAGCACCTTGTTCCTTCTTCACCCGCTCGACCTCGGAGGAGTTGCACTCGTCAAACACGTCCTCAGAATCGTCATCCCACCGTTTCAGACCAGCGAGCCGCGCCACTTCTTCACAGTCGCCCTTGACCATCAAATCCCAGCAGTCTTCGAATTCCTTGCCGGCAGGCGGCTCGTTGTTGATCCACATGGTGACGCCGTTGCGACGCGTGCGGATCACGGAACAGAGGCTCTTCACCAGGCGACGTACGCCGGGGATTTTCAGACTGGTGCCGACCACGATCAGGGCGTCTGGCCGTGACCGGATATCTGCGTTCATGACCGAGGTAATTGCCTCTTCGTCCGGGTTGTGCTCGTTGTACAGCACAATCCGCGGTCGCATCTTGCCAATTCCGTGACTGCGCTGTCCGGTCTCGATGCGAAATTGATTATTTTTCGAGCACTCGGGGCATTCAGGAGCGTCAGGCCTGTTGAACATTTCGCGGTCGAAATCGAGAAGATGACGGCACTTTTGGCAGACCATTTTGTCGAGGCTTCCGTGCAATTGGATCGTGCGCGGCCAGGGTGCCTTTACATTCAGAGGAACCTGAGTTGCCAGAGGTGGCATTGATGTCTCAATACCATCGATATTCTGAGTGTACAGTCGTGTGAGCCGGTTCTCCTGCGAAAGACGAGCGAGCATGTGGTGGAACGCGGTCGGGCAGGTCTTGGCCGCCTCTTCCGACAGCGACCGCACCATATCCTGAAAGGAGGCGGTCAAGGACTCATCCTGGTAGACAGCAGCGTCGAACAGAAGCTTGCCGGAAGCTTTGAGGTTGTGTTTCTTCTGGAGGGTTTTGAAGAGGCCATCAGTAGAGCGAAAGTCAGGAACTATAATCATAGATCAGCCAATTAGCGTGTTTGTTCTTCTGTCATCCACCATGAGGCTGAAGGAAGTGCATACTGCCTGCAGACGTGGAGATACCAGCACCCGCGATGACGACAATCTTGCGGTGACGACGAAGAGTTTTGACAAGTAAATCAACCTGCGCCTGCTGTTCCCCAAAACTGAGTCCTGAATTCCTGGACAGATCGAGGTGTTGCGTGGTTCGCTCTTTTGGTGTGGCTACGCGACGCTTCTTTCTGGCGGGGAGAGGCCGTCTTGGCCGCGTGCGGCGCTAGACGACTCGCCCGCGTCTTGAGATGGAGGCGGCGAGGGAATGAAGCTCGGAGGGGATTGAGGGGATGCTGGCGGAGAGCTCAGCTCTGAAAGGTCTGAAAGGTCGGAATCATCCATGAATTTAGGGCTCCACCTTTCGTCTGAGATTGTAGAGGTTTGTGAGGAAGAGGTAGATGATGAGGTGGTTAAGGAGGAAGCGGTGGTGGTTGAAGAGGGTGGAGACGGCGCCATGAGAGCTGTGATGATCCACGTATTTCTTGAGAGAAATACGTAGAGACAGAGGGAGAAAGGGCGATAGGAAGAAAGAAGATCTTTTCACAGGGAAAAGCTAGAAGTTGCCCTGAGATACGATCATGGGAAAGATGGAACACGTAATTGAGGTAAAGTAATCCGGAGAAAAATCAGAATCTCGCCTCAGAAGAGTCGAACCAGCTTTTGGCTGGGAATTAAGAGTAACTGACGGAGAGAAATTCAGGGAGAAGAGTTGGCCGAGGGATTAATATAGACGGGAAATAGAAAGAGTAGGCGAGAATGATGAAGCAGGGGAGAGTGAATAACCACCACCTAAGCCATAGGAGGAAGAAGTGGTTGGTGTTGTGGTGGAAGAAAGATTGTTCTTGAGAAGAGTCTGTCTGTCTGTCTGGCGTCTCTCGCTTGGTGCCGATGGTTGTGTTTATTTTGACTGACCCACGGGGAGAGACGACGGGAAGAAGCACCGCCGATGGTTTAGTCAAATAAAGGATCAGACGTGGTGGGATTAGACGTAGTGGAAAGGAATCATGGACCAAGACTATTGAAATCGCCGTTAGGGTTGACCAGGGTCGAAGAGCAACAGGTGGTATGTCAGAAGGAATGTTGCTGTTGGCTGTTGGCGACGTGAAGGGTTGGTAGTAATGGCAATATATAAAGGTATCATCCGACGGCAATGGAGATCGTCATTGTCTTCGTGGTAGCAGTTAAGGGTTCTTTGGCGAGGGAAAGGAACAGGTCTTGTGGCTTAAGACGGCGCGAAGGATATCTACCAGACTATCTACGACATAGGGGGACTTGGTCTACTGCAGTTTGATGAACCAGTAGAGGTATCTGAAAGCTTGCTGCACTAGATAACATCAATTAAGAGCAATCTCATCCATTCACTGCTAGCTGAATTCTCATTTCGCTTTATGACGAGATGATTCTGGTGATATTGATGCATTATTGTTATGATGATTTGCAGAGTTTTAGGCTGATTGTTCCCCATCCTTTGATTGGTGCAGTTTCATTGGTCAACCTTATAAGATGCCTGGGGCCACACTGTTGAGGGCTAAAGAAATGAGGTATCAGGTCAGCTTGGAAGGCTTCAATATCCACAAACTTTGTATCATTTTGTTGCAAGAATACAGGGTTTATTATATCTTTCAATCTGTGAATGTGGAGACTGTCCATCAAGCTGCAGCGTTGTCGAGAGGTAGACACGCTCTTATAAAGTTGGGCAGTTGACGTTTTCTCCTCAGATCGCACGATGTGCCATGTTCAGAGTATTCAAATGTGCACTATTAACTTGAAAACACATATCGCATCACATGGAATGAGTTGATCAATGCGAGGATGCTTTTCCTACCGACCTCGCCGGCGTTCTGAAGGGTTTTCTTGTATCTGTCGATATAGAGTCGAAGCCGCCAATCAAGGAAGGTTGAGCGGTTGGCCGGGAGATTGGCGCACATGACATCACATGACGGATGACTGATCAGCTTGATTAGTTGGATGAATGTGGAGAACGAACTAAGATGATGCTACTGATAGAAGAGACACAAAGGCTTAATGATAAAGTGAAAAATCATCATCATGGCAAAGAACTCGTTGATATGACATTGTCGGATTTTTCCTGATTAGGTAGAATTCGTGGTCATCTCGTGCATTTGATCTTCAGGATATCGCGGACGTTGGAACGGGTTCTCCGGTCTCGCAGGCCATCGCTTTTATAGCTGGCGGATAATGATGGTGCTGGCACTTCTCTGAAGCTGTACCTCGTCATCGATTGTTGTAAATCAAGACACAATACCTGTTCAAAATGCCCTTGATCATGGAAGACAGCATCAATGTCGACGATTTGTTTGGAGAGCCCGGCTCCCTCGAGCTGGGTTTGTCCCCTTCTACTACCTCTCCTAGAGGTCTTGCACAACGCTTAGATGAAATGAGACTGATAGGGTGTTGTCAGTAAGTATCAGGATTAAGCTTGCGGGGTTACAAGCATGACACCAAATCTAACACTACATCAGGAAGATTGCATGGTCGAAACTCGGATGTATTGCATACATCTCTCAGGACGGTCTGAGAGTCAATGTCCGTCATCTCCAGTGTCGACCCTCAGATGGAAAATGGGTCCTTGGTGAGGAAACCCCTCTATTGCCGGTCACCGATGCTCATGGAGGGCACACCTTAATTCATCTGTGCTGGAATGAGCCAGGGGCCGAACTGGCGGTGGCAGATTCTTCAGGAAGGGTATCCATCTACTCAATTTCTATTGCACTCAACAGCATTGCTGGTCATCGTCAAGCAGCTTTCGATCCTGATGATGACGGTGCTCAAATAGTGGGTATGATGTGGTTGAACACCCAACGCACGGTGCGTATTCGCCGATCTGGAGACCTTCCTGGACCCTTGGCTCACTGTCGTGCAGGTGCATTCCTTCTATCAAGCGGCAAAGGTGCAGGGACGCTGGGCCTACTCGCCATTTCGACGTCGTCCAATCGGCCCGTTCCATCCAGTCAATAAGGCAGGTTTGGTCTGCGTGACGAGGTCCGGAATCATTCGACTGTTGTATCAGAATCCCGACAGCAGATGGGCAGAGATCTCTGCAGAACTTAAAAATACAGGCTACTCAGACCGACTCCTGACCCACGCGGCCTTGGTATCTACGCAGGGCGGCATCCTCGTTGCCACACACTCAGCATGCCAGAAAATCTGTCTTTATCGCGTTCACATCGCCTGGACTCCGACTCAATACGACCCTGGCCAGCAAAAACCGCCAGCCCCTTGGCCTGTCCCTTCCTTCCGCTTCCTCCATTGCAAAGTCGAATCTCAGTGCGACGTGCCAGGCACGAACCGCAATGCGGGAGATAGTGCGCCGGGCTTGCCCTCATTTACTAACTCTCTTTACTGTCTTACCGGATTGGATATTGTGCTTCCAGCCCTCGATAACCCAGCGGGCTCAACGGCAAATCCTTGGGTGGTCGCCATCTATTCAGCCCCTCTCCACATCACGCAAGATCATCCTCAGCAACAAGGTCCAGCAAGCGTCATTGTACGGTGGCAGTTGGACACCGGTCCGTTGACTCTTCATCCGAAATTTGATGAAGTCCCTTCGAAGAAAAACAATGCCCAGGTCAAGGTAAGTACTTTGACGTTGATGGTCGTTTGTATCGCTGTTAACAATTGAGGCAGCCGAAATTGGAGCTGCGTCGGTTGGATGATGTGTATTCCGACAAGTACGCCATCTCGATAGACCAGATTGAGTATGGCAATGTGCTCGCCATCACATACGATGACGGCTCTGTGGTCTTCTATGATCCCAAGACCATGGCTGTGTTCAACGGAGTCGACGACGCAAACACCGTAACCAGCTTGGCTCAGGCGGGCTTTCACCACCCCCCAGAGCCTTCAGGTCAGTAATATTTCGGTCGCATTGCCTCAAGCACGCTGACTTATGAATTTGCAGCAGGTCTTCATATCAGCTTCTCACCAAACGCTTGCGCTGCTGTAACGCTTGACGGAGAGGGACAAATTCAACTAAGGCTCACGGAGCACTCTTACGGGGCTGAGGGCGGACTTCATGATGAGAGTACGTGTCTTGACTGCAAGGTATGAATTGGCGCATTTGCTGATACCACACTAGACAAATATTCGGCTGCTATTGCAGCGCTGACCTTAGCCTTTTGTCGTGGATGTGGAAGCGACGTAAATACAGATGACATACTGTTGATTCTTGTACGACAACTGACACCCGGTTAGTTCACATCCTTCGATTTGTGCAATGATCTTTTTCGCTAACAAAATGTACAGAGGCACAAGCCACCTTCATAAACGAAGCGTACCGTGCTTTGCCTATAAACTGCAACTTTACAGTAGAACAGGATAAGCTTATGAACCATCCTTACATTCCCCGGTGTCTAAGTATTCAAGCTGCTCTGGGATTCAAGAACAAATACACGCCGCGGAGCTTCGCATCCTCTATACCTTGGGCCGTCCTCCAGCTTCGGCATGCGTCGGTGCTATATGCGTTCTTCTTTCAGTACAACAAAGGCGGTGCCACAGAACCGCATGACCCTGGTGAGATTATTAGGTTGATGGACCACGAAGCTGGTGCTAACCGTACTCTGCTGCATAGATGTCTTGCGTATGGTGCTCGGAAACACCAAATGGGCCCTTGATTTTTCATTCTACGTGCTCAACGAGCTGTTCGACCTCGCCGATGACTTTGAAAGCCTATCCGGCGACCAGGAGGCATTTACACAAAAGTGTTCGTGGTGCCTCGTCTCTACATAGCTAATCTACCATGCTAACCTCCGTTTCCGGCAGTAAAATCCACAAGCTCCCTCCCTCTCATCATCCTCCTTTCAAGCATGTCTCGTGCATTCCTGCGGTTCATCTGCCGGGGCTTGCGCGGGATTTACGCAGGCTACGCGACCGCAGCGCCTCTAAGCGGCGATGCCCGAGTTTACTACGCGGAGATCTACCAAACGCTAGAATCCGCACCGATCCGTATCGACGCATACGAGAAGTTCCTCGCGGGCGTGGACTCGGCCGTGCGCCACGCCTATCACGGCGCCGGGTTCGGCGACGCGGAACGCCCAGGCCCCGAGAAGGAACTCCTGGTGAACGCCCGTGTGCCTCCCGTGCTGGTGCCGGCGGTGTCCACCATCCTACGGCAGACGGTCCCCGCGCTCAAGACGGAGATCGACCGCATCACGATCTACATGGGTGACTACAGCTGGCTGGGCCTGTCCAACGACCGCCGCACCGAGATGTACCGGCGGAACCGGGATGTGGACATCATCAAGAAGATCCCTTGCAGACCTACTGCATCTGCTCTTCCGGAGGCCAGCGCAAATGCAAACCAGAGCGGGAAGCCCAGCTCGCAGGTGCAGCAGCGACGGCGGCGGTGCGTCCGCTGCTGCGAAGTCTCTAGCGACACACATCCGCCGCGGTCGCTGCTTTCCTTCCGTATGATTGCGAAGCTGGGGCTGTTACGAGCTTGTGTCTGCGGGGGCATGTGGACTCTGGAGCCGAGTGTGTATAACTCTGCGCAGTCGTCGGGTGCGCCGGTGGGTCACGCGACGGGACGTACGCCCGCACTGGTGGCTGCTGGGTTGGCTGGTTCGAGTTAGGATATTATAGCGATGAGTCTAATGGACATGTTTGAGTTCCTCAGGAGAGTTTCATGTTGGATAAACAGAGTGTACCAACGACAAAAGGTGGTAGTCAAAAGACCTCTACTCCGTAGTGCGAAATATCTAAGAATGTCTAAGGTAGACTCCGGATCGAACGAACTGGCCGCTCAATGCCTCATTGATACCTCCCAAAACACGTTGGCAGGCCGATCCAAGAGCATAAATCCGTAACGCACATTCAAAAAGTAAAGTCGCATTGTCATGTCATGTCAAGTAAAGCCTTCATGTATTATTGACCTGCATCTCATATCTCTAAGATACAAAATCAACCTTTAAAAGATTTTTGCAGAAACCCGAAGCCCCGCACGCACGCAAGGTTTCTAGGTCGAACTCGTCATCTTTTATAACGACCTTCCCGTAACTCCATTTCAGATCCAGAAACGACGTTGGTCTTCATTTAGGCCTGTGGAAATTGCTCGTTAGTGACTCTGCTGACTCAAACTGAATATGCCGCACGATTGCGGAATGTTGGGTCCTAATGGGGATGCGGCGCGAGGGCATACCTTGACGGCGTACTTCCGCTGGGGGAAGTGGATCTCCTTCTTGCGCTGCTTCTCCGTCTTGAGGGTGGCCTCGTGCTTGGTGAGTCTGCGGCGGAGAGCACGGGTGAGGCGGGGTCTGAGGTCAAGAGGAGTGTACTTCTTGTTCTTGTAGAACAGACGGAGCTGGGCGCGCTGGTTGGCGTTGATGACGGTGAGAACGCGAGCGATCGACTTGCGAACGTCGTGGCTGTAGAACCGCAGCAAATCAGTATTCCTGTCCCCAAATTTTGTTCTGCGCAATCTGCGATTCTGGTAGGCCCCGATTCTTCCCAGTCTGTCGTATCCGTTTGTTCCTCCGACAAATTTCCATGCCACATTTGGGGACCATTTGTGTTCTTTTCTTCGAGGTAGAATTGCAGATGCACAAGGAAGGGTTTCGAGTTCAAACGCACATTCTCTGAGTCTTCGACGAGCCACCGGCAGCGATCTTCTGGACACGGAGCTGGGAGAGCTCGGTCTTCAACTCCTCGAGCTGCTTGGAAAGGTCTTCCTTGCTCTTTCCCCAGAGCTGACCAGCCTTGACCTTGGATGTCGACTAAAATTCATCAGCATAACGAGCCCCCAACGGCTTCGAAAAAGGCCGAATCGAAAAATTGCGCATTCAACATACCATGGTGGGCGGCTTCGTGTCGTATCGTACGGGTATTGTCGACAGTGAGGATTGAAGATGGACCGGGTCAATTTGGGATGTTCGTTGTGGGACTAGGGTTTTTTTCTGTGTTGGTGCGGTCACGCTGCGGCTGGGCTAAGCGGGCACGTGACTGTGGCTGATTGCTGGGTGACGCCGCCCCGGAGGAACCCCCAACCGGCTGTCAGATAGGCCCGGGAGGATCATCGTCGAATGATGGCATTGTTCTTGGTCTCGGTGGATGTGTTATTGATGACTGCCTGGACGGCCGGATGACCCGTCGCTGATTTAGCACTGTGATCCACGTTTTATTGCTTCATTTCTGGGGCGCGGGTTTACTACCATCACTTTGTACAGAGCTTCTGACCCGACCCCGAACCAGACTATGGCAACTTCGACTGGGACCGGATGGGCTCAGCTTCGGCAGCAAGCCCGTTCGCTTGAGACTCAGGTACGAAATCCAAAACTACTTTATTAATAATTTTTTACTCGCGATTCAAGTGTTGATTGTATGTCTCTAGACCGAGAGTCTGTTTCACACCTACGCGCAGTATGCATCGATGACGAAGCTGCCTCCGAAACCATCAGAAGAAGAACAACGGGTTGAATCGCAACTGAAGGATCTTCTTGAAAAGGTGTGTACTTGGAGGTCCTCAAGTCCAGCCCAGGACGTTTATGCTGACACGATCCCGATAACAGCGTGAAGCCCTCATCTCCCAGCTCTCCCGTCTCCTCGACTCCGAAGCCACTCTTACCGCATCCGCCCTGAAACAGAGCAATCTGGCCCGCAATCGTGAAGTCCTCCAGGACCACCGCCGCGAACTGCAGCGCCTGAACGCTGCAATCGCCGAGTCCCGTGACCGAGCCAATCTTCTATCGAACGTCCGCTCCGACATTGATGCCTACCGCAATTCAAACCCGCGGCGGCCGAGGCAGACTACATGCTTGAGGAGCGGGGTCGTATAGACGAAAGCCATAGTATGATAGATGGCGTTCTGAGCCAGGCGTATGCGATCAACGAGAGTTTTGGGCTACAACGTGAAACCCTGGCCAGCATCAATCGCCGTATCGTTGGTGCTGCCAATAAGGTACCGGGAATGAATGCGTTGATCGGTAAGATTGGAACGAAGAGGAGACGTGACGCAATCATCTTGGGAGCTTTCATCGGGTTTTGCTTTTTGATGGTGTTTTTCTTCCGATGAGGTGCTGATGCTCCGTATACCGCCGATCTTCCTGTGTTATAATTCCTTGCTCAGCGTCGATTCTTCATCGAATATCGCACGGCGTTTGGGGATTTTTATGTACTCCTTTTCTGCATGCAAGCACTAATCACAATGGCCAAGGCGTTTCAGGTTGTCTATTTCACATTTATTTATATGTACATACAGGGACAGACTGCTATAGCCCTAGAGCTCACCGCATGACCACTCTTGGCTTCAGATTTGCGGCTTCACTTTGGTCTCTTCCCGCCCATTCTTCAGCCGGTAGCTCCGACTCGAGACTGATTCTTCTCTCCTGGATTAATTTGCGAACACCATTGTTCAATCCCTCCAGCTCGCCTTCCTCTGCCGGCCCGCTACCCGCCCATCGGATGCGGCAGTTCTCGTCCAGCAGATAGACATAACCAACCTTACTGTTCATCATTCCGATTGCTTCTTTCAACCCATCCGTAAGGCCTTTGCGCACAAGGAAATACCGTTCGTGCTGCTCCTTGGGCAGATTGGCCCGCATTCGCCACATGAAAGTACGAACGAGCCAAGCCTTCATCGCATTCTCTTCCAGGTTGATATCGACCTTCTGCACAAGCTCGCTTCCGCTCTTCATCGCCTCCCATAGACCGGGGTTCTGCTTTGGGCCCGTAAATGTCGCAACCTGCGACTCTGCCCAGACGCTCGAGAAGACGTTGACGACGGACACTTTGCCGCGGAGTATCGAGGTGGTGTTTTGCGGTTGTTTCGGCGACGCAAGAGTGATACCGTACATGTTAGGGAAGTAGAGGGCTTTGTCTCGTTTGAACAATCGGGGGTTCGATTTGAACGTTTTACCCTCGTGGTAGCGCATGTTGGACCATTCTCTGAAGTATGGTTTTGCGACTTGCCTTGTTCTGTTGATAGCGGCATGGTTAGTTTGCTATATATGATAGACGGCGGACGGATCTTCATACAATTCCTTGCGTCTCTCTATGTGTTTATTGTAATTGACGAAATCGTCCCGTCTCTGTTGCAATGATCGCTCGTCGACGCCAGTATTTTGTCCTTCTTGAGGTGGAATCACTGTGCCGATGGGACGGTCGAGGGCGGGAGGGACAAAGTCCGCATCGCCAGGCTGAGGTGCTGATGGGGAATCATTCTGTTTGAACTGAATCTTGTCGCTTGTGGCTGGCTTGCTTGCTGTGGCAGGCTTCACGTCGTCGCCGCTCTTGCTTTTGCTAGTGGCATAGTAGCGCAGTGATGGCTGCAGTCTGGTGACATTGCGGAGTTGACAGCTGAGGCAGCGGCCACCTTGTAACAGGGATGCGTCTGCGAGTGATGATAGACGCACTGATGACTTCCACATTTTGATGAGTGCCAATTGGCTGAAATGAGTGGTAAGTGAAAGATCAGTTGGGACGACACTGGCTAAGATAATCTCAACTTCTCAAGCTCTCCGGATCCGCCGACGGCCGACAGCTGTTTGGCAAAGAGAGTAATTTAATTGATTTCTGGTCATGTGACTTGGTGGCACTTTCGTGCTTGTCACACGCGTATCTGCCTTCGGTCGCGTCTAAGTCTAATGGTCAGCATCACGACATCGATTCATACCAAGTAAACTCTCAATAGTCAAAGCTATCTGTTAGGCAGCCGAAGCCGATCACTCATCCATGGCTCGAGGTCCCTCGCAAAGTTTTGCGCAATCAACCCCCATCCAGGCCAGAGAATGGCGGAAAAGATTTTGGACAAAGTTGCCTTTTTCAAGGCACTGGAACAGCTGGATTGCTTGATAGATGATTCGGAGGATGAGGCTGATATTAAACTCTCTCATATCATCAAACGATCCAGGAATAGTGACAATATTATCTCTTCGAATTGTTGCGAAGATACACCACCTTTCAAACTGCTACGTGCCACTTCAGCACCCCAGTCTACTTCGACCAGCATCGCAGGCTCAAGTGCCCAAAGCAAGATGCTTACGCCCGGAAGCGATGGCTTGCAGGCAGGAGTCAAAAGGTCCAACACTACCGGGACCTTGACTGGACGTTCAGAAGCCGACAAACAATCTAAACGAAGACGGGTGATCACCCCTAGGACTGTTGCTGAAGAGCAGCAGATCTTCAAGGGCCTTGTATTCTGTGAGTACCTGGCTATATGCAGTCAGGATTTCTCCACCTGCTAACATTGTCGCCAGTCTTCTTTCCTAACAACGATGTCTCGCCTCTTCGGCGCCTACGGATCCAGCGTGCTCAGGAGTACGGTGCCACCTGGGCGAAGACATGGGAAGCTCATATCACTCATGTGATAGTTGACAAAGGGTTGATGTTCCAAGATGTTCTTAAACATCTCAAACTCGGGGCCTTCCCGGTGAGTAGACGGCGAGCTGTGCAGCTATTGCATATTTTCCTGACTTTAGCAGCCCCATGTTGCTCTGCTCGATGAAAGTTATCCTTCCGAGTGTATCAAATTCAAGTCTGTACTAAGCACAACGCTTGTTCGATTCCGTGTCCGTGGAGCACCTTGCCCTGAGGCTGAAGAGACGAACCCCCCAAACGAGACGCCTTCGACCGCTTCTTTACCCTTGAAACCAGGTCGGAAACAACGGGTCACTCCTACCCCTTCTCAAGACTCGAGAGACCAGTGTGTTGTCAATCCCACTCCCGAAAAGCCCGTCGAGGCGCCCTCGGATGAAATACATCAAGAACAGCGTGTCCCAGAACTCTCTTCCCGCGAGCGGGATGCCTTGGATGACATGATCGAAGCAGCTAAAGCTGCAAAAGACTTGGTGAGTGTCGACACCCTATCGACGAATATGACTGCTGACCCAAATGCAGCCTTTGGACCCTCTGGAGGAAAGCTCTGTCGAAGCAAACGATACCGAGGCCTCGGACGCGTCCGATACAGAATCGGTTGGGAAGAAAGAAAGCGACCGGTCTAAAGAGGACAAGATGGTAGAGGCCTGGCAGCAGAAATTCGCTTGCATGCAGAAACACGATTCAAATTCCAAGGTGGACAACCCGAACAGTAAGACCATCGCAGTCCTCCAGCAAATGCTGGACTACTATACAAGGACATCGGATCAGTGGCGTACGTTGGCCTATCGAAAAGCGATCGCTGCTCTTCGCAGACAACCGAAAAAAGTCGTCACCAGAGCGCAGGCGCGTGCTATTCCCGGCATAGGCCCGCGCTTAGCAGACAAGATCGAGGAGATCGTGTTTACAAACCGGCTACGTCGTTTAGAAAACGCAAACAATATGCCCGAAGATCGCATACTACAAGAATTCTTAGGGGTCTACGGTGCCGGTATATCGCAGGCGTCTCGATGGATTGCTCAGGGCTACAGGTCCCTGGATGATCTCAACACCAAAGCCTCATTGACGAAATCACAGCGGATTGGAGTGGAACACTACCACGATTTTGCGCAGCGAATTCCGCGGCATGAAGTCGAAGCCCACGGAGAAATCGTCCGAAAGGCGGTCCAGAAGGCGGACCCTGGGATGCAGGTCATCATCGGTGGTTCTTACCGGCGCGGGGCGTCCGACTCAGGTGACATCGATCTGCTAATCACAAAAGGCGATGCTACTATTGAGCAGATCAGGGCGATGATGATGGACAATGTGATTCCTCAACTCTTTCAAGACGGATTCCTCCAGGTCAGTCTCGCCAGCAGCTCCCGAGGCGACGGTTCCAAATGGCATGGAGCGTCTGCATTGCCTGGCAGCAAAATCTGGCGCCGCATTGATCTTCTATTTGTACCTGGATCTGAAATAGGGGCCGCGCTGATTTATTTCACGGGGAATGACATATTCAACCGGAGCATGAGACTTCTGGCGAGTAAGAGGGGGATGCGTTTGAACCAACGAGGACTTTATGCAGATTGCCTACGTGGAGAGCAACGAAAGAAGCTAAACGAAGGCCGGCTCCTTGAGGGACGCGATGAGAGACGAATCTTTGAGATTCTTGGGGTTCCATGGCGACCTCCCGAGCATCGCATATGCTGACGTATCAGGCGGATTTGCGATTAATGATTGATGACTGATGACTGACGCTGATGACTGGATGACAGCATGATATGTCACGTATGCCTAGGTAACTAGCTCTTGAATAGGAACTCTTTGCTTTTTCCCTTGCTTCTCAAGATTTAAGGAGTCTAACTTTCCTTGGTGACGGGATTTCAGCTCGCGTAAGCCAGACTTCTTTACCTCTCCAGCGAGTTGGTAATTTCTACTGTTTGTTCTTACGGACTCGACAGGATAAGGAATAGCGAATACGCACTACTGTCGAGTCCAATGCAGGGTTTGGTCTTTGGCCTGTCAGCTCGAGGACAAAAGGCGGTCTCTAGATGGATATGCATCTCTACTATGTGCAGTGAGGTGGATATTGGATACCGTGTTATTTTGGGGGTATGTGGACTGTGGACTGTGTATCTGGTACAGCAGAGGCGTAGAACCCATAGAAGGAAAAGTGGCCAACAATTAGACTCAAGAGTAGACTCGAGTGGTGAGATTTCTCTATAGAGTCTCCTCCATCATAGATACTTTCCATGACCAAGTCTCAAACATCCGTGCCCATCGAGAAACGACAATAATAATAAATAAAAGACACTGACCGACCTCATCACCGACATCATCACCGCCTTGCATGCGGTGAAGCACATCCCAGTAGCCACAGTGAAGCTTCCAGGCGGCAGGCCCCAGACCGCCTGTGAAGAAGCCATTTTGCCGCTACCTCGCGAATTATTGCTGCTCCATCCCACTCCCCATCTCCTCCTCTTCTTCTTACCATCCTCTCAATCTCAATCCAAGCGGTATTCTGCTTTTTGTTTCTACAGTAATATCATCTTGATAGGCTCTTCCTGCTGGTAGGCATTGCCACAGGACGGGTCAGGCTCTTGTGTTGCTCACGTCGCGAGGATCTTTTTTTGCCATCGATTCCACCCCTCGTCCGAGTCTCACCTGTGCGTCACAACAGTTAGTGATCCTGTGCTATCACGCAGTTTTCTGTGATTCTTTGTGATGGATATTGACCCTTGATACTAATTAGCTATTTGATTGAAGATTTAATACTACAGGATCCATTGGTCGTCATTTCTGTCGAGGTCATCCTGACTGGTCGCACACTTGTCCACACGCCCTCGCCATGGGTCGCAAACCAAACCAGCTCATCCTCGAGTTTTTCATTCGAGGTCAAAAACTCGAAGACGCCAGTAATCGCTACCAACACACGTGCAGAGCCTGCGGGGAGAAATTCCCCAAAGGTCGCATCGACAGCTTGACCAACCATTTGGTGAAGAAGTGTCAAGCGATCCCGCTGCGTGACAGACAACGCGTTCTACTGAGACTCCACGAACTCCCCGACCTTGCCGACGGCGATCAGAACAAGGATCCCAACCTGGCGGGCCAGGGCAAAGGCAAATCGGTTGATCTGCCATACACGACAAGACAAAATTTTGATGGCCTAAACGTGCTGGCAGAAGCCTCGAGACAAGTCGGCGCCTCCGACCAGACCAAACAGGGCCGCCCAGCATATGCTCAGTCTGTCACTGTTGGTGGTAAGACTGTGGTTGTTGACCCGGCGCTCGAGGCCGAAGGTTTTCAGGGTCATCCTACTCAACCAGAGCATATTGAGGAGGACATCAAACCGCCTGGTAAGATTCTTTTCTTTCCTTTACTCATGGATCACCTTCGCTTTTGACTTTGTCGATATCGTGCCCTTTTTTGGTGTCGCGCGCTAACGTGATTATTGTACAGGAACCCCCCAGCTTTCGGCTGCGACGGCCATTCCTTCCCTTCCAAGCACTTCGATGAATGAGCATCCTTCCTCTGCGTCCCCTCCGCTGGTGGAGCATTCGTTGACCCCCGATCCTACCTCCAATGCTCGCCAATCACAGCTGTCTATGATCGCCGCATCGGCTAGTGAGATGGTTCCTCAGGGCATCTCGATGGATCATGATCCGAACGCTCTCATGTCGGATGGCCTGCCCAAGCTTGGCTCATCCCCGTGGAATCAGCAGCTTTCGAGTCATGAACAGCTTCTCTTCGACAGCCTTCAGGAACATGACCCTACTCTTACCGCTGCGACTCAACGTGCGGCCTCCTTCCCTCGTCCTATCGCCATGAATCCAAATTCTCAGGCCAAGGGTTTTGTCAATGAATTTGGGAACGCCACCAAGCCGACTAAGCCTAAGGTGCGCGGTCGCTTCTCCGCCGCGAGACGCAGGGAGGTGCAAGAAGTGCGCAAACGAGGAGCTTGTATCCGCTGCCGCATGCTCAAGAAACCGTGCTCCGGTGACAGCCCTTGCACGACCTGCGCTAGTGTTGAGAGCGCTCGTCTTTGGAAGCATCCATGCATTCGCACTCGTATTGCAGAGGAATTTGAACTTTACAACGCCAACTTGCATGCCACCCTTGCATATCACGATGTCAGCAGTATAAAGAATCAAGTCAAATTCGAGCACTATGCCGGCCGCATCGAGGTTACTCACTTCGAAGAGAGTATGGTCTACATCACTTTCAGTGGACTCCAAGGTCACAAGCCATCGATGTCGACGCTTGATCCTCAGCTTCAAGGCCTTGGAGACGATCCCCAGTTTCAGGGACCGCTGCACGAACTTTACCTGGTCGACAGCGATGCCGATGACCTTCCTGGAAAGATTGAAATGTACATCAAGAAGACAGCGCCTTTTTTCTACGCGCGGGAAACTTCCGAGATCATCAAGCACACTTTGCTACTCGCGTCGGAGCTGAGTCAGCAGAAGAAGGTAAGCATCAATTCAGTTCGACGCATTGCGATTTGGTGTCTGACATATGTAGGATGTCTTGTTGGAACGAGTCTTGGAGTTGTGGGTTGCAACGCACATCCTGGTCGACTCGGAGCTTCGCTGGAAAACGTACTGCAACCCAACCCTGCCACCCACCTCGATGCACTCTCTCGCGCAGCCGTCAGATGACGGCCGCATGCCTATTGACGAGGTTACCAACGCCGAATCCTACGGGCTCCTTTGCAACCAGTTGCGCGCCGCGACCGAGAAGCGGGCCTCTCAATTGAGCAAATCTGTGATGAATGACCTGGAACGCAGATTACTGCAGCGTCAGCAAAGCGGCTGGTTTGAGACCTTCCTGGTTGCACTACTGCTTCTGAACTGCGTTGAACGGACTTGCTGGCTCTTCCGTTCCTGGGATGACGAGAACTTTGCGCAGCGGGTAAGTATTTCATTGCCGTTAGTCTCGGTTATACCTAACACGATTGTAGTGGCCTCTGGACAAGCGTCCTCCATACTATGCCAGCCAAGGCGATCGCTTCTCTGACATTCTGCACATGTTGCTGAAGATGCGCAGCCTGCCCCCCAAGGCGGCTCCAGGACCGGATGGCATTCTGAAGGCTATGGACGGTAGTGACGAGAACGCGGCTCGCTGGTTTGACATGATCAAAATCACTCGTAAGTGAGATTGCCCGTTTATTGATAGTTGTGAAAACTAACTTCAACAGCTCTCTACCTCGAGCAACGCCAGGCCGCGGTTTTCGATCCCAACGACTCTCGCTCTCTCGATCTCCGCTATGGTGCCAAGCTGCTTCCCCCGACGAATGTTTACGCGTAAGCGTGGAAGCAAAATTGATGTGATCATGAAATTCGATGAAGCGGTTTGCGATCGGCTATGTATTACAGAGGTTACTGAGTACGGTGAGGCGGTTCAATCGATTTTGTCTTTTCTTGCCGTTTTTGTAGCCCTACCTTTTAAGGATGTATGTTTATTTATGTACGAGTCATTTCACTTTAGTATAATAATGCAGAGGTACCTCTCTGGATCGAGAATGCGAGTATGGCAAGACAAAAATATAGAACAGTGAGTGGCTTCGGCAAAAAATCTCCCCGACAGGGAGTCGAACCCTGGTCTCCCGCGCTCGTTCTCGTTGGAGTGACAAGCGGAAATCATGACCGTTAGACCATCGAGGATGGGGATATACCCGGTCGGCCTATTCTAGTTTGATAAGATTGATGATGTACTGCGATTTTAACCCATACAATAGTTGTACAAAGTTATCTTACCCTTCATGAATGACTTAGATAGCTTCCCGATCAGTAGGTACCTAGTAACTAACCAGACATATTCCACATCCCACAGAGCACTAGCACCAGCAGTAGCACCAGCGCAGCACAGCACCGCAGAGAACCCTAGTCCAGTCCCTCAGGAAACCAACTATCATAGTCCCGCCTGCAAACGCAGAAAGGGTCGCATATCTCCTCCTCAGAGAAATCCTCGTTTATATGCGTGACATGTCTCTTGAGACCCAGTTGATGGAGCCGGGGTATGGTATCTCGGTGGTTTGGGCTTTCGCTTCTGGTGTCGACTTCTGCTTGTGCGTTTGGTTGGTCCTGGTTCTGAGTCTGGGATTGGTTTGTGGGAAATGTGACGGACGTTCAAGGATCACGGAGTGGTCTGTTGATTTTGATTTTGCCTCGGGGGCGGTTGTCGTAGACCAGGTATTCATGAATTGACTATTATCATTATTAGGCTTTGGTGTTGGACAGCTGGAGGAAAAGAGACGGACTACCCCACTGTAAACCGCTAATTTTACTCGTCAGAGTCTCTGTAAGCGATGCGAGGAGGTCAGGGATGAGGATTGGATCGCTTGGAGTGTAGTGTATGAGACGCGAGGTTCTTGACACGGGTGTGACCTGGTTCTGTTGATGAGCCAGTATGTTTTCTGTTTCGGGCCATTTGCGGAAGATGAGGAGGTACCTCTATTCCATTTCCATTTTGCATTGCTGGAATTGATCAGCGTGGTTGTAGAGGATAGAGTCATGTAAGTCATGTTGGTGATGTTGACAAGGACAGAGAGCGGTTTGTACATAGACCGTGAAGGATGCATAAATGCATTTGCACATACACCAGAGTAAACGGACTCCGTTTAGCCAACTACAACGTACAAAGGGGATACAAATCATCACATCGTCATAGCATACAATAAGGTATACAATCCACAGGCAATAAATCATCACGACACAGCCTCCTCCCGAGAGTGACTGTGAGTCTGCTCCAGCACCACAGCATAATACTTGCCCTCTTCCGAGGTATCATGGTACGGGCCAGCCGCCACAACCGCCCTGTCGTGCATCAGTCCTGCCATATAGACACATACACGCAAGGTATAGCAAAAGAGAAGGGGGAAAACATACCACCCCTTATACTTAGGCTGATTAAAAATCTCCGTAAACGCCCTTAGAATCCGCAAGGGGAGTTCGAGAATGGAAGGCAACTCCGGCCCGGGCCGCAGATGGGCAGGCCCAGTTTGTTGACGGGCAGGTAGACGATTTCGCTCATGTTGCTTGGGTTGCGGGCTTCCTGGAAGATGAGCAGGCGGCGCGACAGGCGCGCTGTCGCTGGAGTCATTGCGTTTGTATTGGCGCTGAAGCTGCGGAGGCTTGTTGTTGAGTTGGTTGATTTGATGAGGGTGGGATCGAGGTCCATAGCTTATATTCACGTGGTGTATGATTTTGTTGTTGTTGTTGTTGCTGCTGTTGTTGCTGCTGTTGCTGCTGCTGTTGGGTGGATTTATTCACAAGTGAATATGACCTTTTTGCGTTGATATCATTCAACTGTCGACGATATGCACCCTTCTGTACAGGAGTGTGTCGGCCGCGCAGGCAGACTCCAGCAATAAGCTCTGATGACTGAGTCCGGAATTACCCCTTATATGACCATTGTGATTTGTGCTTGGTTAATAATCTGCTCATCCACCACACAGCATTCGAAGGTATCAAACGTAAATGGATGTTTGGCGGGGTCAGGCGCGCTGATACGCGTCGAGCCCACGTGTTTGGTGGGGTTCTTGATTGATAACAAGAGTATGGAGTATCAAATGATATGACACTCGGTAGGTATATAAATGTGTTTTAGATTTAAGGACATTGGTAGATTTGATACAAGTACAATTCGATTACAGATGATAAAATCCACGTCAACACCATCGGTTGACAGAGGCTAAGGATTATGCAGTAGAATTAAGTTATATATACAGTCGCAAGTTCAAGACAAGGGTATCATGAAAACGCCTCAACCATCGCAAACGCAAGTCGAGACAGACCGCCCAGCAACATAATCAATCATCATCCACGTGCCTCGGTTCTGCTGAATCTACCTCCAGCTAAATCAAGCGTCAAGCTCGCCATCCAACACCCTCCGAGCCGCATCCAACCGCCGTCGCAGGACCCGCTCCCTCTTCGGGTCAGGCTCGGCAGAGGCAGTGAGCGTCTGCAGGTCCAAGCAGACCTTCCCCAGGCTTTGGAACACTTGCTCCAAGAGCCGAGTATCATCGTTATTGAGCCCTGATCTCCCGTTCTGTGTATTCGGGTGAGGGCTTGACGCAGCCCGCACTGTCGACACAAGCGAGGAGACGATGGAGCTCGTGGCCGAGTCTGACCGCTGAACAGGGGAAAGGGTTCTCGATGAGGCGTCCGTTCCATTCATGGTCCCATTATGGCTCGCCTGCTTTCGTGAAGCTCGGGGTGTTTCCATGGATCCCGAATCGCCAGCCGGTTGTGCAGGCTCAGTATAGGGCTGACGACTCCGCAGTTCTGCTGAAGTTAGTGACTATTTGACTTCTCCTTAAGCTAGCTCAAAACCTACCGTCGTTAAACTTTTTGTCCCAATAGAGAACACTCTCAATATCGTCGTCGCCCTCGATGGCTGTGGCAAACGTTGCAATGGTGGACAAGGAGGCCGTACTGTCAGACCGTGAATGGCGAGTCCCCGAAGCTTCAGGGTAGGGTCGTGTGGTTTCAACAGACGAGGTCGACACATTGCTCGTGCGGCGCAGTTTGCTCCGCGAGTAATTGCCCAAGGCGCTGTGAAGTATGAAGTGCTCATAATCAAACGCGTCCTCGCGCTCCTCGTGCGGTGTCATTTCGATATGCTGAGGCACAGCTGGAAACGCCTCCAAAGACTCTTCCAAGTCCTCATCGTCCAGGGGCTCGCGAAGTATCTCCTCCAAGGCTTCGCGGTCAATGTCCGACCCCGAGGAGCCGTCCATGTCGTAGTCCCCCTCCTCTGCATCCTCGTACAGGCTCTCATTGAGCGAAACAGCATGAGAAGCAGCACTCGCCTTTCGCTGAAGCTTTGCTTCTGGTTGCTCGGGTCGATGGTGCCTCTGGTCGTACGTAAATCCATTTCGTACGGTCTCAGGTTCCTGACGTTCCTGGTGGTGATGATTCTCCTGGGCCTCAGCAGTATGCCCACGTCCCGGATTTGACCGGAGACTCCCATTGCTGTTCTTGAGTTCCAACGCGCTCGGATACCACTGGTCACCCTCGGTGAACGGACTGGGCGTCCTCAAGCTCTGCAGGCTTCGCCGCCGGAGATTGTCCTCTTGGGCTTTGACCTTCAGACTGGAAATCTTGATGTGAAGCCCCTTCATCTGGTCCTGAAGATCTCGCACCTGAAGCTGTGACTGTGCGCGAGACGGAGGGTCGTGAGGGGATGCTCAGAGTTGAATTCTTCATATTTGTACGTTTTGTCAGATTCCACGTCGGGGATTCTTGTAATGCCTAGTCCCTTCGGCCTCTCAGAATTGTCCCCACTCTGTTTGACGGAGTGTGCGCGTTGAATCGAGCCCGATGGTTGCGTTGATAAGACAGAGGCACGGTGAGTGAGATAAGCTCGGGTTGTGTCATAGTGAAAGGACCGTTCATCATTGTGAAAATTGGACGAAGTGCTCGATCCCATGGCGCTCATGGATCGTGACAAACTAGGCCCGGTCGTCGGAGGCTCGGACGACGCTGTTAACGGTAGGTTGGTTTCACTGTGAACCCGCGAATGTCTGTTGTTGGCTGAATCTTGCGCCGAGGTGTACGTCGACCGAGGGCGCAGGGCCGAAACCCTGCGGTCCGCTCGGGAGATGGACTGGTATAAACCCCGACAGGCTGCCCCAGGCCCAATGGGTGAGTGCCAGGCGCTGGCGATGGTGAGGGTGAAAGCGAGGGCGACAACCGGATCGACGATCGGGCTCGGGAGAGGTTCCCTTCCATGAGCTGCACCCAGGTTAGTCCAGAACAATCGTCGCTCAATATATATATATATATATATCATACCGTGAGTTTCTTCTTGGCATTTTCGAGGATGCGCTCCGCTTCGCTTTCCAAGATGGCTGATGACAATTCGTCATCTGGTCCCTTCTGCTTGGCAATCGACATCACGCCCTGCACTTCCTCGTTTGTCAAAGCCCCAGACCCATCCGCGTTGTTCTGAGTCGCGTCCTGCAGCGGCGGCTCACTCATACTCCCGACGCTGATTGTTGACCCAGAAGAGCTACTCCACGCCTTTTGGTCTCTCTCTCTCGTCTCCTTCTCCCCACGTCCATATAATACCGGAGAACTAGCCAATCTGGGTGCAAAACCAGGCGATGCCAGACTCAGATTCCCAGAACCTTCCCCCGTGCGCAGCGATGACCCGGTATCTTCCTCCCCGATGTCCGAAAGACGACGGCTCGCGTCGCGACTATCCTGCAGCCGTGTGTGTCGCGGAAAGTTCTTCTTCTGCGGCCGTACGGGGGGTCCATACGGGGCGCCGTGCGAGCTATCGTTGCCGGGTAAACTCGGCAGGGGTTTGTTCTCGTAGAATGCTTGGAGGTGGGAAAAGGAGGGCAAGTTGAACGGCGGAGACGGGGTGGAGGACTCGCGCTCGCCTTCGTCGAACGGCAGGATCATATCTGGATTCGATAACGTCGGGGACGGTGGGATGATTGGTGGAGACTGTCGATGTTGATGCTGCCGGGCATTGCGCCCAGAGGATGCACTATCCAGCATTGAATCCGTGACGGCGTTAATTTTCATGCCAGAGATGGTGTAGAACTGGAGAGCGGTCGGCGTTAAGTCCACAGGTGAAGACTGGCAAGCAATCTAACATAAGGCCATCTGGGATCGACAGACAAGCGTTTCAACCCAAAACCTGCAGGTTGAAATGAATGAAAGGGATGGTAATGTAGCCCGTGTGATCCTGATCCTGAGTCCGTCTATGCAGCCGCGAACCAGTTCCGAGATAATTATTGATCGCTTCGATGAGGCGACAGAGAAAGGCGGAATTTACGAATTAGGATTTAAGAATTAATGACGAGAGGAAATTGTTAACAAAAAGGAAGCGCGAAAGAAAAGACAAAAAAGCAATGTCGGCGGCGTGACTGATCGGGAGGGAGATAACATGGCTGTCTTTCTTTTTCTCCGATGGCCCTGAACGAAGTCAAAAGCCAAAAAGTCTAGTACATACCTAGTTAGTTAGATGGACAGTATCATAGATAGCAGTCGTCCTAAAGGGCCTTAGGAGAGTCCATTCTTTTTGCAGCCAGGCCTAAACAGGCAGGGATCCGTGCCTGTTAGATCGTCGGCCGTTCAGGACAAATTTAAATCCAATTTCGCTTGAAGTTGGGCACGGAAATAGGACTCCTTAGAGCGAACATGTAGATATGTTGTGGGTCATAATGACGGTGTGGAAATGCTAATGACTTTACTCAGGGTAGATATGCTGTAGCTGTAGCTGCATCTCGCAAGCATAAATACTCCCTCAGGAAAGACAATAGAGACATGGGATATGGTCAACATCCAGGAAATAGAGATCATCGTAAGTTAGATTGTTCTAGATAGATGCCGTTTTTAGTTTGTTTACTTGCCTGTTACCCCTGAACCTGGACCCATGGATGACTGTCCGTTGGTTCCGCTCTAACTCCTCTATCCTATCTACAGAGTAGTCTGTCGACGCTTTATTTTGATATCTCCTGAGTCTGAGTCTGAGTCTTGAGTTCTTGAAGCATTAAGCATCTACGTAAACTCTGCGATGAAGTAAATCGACTGTCTGGTCGATTGCCATGTAATTATTCCACGCTTAACTGCATAGTTTTTGGACGTGTCAACTGTCAACTGTCAATTGTCGACATCTCCGGACGCCACTCGGCTGGCCACATCGATCTAGAGGAAGAGGCACGACTTCATTGTAAGACTCTGTAGCTGAATATCATGCTTTTGATTGGCCCTAGAAGTAATGATAGACCCTGTACAAAACCCTTGATATATGGAATATGGCGATATAAAAAAGATCCAAACAGATTGGCCAGACCCATGTATGATTCAACCAGAATTACAATATGCTTTTTAACATCCGCCTGCCGAATATACAACAACTCATCGAATCTTCTCCAGCAGCAGTTTGGCTCCGCTACTGGTCGGTCCAGCCTTCTTCTTCTCATCCTTGCCGCTCTCCGCAGCCGCCTGCTCCAGCGCCTTCTTGCCCTTCTTCAGCGTCTTCAGGAGCTCGTCCTTCTTAGCAAACTCGTCCGACTCCGTTAGCGCAACCACAACGAACGTATTGGATCCCGTGGCCCACGTCATGATCTCGTCCTTGATCTGCTCGTACAGCAGCGCATGGAAGTTCAGAGGCGGCTGCACCTTTTCCACCACCTTCTCCGCGGTATTGAACCGACCTCCTTGGACCAGGGACTTGAGCAGTCGCCCGAAGAAAGGCGAGTCCTTCATGTCTGATTTGACTTTGGCGGCCGCGGCCACGGCCGATAGGGCGGGCGTCTTGTCACCGTCAGCGTCGAACAGCACCTCGGCGATGAATTGGCATCCGAAGCTGGTCTCCAGGAGAGACTCTGCGCGAGCGGCTATGAGACTAAGGAGGGTAGGAGATGCCGCTTTGACCAACTCCTGACGACGGACAGCAGGCTCCTTCTTTGAGGTCTCCTGTCGGATCTCCCGAATCTCCTTCAACACTTCCTGGTCGGCCTCTGGTACAAGCCACTTGACGCGGTCTCCGGCAAAGGGAAAGAGAATCGGTATCCGCGCCGTCAGGTCGTTAACCTGATACAGAAGCTCATCGTTGCGCGCCTCCTCTTCCATGCCTTGGTTGAGGAGCTCGGGGAAAATCAACTTCGACGTCAATTTGGTGTCATCAATGACTTCGTATGCGGCCAGGAGAACCATGTGGCCGTGGAGGTCCGCGGCCATCATCTTGATGGTATCGCGGTAAGCACGCGTAAGCAGCTTCCGATCCTTGGCGTTGGAGTAGGCCAAGCTCAGACACATTACTCGCGAGCCAGACTTAGTGAAAGCCAAGTTCTTCAGAAGATCTCCTTCTTCATCTCCCTTGAGCAGCTCAATGAACTCGTTGGCCTCCGAACTGCCGGGTTTTGTGTTGAGGAAGTACTGAAGCATGGCGTCGTGCAGCATCGTAAACCCAGTCGCCCGCTTCTGCACCAGCTGGTTGATCATCTCGTGCAGGAAGTGCATAATGGGCGATCTCTTCTCGGGGTTCTTCTCCAAAATCTCCGACAGCTCGGCAGATGCCTGTTCATCCTTGAATATCGAAAACTCGGTACCATACCACTCCCGAAGAAGCGTTGCCTTTTGTTGCTTGGTCGCAACCGTCCGGTAGACGTCGTCCAAAATCCAAGATCCTTCAGGGTGGCGAATAAGCCGCTTAACGTGTCCATAGAACTCCGGTATGATCAGATCGCGCACCTCGGTATCACCATGAACAAGCAGTTTGCCGACTAGGAACTTGGCGTAGCGGCTCTGCGCCAGCTCGTTGTAGTGACCCTTCAGCTCCTGTGCGATCTGCTTCCGCTGCTCGACGTTGGCGTACTTCAGAGCCGTCTGAATGACACGGACGGAATCGTGCTTGAAAACGAAATCCCTGACTCTCCCGTTGATAATCTCAAAGAGCTCGGCGATGAGTTTCTTCCGCTCCTCAAGCGGGACGTGAGACTTGCGACGCAGACGTTCCCACAGCTGCTTTGAACGAGCTATGATGTCGGCATTAGGCTTCGCGGCTTTGCGCTCTTGTAGAAGGGTCTTCTGCTTTGCATGTGCTTCGCGAGAGGCATTAATATCTAGAAAAGAAAGTATTGTCAGCCAGATAATTCGGGACGAAAAAAAAAAACACCTCCCAGAGGGTCATCATACTCTTCGGGGGCTCTGCTTTCGTTGAGGCAGCGGGCGCCTTAGTCTTCTGCTTCTTCTCCTGCTGAATGTCTTCCTCCTCATCATTGTCGCTCGCACTGCCCATCTCGACATCCTCATCCTCATCCTCATCCTCATCAGCCTCCGAGTCCGGAATATCATCGATATCGAAGTCGTCCTCGTCATCGTCAAAGTCCTCCTCTTCCTCCTCTACCTTCCTCTTAGACTTCTTGTCCTTCTTTCCAGACTTGACATCCTTCTTCGAATTCTTTTGTGCGACAAACTTCTTCACTGGCGCGGATTTGGCCCTTTTTGTTGTCACGGGCGCTGTCTTGGTCTTGGTCCGCTTCCCATTGCGCTCATCGCCCGCATCGACGGGACGTTTTACGCCGACCATATTGTCGACTTTGTAGGCGGTGTTGGCGACTATATATCAAATGAATTGAGGTGTGCTGGAAGGATTGCTTTGCTATACCCCGTACCGCTGGCTAGATAAATTTTCTTTGACGCTGTTTCTGCCGGAGAAAAGTCGGTTCATTTTTTTTGAGTCTAGAGGGCGGTCGGGTGGTGTTTGCATTGTTTGCTTCCCGCCGATAAGGATCCGCCTTGATGGAGACATTTGATACGAACATTTGATACTATACGGATGTGTTGTATATGTCATGTACAATTAGATTCCGAGGCATTGACATCAGTATATGCCGAATGTCTCTCGAATAAGACAAAAGGCCATACCGCATACAGCACATGTGAAATAGGTACAAAGAGAACAAAATGCGCCCGGCTTCAAATCCCGGCTTTCACAAAGCAGTCCAACACCAAGGAATCCATTCCCCGACGCCTAAAATCAACTCAATTCCTAATGAATTATCCATAAACGAGTTGCGTGACACACCTCAGGCGGTCTCGGTCCCTGCACCGACAGGTGGCCTGATCGTACCTAACTCAGACTCCAGAGTGGTGGATCCCTTTTTCCTGCCTGGGATGTGGAATCCAAGGTGTTGCGATGCAGGTTTCGTGTTTCCGGATGTCTGCGACTCGCCAGAAAAATCGCTAAACCGAGCGAAGATGCTTTTCTTTTTGGGTTTGGCCTCCTCGTCGTCAAGTCCCACGTCCTCAAACTTCTCTTCTTCCATAGCCTCGGGCTTCGAGAACCCGTGCGTGTGTGATGTGGACTGCGACGTCATACGGGAGAATCGTGAGTCTAGTGAAGTTCGAGAAGGCATCGTGTCGGTGTAGCCCACTGGGGAGCGAGCGGAAATATCCTAGAACACCCGGAGTCAGCCGACATACGCTCCGGGTAAATAAAGTGACCTGCCAACTCACAAATGACCGCCGGTATGAATCGAATGATTCGCGGGATATTGAAAAGGGTTCATTATCGTCAACGAGACTTCGATGATTTGACGATCGGTTCGAACCGGGATATTTCTTCCAGAAACTCTGCTTCTCTGGAGGTGAGGGCTGCGATTGACAATCGTTAGTTGGGAATGCTGGGACTTCAAGACAGTTGGGATGGAAATACCGGCAGATAAGCCCCGTTATCGTCGACAACTGTAGATTAAGGAATCAGAAACCTCGACTCTCATAGGGCGCTAGGGATTCTTGCGAGCGTCAAAGCATACCGCTCAATTTATATTCTGGGGTTCTTTTTCGTAGCTTTTTCTGATGCTCAACGGATTGGAGTGATGGCTCTCTGTCGACACCCGGTTGTCTTCGTGGAAATTCTCAACCTCCCCACCATTGGGGGCCGCCGACCTCCTGCTCAGGAAGTTACGAAACGGAGCCATGCTGTAATGAGATCAATCTACTTCAAAATCGCAGAAAGTAGCCGGATATAGGGCTCTTAGGAGGAGTCCCAGATATATTAGGAGTGTGAGTGTGCAACTGCAAGGGAATCTGATTGATTAAAGCACAGGAACCGTGCAACACCCCCAATCTCACATGATCGGCGGCAATGCGGTCCCGTTGGTACAATTTATGGATGTCTTTCTTGGATGACGATCCTAGCGGCAACACATTAACCAGAAGTAAGGCTCGAGTCATTGCGTTCCCTCACTAGTTGTAGTTAAATCGGCCGGTAATTTGCTGCTAGCCCAGCCGTATACGTCAAGGCATCGGCAACCCCAGAGATCCTTTTTTCTTGTTTCTCATTGAGACAAGGAAGGAGATTCTTTATCCCTCCCCATGATGTATTATTTTAGACGCCCCACATCTTTACAGTTTGCGCTTGCAATTGGAGTGGATGGTTCCCACTGTGAAAGGCTAAATGGCGCATTTTTCACAGGAACCAGCATTGATTGTAGGGACTGCGGTGGAGGGAACGAAAGTGGAGCAGGGAAAGAGTACCGGACATGGATACACTGAACTGTAAGGATCCCCGGATGCAGTTTATGCCTTCCTCGTGCCTTCATTGAAAATGTCCCCCAATCAATAAAACCATCGAATATCATAGGTGGCAATTGCGTCAACACATTGGTACTCAGGTACCTCGGTTGCGTACTGTCTCGGCAGGTCCAAGACGCCTAATGGAGGGAAATTACCACTGGTACACTCATATAGTTTATGCATAAATCACCAGCGGGTGAGTACTTGCATAGTAGGAGTTTTGATGGGCTTTGAACTGCACGTGATACATAAATCAGTGATAACTATCATGATGTTATTGTTTGCTTTTCAACGACTTCTGTTCTCACGAGACGCTTGCATCATTTCTGATCTTAGTTATCGGCATATTGGTTAGGTTACTGCTCGAGGTTCTCTATAGCCATGCACTCGGCTCATCGACGGGTAAAAATTTATTGCCTTTATCGCCTGCAGCTTTACAGTCATTTGGACCGAGAAATAGTGGTAAACCGCATGCTAGGCACCATAAGTAGCCCTTTCTCCAGGGGGGCAGGGTCCTTTTATTTCGGATCTCGGCTGGAGGATGACCCCGTCTCAGGCTGGTCGAGTACGGAAACGACGACAGGATCATCGAGAATTGTTTGCTTAATGGCAAGGGTAGATATGTACTCCCGCAAGCATCCGGTCTCGATCGTATCCCCACATGCATGTAGATTTCTGGAGCGTCTGAATGCGTATACATATATATATATCTGCACGGCATATGGCTACTGGTATCTGGTAGTAGAACAGCCGGCTATTGCGGAGTGAGCACATACATAGTATGGACATGTGTATCCAGAAGGCCCGCGGAAAAGCAAGCCTATGGACGAGCTTCCCCGGACGTTTAAAGTAACTGCCACGAACAGCCGATATCCATGTGTTGGTTTGATATTGGCAGTCACTATGGAGCGACCCACGGTGAGTTGGTAACTGCCCAATCTGGACATGTGCACACTCGGAGTAGGGAAGACCCTCGGCGCAGGCACTTCATACCAACTCTCTGGATGGAATCAGAGTGCTTGGGATGGACTTGTGAGCGATCTGGCATTTCGGCCTTTTGGATTGAGATACCTATGCTGTAAGTCAAACTTCACTCTTTTGGTGGTTTCAGTCGGGTGCCACTCCTCTATTGTGGTATTGATCTGGGAATCTGTGTAGCGACTCCGCAGTATAACGTCCACCATGGCATTCATTCCTCGATTAATCTGCGTCGCCTTCGCTATCCTGCTGCTGGATGTTGTTCATGCGGTCGATCAATACAAGATACAACGCCTCACGGGTCCTGGTGAAGACGGCCATTGGCCCCCGAGCTGGTGGACAGACCTAAGTGTGAGGTCAGCGCGGACTGTGACTATGGGTATATTTGCGATGGCCACCTCCTAAGATGCATGATGGGTTGCAAAAGTTCGTTCGACTGCTTCCGAGAGCATACATGTGTGCACGGCAAGTGTCTCATTGATCATGGTACTGAGTGCGCTGGTTACCACAGCTATTGCCTCGAAGATAGAGATTGCTGCTCGGGTAACTGTCGTGTAGAATTCTGGACGCTCTGGATGTGGTGTGGGCATGGATGATAAGCTATTGTGATGCAGCCAATATATATTGTGCTGCGTCAAGGGAGTCATTGGCCAGGACCATTGTGGTTGGTAACCTGCGCAGCAAAGTGAATTGCCATGGTTCAAGCCACAGAGTATTATTTAATTACATGAGAGGCTGAAACAAAACGCGCGGATTGAGAAGAAATCGATAGTTTAAACCAGGCGAATTGATTGTTTATCACTGAAGACGGGATTATTGTGCCCAAGACGATGGTTAAGGGATCTTGCGATATATTTTTGAACGGAGAGAAATTTCTTTAAATCTGTCATGGATAACCTAGTGGAAGGCCCGCCGCTAAGTCAGTAACCTTGCTGCGGCATTTGCCAGCGGGAAAGGTGCCCGGTACGAATCCTGGGGTCGTCGTTGTACTCGTGCGAGTAATCCACGATGCTACAAGGCGCTAAGCAATGGAAGTGATACTTGAGGGAAGCAATTCTGCAGAGACACTTCCACCCTGGGATGGCGTCGCCGGAGGACACCTACCCGTTACAGGGAAATTGGCTGTTTGGCTGGACAACCGCAATCTCTTCTTTTTGTTTTCTTTTTTGCCACCATCACCATTCTCCAACCACATTCTATTTGTTTTTCAATACATTCTCAATCACGCACTTCAAGCGACTGAACGATATTAACTACTTAGTATCTCGATAGTCATCACATAAAGAATGATTGCTGATAGAGCTGTAGCTAGTATGAGTGTTGAGAAGATGCGGAGTTATGATATCCTATGGGAATGTCTTTATCCTACAATGTTATCTCTTACTACTACAAACCTGTGGAATTAATCATATGTAGACTCGACATTGTGTGCTACGGCAGAAGCCACTGCAGCAAACAGACAAGCTCCCTGGCAAACGGCGCTCCTTCCAACTCTCGTAGCTACCAATACAGGGCCATGTCTCTCCTGCCCTACACCATCCCAGCAGGCTGAGACCCCTCTCCCAAGTCCCTTGCCGTATCCATGCGTCCTCATATCCCTATAAATCCGCGCTTCAAATATCGAATTGAGTACTGGTCATCGTTGCCTCACTGCAACCCGACCTGCCTGTACGCTCGACACCCGGAGGTCTCACTGGCGAGAAGCCAGCAAAGCATACACGATGCGTTTCTGGGTGAATTGGGCTCTCTGGCAGAAACTGAGCATGGTAAGTTCGATGAGATCAATGATACAAAGTGATCGAACCTAATGGCAAATGGAACAGGTTCTTGCAGTTCTCCTGGTAGGATGGACTCTCCCAATGTTCACAAAAACGGCGCTGATCATCTCACAGGCGCTCGTCCTCATCTACGCTTTCTGCGTCCTTGCGTATAACCGACGAATGACCAGAAAACATGCCGCCGCTGAAGCGTATCAGAGAATAGAGCGGGGGACCGAGTTACGTCCGGTGTTGACTGGAGGCAGCGACATACCATTTGGCGCCCGAGCGCTGGAGAAGGGTGTCCAGGTAGATGGTATTTGGATCTCTACCAGCAACACATCAAGTCCAGCGCAGCTCGCAAGCCCCACCGCAAGCAGGCCGACGACGCCAGTCGTAAAGCAAACCCAAAAAACTTCGTCTGCTGACACGGCAAGCGATGTGCAATCCCGCTGGCACAAGGAACAGCCTGCTCTCAAGGCAGCCGGTGGTGACTCTCAACGATTTGTGGCGCCGTCCAAAAAAGAGATTGCAGATAGCAGCAAGTCCAACAGCGGTGATTCCGAAAGACTTCCTGAAAATCAGCTCATCCATTCAGATATTGTTACGCCTCAGGAGTCCCAAAACTCGGTCGGATCAGATAGACGATCATCGCGAGGATTCTTCGGCCCACATAGCTCATGGCTGACAAAGTCCCCCGAAAAGACCAAGCGGAAGTCGGTCGCTGACGGTGAGTGCATTGAAGAAAAATGACATGGCTGCTGTGCTTTTCAAGATGCTAACATGTCATGTCTAGTTCTAGGGCACCATCGAGGGCAATCGTCAGAAGATTTCAGGCGCAGGATCAGCAAGTTGATCGAGGAAAATATTCAAACTCGTCCGAAAGAGGAATTCCAGCTGAAGCCTCTACCGCGAGATGGCGTGCATCGACACAAGTAGGGATTGCTTCCGGCTACTCACAATCATGATATTCCTTTTTCTGCGTTACGAGAACAACTACGCACATTCCGAAGCAGTTGCGTAATGTAGCTTCTCGATTATTCAGAGACATATTCAAAGGACCCAACTCGCATTCGTATATGATGCCTCCGCTCACTCACACATATCAGGCTGAGATGACTGAGCTCTTCAATCGTCGAGGGTAACGATTGTATCTTATATAGTACAAGCTTGAATATTCCTTGAGTCAGGATTATGCTCTTCGCTCCTCTAACGATCTCATATCTCGAGTAACATTTCACAGAGATGGTAGCAATAATAGACTATCGCCCGTAGCACCCCACTGAGGGAGCCGTTCGATAGTGGATTGAGATTTGGCATTTGCAACCTCTGTTATCGCTGTTGTTGGATTTGATCGTTGGCGTTACCCATCTCAGGCAGCCATCTAGGCTGACATGGCACGTGACCTCGTGACAGTTAGGACGCGTCCGCGATCTCTCCGGTTGTTTAGTTGAGCGACGACCAGGCAATTTGCCACATTAATGAGCTGAAACTTCTGCTGTTGGGTCATATTGTCGAATAGTCTGTGGCAACGCCTCTGGGTCTCTAGTCTTCAAGCTGATTGATCCTTGAATTAACGCAGAAGGCTACGGATTGACTGGAAAACGCGTCCTCCCGCGTCAAGACCACTTTCTTTGCCGGGTTCGTCGAAGTACCAAGAGCGCCTACACATCTTGATTCACTTTCTCAGTCGACATAATGACGGCCGATATGGAGACCCAAAATGAGTATGATGACAGCGGATTGCCAGGCCCAGGCGCACCCACTCCGCTCTCAGCTCTGGAGGTGAGTAATCGAGGAGTGGAAGGAATATTAAGACACCATGTGTCTTTACGTCAATATACGAGGAGAATTGCTGATGCAGTCGGTATAGGGAGTTGCAGGTTTGACCAGTAGAGATATCAAGCTCTTTGTTGATGCGGGCTATCACACAGTCGAGTCAATCGCATATACGTAGGTCTTCCTATGCGTGCTTTAGCTCCGCGTAATTCACAGAGAACTACTCACACTCCGAATTATCCAGGCCGAAGCGATTGCTGGAACAGATTAAGGGAATTTCAGAACAGAAGGCGACCAAAATCTTAGTCGAGGGTGGGCCAACCCAGACCCCTGAACATCGCGTCTGTCTGACTCTTACTTTCTAGCCGCCAAACTCGTGCCAATGGGCTTCACAACCGCCACAGAGATGCACGCCCGACGAAGTGAACTTATCTCGATTACGACAGGGTCCAAGCAACTAGATACATTATTGGGAGGAGGCATCGAAACGGGGTCCATCACCGAGATCTTCGGGGAGTTCAGGACAGGAAAGAGTCAAATATGCCATACGCTTGCCGTCACCTGTCAACTGCCGTTTGATATGGGTGGAGGCGAGGGCAAGTGTCTCTATATTGACACCGAGGGAACTTTCCGTCCGGTGCGTCTATTAGCGGTGGCCCAGCGTTATGGACTGGTAGGAGAAGAGGTTCTGGACAACGTCGCCTATGCTCGAGCCTACAATTCAGATCACCAGCTCCAACTACTCAATCAGGCATCTCAAATGATGTGTGAGACGCGTTTCTCACTTCTTGTTGTGGACTCCGCCACTTCATTGTACCGGACGGATTTTAACGGTCGTGGTGAGCTCTCGTCTCGACAGACGCATCTCGCCAAGTTCATGCGGACCCTGCAACGACTGGCGGATGAATTTGGAATTGCCGTCGTCATCACAAACCAAGTAGTCGCTCAGGTTGACGGTGGTCCAAGTGCGATGTTCAACCCCGACCCGAAGAAGCCCATTGGTGGTAACATCATTGCGCATGCCAGTACGACCAGATTGAGCTTGAAGAAGGGTAGGGGTGAGACCAGAATTTGCAAGATCTATGACAGTCCATGTCTACCAGAAAGTGACTGTCTCTTTGCCATCAACGAGGATGGAATAGGAGATCCAAGCCCCAAGGATCTGGAGAATGATTAGATGCATTATCGGACCTTTCCACGACATTCAAGATGCCATGACGATTCTTTGCATTTTGCTAAAGTACATATATTCTTATACTTGTTTTCTAGCGTGCAATGTATATCACAGAGAGTCTTAATTTTGATAGATGTGAGCATGTTCCGATGTTTGACACTGGTGCCGCTGAAAGATTGCCCATGTAAAATATGTAGATTTCTTTTATGCTCTTAGCCTGAAGGAAAAGGTTCATCCGCACTTAACTATTCAATCTGAGTTAAATTGATCGTTCTGATTGTTGGTTGTCGTTGGTGATCAACACTTAACACCGCGTTGCGTCAACCCGCGCCAAGACCCTGTTTTTTTTGAGTAGCAAAAGAGCTTCAGCTTCCGCCTTTCAACTCCGCCAAATCGCAACACATCCGTTCCATCTCCTTGATATCGGCCATGGAGGCTTGAGATCACCATTTACATATTCGTGGAAGGTGATCTAGTGTCAATCCGCCATGGCGAAAATCTATAAGGACACAAGAGTCGACCTCCGGCCGTACTCGCCGAACACCGTCGCTAACATCCAGATTCCAAACCAAGAGAGCTCGCGAAACCGCGCCCGATTTTCGATAGCCTCATCCCTCGCGAGTCCTGAAGAACCAGCAGCGAAAGACGAGGAGGAGTTTTCTCGCCGATACCTAGCTACACAGGGGTCAATTTACTTCCGGAAACACAAAGTCTATCCCCGAAGCTTTCTCTGGCGGGTGATTAACGACAACAAGGTCCTGGAGATCCAGTGCGTGGATTTGACAAAGGGAGGAATTGAGCATCATGAATACGACATCACATTACGCTTCGACTTCCAGGAAGAGATCCTTCCATCCGGGGTTGATATCGCTGACTTGGAGGATCATGACGTGTTGAGTGTGTTTGTGATCACGGCTTCCAAGCAGCTGCACACGTTGACTCTGCGCCCGGAGTTCTTTCGACGACTGGCGGCAATTGATGAGAATGTATCTGAGTGGTGCAAATCCTGCACACCGGCACCTCTGGCTTTCTCGCATCCCCATCGGTTACATGCAAGCAGTCCGCTCGAGTTGTTTATTTCCCTTGATAGCGGCGCGCTGCTGCGCCTGACTAGGAGGGCTGGTGACGATGGTACTTCCCCTCCCGATGCCTTCTCCCTAATGCGAAAGTGTTGTACTAACGTTTTTGTGCTTCAAAGGCTCACATTGGACTCCTTTGACATTTGACGAGAGAACCTGGGGGGCGTCGATTCGCGGTCTCGTCCGATGGCATGCGCAACCCACGATCAAGTACCAGGGACGCAACCTCGATGTAAACGCGGCCACTGCGATTGCCACTACATCCGACCAAACATATGCATTCGCAGTTTGCTTGAATCACACTCTGAAGATATGGAACCTCGCTACGAACAGACTAGCCGCCACGAAGGATCTCTTGGACCGACCAGCACAACAGCAGGAATCTGCAGCATACTCGTTAAACCCCGCCGAATCATCGTTCATTCGTGTGTTTAACGTGGAGAGAGCGCTGGATGGCGGTTATCGCTACTACATAGTCACCTATTCGCCCTTCGAGGATGGGCGCTTCAAGTTCTGGGCTGTCAAAGGTGGCCTGACGTCTCAGCTGGTCGTTGAGGACCTCTTTCCTGATGCTGCACTGACGCCATTGGATCCGGACTCAACAGGGAGCATGTTTTGGAGTATCGCAGATTTCCAGGTCAAGCCCATGGAGGAAGGGAAGCGTATGGAGCTGTGGGTGCTCTGGAGAAATAACAGCGTGTACCAACTGTATACACTGCATTTCAGCTTCGAGACGCTGGTGACAGATTGGACGACGAATTGGGTGTCTACGGCCATGGACACGCGGACACACGCATCATTACCGGCTGTTACATCAGAGGATGCTCTGGACCCGACGGAGAAGTGGTTGAGCTTCCTCCTACAGCCGAACCGATACTCACCGGAGGTACTTGAGACTGCTTTGTCTGTTTATCAGGAAGCACTTCGGCCCCTGTCCTTTCCTACTGCACCGAAGAAAAGCGCCCCTCTTCAAGAACGACTCTGTTCGACGGTCGCTGCCACAGTTTCCCTTCGTAAGTATGCGGAGGATGACATGGATTTCGCAAGGTACCGAGCAGACACAGACTCCAAATGGCGCCAATTCTGGCAGATCGCGGAGGACATCAACAAGCGAAGATTCGCAGCGATTCGCCTCGCGTATGATGTCTACAACGAAGTTCCGTGGATGCTTTTCTCGGATAGCTGTGCAGTCATTCGCGAATGTAGCCCTACCGAGTTGCTCCTGCATAATTCAGGCTCCGAGCTTCGAACAGAAGGACCCAAGATAGCCGATCGGTGGAGCCACAGGAACCTGGGCTCAGAGATTGGCGATTTGTTCGAACAAGCATCTTTCTTGTTGAGGGTTGCTTCCGGCTTCAGGAAACGGTTCCCCCCTGAACTGGAAGCAGCGTGCCACTGCGCCCTTGAGGCAGAAGTCTATGCCGAGCCTTCATCTTCCATCCCAGACCGCGTGGACGCCTTCCGTGAGCGGTGCGACTTTACCGAGCAGGTTTCCAATAAAACTTACGACAGCCTGCTTGCTGCAATGAATGAGCGTTTGAATATTTACAACTTGTCGAATGATGTCTTCTACACCATCATTGACACGATCCCTCTTGGGTTCCCCGGCAAAGATTCCGAACTCCTTCCCACTCGTTTCGGGGTGAAAGTAACCGTCAACGGCGCCCAGGAGACCATCGAGAACACACGGCAGCTCCTCATCGACCTGTTACTCCTCGTGGTCTTCGTGGACGGAGAGGTCCAGCAGGAGGATGGGTCGACTTTCGATGCCGGTGATCTCTTTGCTACGCTCATCTCTCTTTTGAGAGAATACGAGATGATGTCCTGGCTCAGCTCGAACGTCCGAAAGTGTATCGACAAGTCTCCGAGCGCCATTAGCGATACATCCAAGTCGACGTTCTCTCTGAAAGACTCTACACCCAAGGGCAATAGCGAGCGAGTGGTGACTATTTTGGAGGATCTGTTTGCTACTGATATTAAACCCCGCCAAGCCATTGGCTTGCCCCAGAGCTACACACTGACACTTGGTATTCGAGATGTTCTTTCCTGGGTGACTCGCCAAGGGGAAGTGGCCTACCCGAACGCATTGGTTTACATTCAGTGCGATCTCATTGCGAAGAACAACATTGACCTTGCCTGGGATTTCCTGCGCTTCCAAGCGACCACATCATGGTCAACCTATGTGAAGGGTCGTTTATATGTGGCGATGTCCGAATTCGACACTGCGGCTTTGTACTTCCGTAAGGCTGCATACCTCCTCTGTAAGTTATACTTGGCTGTGTACCTCAATCCCGACCGTCTAACGTATTATAGCATGTGGTAAACCTCTCGGCAACTTGCACGAGATGTCATCAACGCTACTGGACATCGTCTCGGTAGACTGCTTCCACAACGGTCTCCCCAAATACTTCCAACATATCTTGTCGATATTCGAACAGGCACGATCCTTTTCCCACGTTGCAGACTTTGCCAGCCTTGCACTACAAGCGCTCGCAAGTGAGAATAGGAACGAAAAGGACCCGGAGCGTATTAATATGCGCACCGACCTGCTCTCGCGTCTTTTCTATGCGTCCTTGAAGACCTGCCAATTTGACCAGGCCTATTCAGCAATGTCTCGATACGAGGATCATGCGCTGCAGCGATCCGCCCTCTCCTCTCTTATCACCGCCATATTGAATGCATCCGGACCAGGCCTGTCTGGACTTCAGCAGATTCTACACTTTCCCACATCTCTCCTCCCAAATATCGCCACTCATGTGGATGACACTCTTGTCTCCCTTGCTCGGAAGCAGACCTCTTTTAGTTCTCTATTGGAAGCTGGAACAAAGTGGGCCGACACCACACCAGATTATCAGCGCATCCTGCAAGCATACCGTGTTGCCCGTAATGATTATCGCGGAGCCGCCGAAATCGCGTACCG